TCTTCACATGGTACACCCTCTGAGAGAATTCTGCATCACCCACAGCAAACATGTGGATAACAACAGGTCGTCCACCGTCCGATGATTGATTCTCGCCAGGGTTGCACGTTTTCCCGCTGGAGGTGGATATTCGGGGCGCATGATCATACGCGCTCAAATTTTAAATCGAAGGACGACTTTACTTCGCAGCCGAGGCTTGCGGTGGACCTCCTCCTGTCAACATTAGTCTTTCCGCCATTACACTGAACTCCGGGTCCGGTATCTCCCGCGAACGGGATTACGGGGTTACGGTGCCCGGGCGCCGTATTTTCTTGGCATTGGCCGGTGCCGGACCCCGGGGCATCATGGGACGGATCCATAATGCCGGAGCAGCAACACTGCGAAATCCACCCTTGTCGGAGCCGGACTTGATCCATTGCTGAGAACGGGCGTCTCCAAACGGAAGCAAGCAACACAGAACATCACAAAAGATACGGTCGACTTTTGGGCAAACGGCGTCTCCTTGGCTGTGACCAATACAAGTGGTCCAGGCCCATAGCTGAGCAAACTACGTCACGGCCTGCCTTGTTTGCAATCTTTTTATCCTTGATTACCTCCAAAGTTCTCGCGGTCTAGAGCAGGATCGCCAAGGTGCCTTATTCATTCACTGCACATGGTGAAGGGGCTGAACCACTGGTAGCGGAGCTTGGCCGTAGCTTGACACGAAACAGACGCCTCTTGAGTCACGCCACCGGCCCCTGTTTGCAGGACACTCGGAAGAGTGGAGTCATTCCCCGTTGCTATCTCCGGGCTGGATCTGAGATTCCTTTGGGGATCTCTGCAAAAATTGTCGGAGGGCGTTCGGGAGCGGCACAGAAACCAGTCAATTACCAAAAACCTAGTGGGCCGAGTTGTAAAACCCGATAAGCCCAGCGACGTGACAACCACAGCAACACATGCATGAAACGACATGGCTCCATGGCCTATTGAACATGGGCTGACTCTTTTCATCGAATACCTGCCTATGCTCAGCACATTGCCGCCGCGGAACGCACGAGTCCCGACTGAAGACGAGGCTTGATTAACTTTCGTCTTGCCGCCGCGGAACCCATGGACGCGAGCGGTGAACCTTTCAAGTCTTACTGTGTATCGCCAAGTATCGTGATCTTCGGTATCGTGGTGTTTTCACGAGTTTTGTGCGGAGTTTACACCTTGGCAGGAAGGCAATCTGGGGATCTACGACCGCAGCATGCCAAGCTTTTCCGAGGACCTGTGTGGGTTTCTTCATATGTCAGCAGGGAGGCTACGGTGTTAATCGAGATGATTTACACACGATTGGCAGACATTACATCAACATCTTGTCGCTGCCAAGGTAGCTCACCTTTGGCACGAGTCAAACATCGCGAGTTTACGATCACGACGTGCGTTAGGCTCCACAAGACTTTCAGCTTCTCTTATCTGGGCTCAAAAAAGTGCCATCCTAGGAGGCCCTGCGACTTGTTGCTTCGCGAGCGCCTGGAAATGCCTCATTGGTTACCTCATCCATTACGAGAAGGGAAAAGAACCGCCGACCAAAGACTGCCAGACAGAAAAAGTCTGCGTTCTTCACGATGCTGGCAATTTCTGCGGACAGGGCCCGCGCACGAGCAGCAACAGAGGCCCCTGAACAAATATTTACGTTGTGTGATGATCTCGTCATCACCTGCCCGAACGCCCTCCGACCTAAGTCCGCCCCGCTGAACCACCCGGAGAAAGCACACCCACACCAGCCATGCATTACAGAACGGCTGCCGTGTTACTGATCACGATGCAAAGATTTTCGGCGCGGGGCTCTGGGTCTTTCTTGTTCTTTTTTCTTCCGGTGGGGATGGGTTTAAGTCGGTCTGTTCCGCGTTACCCACATGTTCAGCATGGAAAGGAAGCGCGTCGTACGATGAGAATCCCGATCAGTCAGCGCCGTCACGGAGCAGTGGAGATGCATAACTCCCCCACTGCGAGGCCTGCCGATGCTGAGGCCCGGTTATGGCCCGGCATCTCGTTGCGGCACTTCGGCGTCTGAACCCGTTCGGTTGTCGTAATGGGAACCAGCGGCCTGAGCGTCAGGCGGCCGGAGGGTTGTGTCCGGTGGATCGCGATCTCGTCCGGTCATCGGAGGGCCAACAGATCAGAAGGGACGGATTGCGTGTGCCGTTGACGAAGCTGGACGCGAGATGCTCGCGTTGGAGCGAGTTTCTTCGACGAATAACCTCGCACATGGTCGACTTGCGATCAACCTATCGTCGACGCTTATCAAGTGTGAGTGTACAGACAGCGTGACATCTATCGCTTCATAGGCCCTGTCTTCGTGTCTACAAGTCTCACTTTACTGCCGTTTTCTTCTTCAGGATTCTACCATCAATTGATCTTCAAGGATGATATGACGGCAGGGCTGCAGTCTTGTCCCCGAGGGAAGTATCTCGAGAGAATCTAGAGTCGTCGCCATCGTGAAGCAGCCGAGGCTCCTCAGCCCATTACGATCGAGGGGGCTTCAGGCAGCATCGCCAATGACGCAGCCGACTACTGGCTGGTGTAGCAAAGCGACACAGCTGTTCAGCTGGCCCTGGAAGTCGTCAATGCTCCCTCTTAGTGAAGTTGAGATGCCTCACTTACCCTGACCTGGAGGAGGGTGACTTCGTCCAATCTCAGGGATTTGGTTTCGCTACTCTCACCTGTCTCTCGTGTCCTTCGGATGCACCATCTCGGCTCACGGCTGTGAGAGTTGTGGTCTTTCTGATTGTACTCTGTCTGACATGAGTCAAAAAGTCTTTCTTGAACAGGATTGAGGTTGGATCATGACACATACGCGGCTATTGAATGTCCTTTTACGTCGAGCATCCCCTCACATGTCACATTCCCTGAATTTCAGCTTTTTCTGTTGACATGATGTGTCGGGTTGCTACACAGACGACCTTCCTTTGGGGAAACCCTTCGAGGTTACCTCTGTAATACCAGCTTCATCTTGTATGATGTACCCAGCCTTCGTCTACTTCGAGGACATCATGAAAGTAGATATCCTACCCAAAGACTAGGCTGATGAACAGCCTGGCGGGCCTCGTGCTCATGAGATCTATGTAAGTGTTTCTGGCTGTGCACTTGAAAAGAAACCTTGTCTATCGAATTCATTTTCCAGGACTTGAAGCTCTACACCGGCCCATGATCCTGTGAAATGACACTCGCTGGAGATACTCTTTTAGAAGAAGTCGGTAATCAAGCCCCAAGGCATGACATACCCTGAACAGTAATACGTAAAAGACAAGCTTTTGGCGGCAACCTTCAAGAGCACATTGAATCCGGGTACCGGCCCATGAGAGGTGTCAAAACAAGCCCCCTTGTCTTTGACGTCCTCAGCTGAACCCCGAGCTCACCATTCCATGTCGAGACGGGTGCGGACGAGATGTCGTTACGAGTCCAGCGTATGTACCATCTCCGAAGCATCAAACACTGGCCCATGAAACTCGAGACATGCTGCAATTCCTCCTCCTGTAGGAGACGAAATGCTTCTATAGTTCACGAGCATACCTCAAACAGCCCTCGACGCAGCGAATGAACGAACCAAGCTGACCCCGAAAAGAGCATTCTCGGCCGAAAACTCAATCATCACAACTCCCCCACGGTGATCCGGCTCCGTCTCGGCTCCATGCCAGTCAGAACGTTGCGGCCGATTAGTGTGGGCGTGTGCAGGAAAGAAATGCGAAGCACGCCATGCCATAAACGCCTTCCCGAACTTTATTGCTTCGGTCGTTTGGAGGGCGCACGCTCTTTTCTTTCCTAATCAGCCGAGGGAATATCGACGGTTCCGGATCCAAAGTTCGTCGCATGTTTTTATCATTTGCCATTTGAGGAAATGGTGCGGGTGACGAGGAGGCCAGAGCTCCCTCAAACACCCCCCTCCTTCTCATCCTCATCATCCTCCTCCTCCAAACACATCAGTCAACTCTGTTTTGGAATCGGATCCGGCTTACGGGCGTCCGAGGGCCGGGCGTTCGGCATTCTGGAGCAGGACCTTCCTCGAGTGTTGGGAATAAGCTCAGTAAACCGGCTTATACGAAAAAGGTTCGTCGTAAGTCGTGTGTTTAATGTTCGGTGGGAGGGGGGGCACGGTGGGAACTCGAGGTGGAGGAGGGGTTCGGTTATTGTGAGGTGGTTTAAAAGTATGTAGGGGACGCGCGCCTATTCTGAAGGTGAGTACGGGGACGAGATGAATGCCGGTTTGAGAGGGTTTGAGAGGGGAATGATGTCTGATACTCAGAATGCGGCTTTGTTTCCGCTCCGTCTGGTGGTGGTGGTGCTCTGGATCGTCTGGTGAAAGCCGTCGTACTCGCGAGTCTACATGGCGTCCCAGGAGAACGTCGGGTCCGAGTGGGATACGCCTGTGGTTGAGTTCAGCCTTAGGAAGGGCCCCAGTTTCGGTTCTGGTTCCGATCGAACTCGGGAGCGGATTGGTGATATCTATTGGACGGCGGTTGGTTTGCTGAATGCAGTATACCTTACGCCTCGATTGATCAACGCTTGTGATAAAAGGGTTGTGATAAAGGGGTTGTTGTGGTTCGTCGTGGAGCTGGGAAGGGGTTCGTTCGGCGATGGTGCCGCGGTGTTGGGATTCCTGCGGTCTTCGGACGGATCGCATGACGGGAGAGAACATGTGGGTATGACGTTTTGTGGAATGACGATGGTCTTGGGTATTTTTCATGCCCTCGCTATGTGTCTTGTTTGGGTTTGCGATAGTCAATCAGGTTGGTTCTGCTCAGGTGGATGGCGAAGGATGGATTGGTCATCGGAGCATCGCTTCCTTTGGCAGTGTAATTCAAGAGGTCGTACGACCAGTTGTGAGTTGTAAAGATTTGTTTGCGAAATATGCCTAGGGATATCATTTTGACTAAACAATACAGCGTGATACAAGACGGGGGCAACCAGACTCTCACTAAACAATACATGTACTCGTACACGAAGCTTTCTGACCAGCTTCAGCTGGTACCATGATCCTAACAAGCCATGCGCTCCAGCGAGTTCCAAATCTCCTTGTACGCGCATCTCATCTGGTTGACCGTGTGTCTCAGGGCCGAGAAGTCGGGCTGGCTCCGGTCATACAAGGCCGCCTTCAACGGTTCAATGACGTCGCCCCGGAAGTCCATATCGAGACGGAGCAGGACCGCCCGCGTCGAAGGGTACCGGATCTCGGGTCTCGGGCGTCGTAGATGGCTCTCCAATCTCCCCAAAGCTTTGTCCAGTCGGACGACCTCGCGGTCGTATGCATCCCTCTCGTCACCGCGGAGCCTGATCGCTCTCTGTGCATGGTACAAGATCAAGCGGGCTTTTCTGACGCTATGCGTCATCTCTTCGGCGCTCTCCACGACCCGGGCTGGATTCTGGCGGACTATTTTGATGAGATCTTCTTCCGAAGGTTCTTGAGCATGGAGGATGATGGGCGACGCAGGTGAATGAGAGCGGCGGCGCTCAGGTGACGGGCTTCGTGGCTGGTAGATGTACGGTTCGAGAACACTTTGTTCATCGTAGGAGTCTGGCCGTGATACTTGTATGATTCGCGGTTCCGGATACTCTCTGCATTCGCTGTACGGGTATCGCATGGTTGAGTATCTGGTGCGAGTATATCTCGCAGGGCTGCGTGAACGTCGTCGGGTCTCGACCCGGTCTTTTTCGCAGTCCTTCTTCCCCCCACCGAAACAAGAGAGCATGTGAATAATGGCAGGGCCTATCGTAGGCATTACTTTGGGATTGATCTGAGTTTCGGATGACAAGATTTGATATGTGAAAGTGAAGCCCTGGCGTGGGGAACCAGTCTGGTGCAACGACTTCTTTTATGTTGAGCAGCAGCCTACTTCTCATGACTTTTCAGAGGCAGCCTGAAGTCAAGATGAATAGCGCTAGATGGTCGACTTTTCTCAAAAACTAGTTTCAACGGCGTATATCCATTTGATCGGTCGGGGCTGAGCCGTCGAGGCCAATTTAGACTGAACGACGCCGTCTCTGTGGCGCTTAGCTCATGCGAGCACTCGACCATTCTGAAGAACTCTTTACTAGCTTAGGCTCACTGAGGTTTGCGGACGTTGGGACAAGGCAAGTTGAGCGATGGACCTGGCAACCTGGAGCCCTCTTTCACTAAGGTTTAGCGCAGTATGACACGTTTCCAAGCATGTTGAATCCACATTCATGTTTGTGTGTTCTGATATATTGGAATCGCTGGTTTTCTAATATCAACGTATTGTGTATTGTACCTATGAGTTCCACTTTTGAGGCCGACGACTTGTGTCCCTACGTCCGACGAGCTCCTTCACCAAAGACTTCGCTTCTGTGATATAATTCTCGAGATACTTGACTATGTCGCGAGTATTTTTCCCTTCTCATGTGACGGTATCAAGCCAGGAGGTTCTGATTGAGAGCAACCGGGTTGACATTGTGCCACTAAAGCCGTTCTCAGCGGTCCTACGATATCTGTACGGAATTGTTCAGGGTCCAGTCGAAGTAAATCTGCTCTTCTTGACACTTTTATTCGTACTAGAAGGCAGCCAAAATGAAAGACTTCCAATCCTATGTGTATACCGGTATTCTTCCTCAACGTCAGCTGTGGCAGGATCCCGTGCCTGCTGTACCTTTTCGTCTCCGCATCAGGATGACATAGCCGTATCCTCTCAAGGGTCCTTTCGCGGACATCATCGGACAGCTTCTTCACCATGAATTGCAAATTGTAAGCTTAAATGTTTCATGCTGTGTCTCTCTCGCACTTGGCTCAGGGTGCACAGTTCGCTACACCCAGCTTTGGTGTAACCATCCGTCTTCGACTCTCAATTTACGACATACAGCATGTACCGGGTGTACTGTCAAGACTCTGAAATGTCCGAAGGGCCTCAAACAGAGAGCCATCTCCTCTTACTAGTGAGTAATATTACTCACGAGATCAAATTTCCTGTTTGGCATAACTGGATTAGAAAGATGTCCGCACTCACGCCCAGTATCGTGTGCGGTCACTTAGAAAGTGAAGAAACGCAATTTGACAATCGACTTTGAAGAGATGACAACCCAGGTTCGCCCTTCAGAGCTCTCTTACAAGAGATGCAACTTATGGGCTTGACGGATCGCCGATTGACCGAATTACTCTACTCGGTTCTCGTTGCCGCAGACGCAGAGCTTAAAGGACCTCTGAGGGGTCTTGACGTGAGTTGGGATATTAGTCCACGTAACGATACCTCGGGGTCTGCCGCCTTGTTTGAGTTAATTAGTCACACAATTGGCGGCCGGCAGAGACGATACCGCGAACTTTTCGACGCAGAAAGTGTGGCAACATCTGCTACATCACATCTGTCCTCACCCAACTGGCTGTTCTATTCATACAGGAGTCTTTCTTTATGCCAGATGGTTCTACTGGTACCGCCACAGGGAGATATACTCAGCGACTGGCAGCGTACCTTCTCTTTGATCTCAAAGGCACACTCACACGAAGTCCTCATTCGATAGCCAGCGTCATGGCCTTGTTCGCGGGGGGGGGGGGGGGAACTGTGCAGCAGCAGCATCATACCTAAAGGCGCAGAGTGGATGAATAAGAGGGAGCTTGACCAGCTGTCCGAGGATTATCTGTTTGCGCTGGGTTGGTGGAGTCGCGATTCACCAGAGGAAGACTCCCGCAGTACAGACAGTTCCGCGGATGCTTCGCTGCGCGAGGAACGATGCGGTATCGACATTGGCGCGCCTGAGAGATGGATTCGGCGAGACGGGAAATGGGGATGACAGGTGACTGACTGGTCATCGGTCAAGTGGAGAAAGCGTGGCAAAGCTCAGCAGATACAGAGGTGCAAGTTCGGAGTTTCGATGTGCGGTGTTTTACTGTTTTGATTCAAAGAGATAAGACATGCAACTAGAACTGGGCAGAAACAGCAATGAATCCCGTCGCCTTGCCCTCAGCCGCCTGCTTCATCAGCTCCTGGTAGACAGCGTCCTTGGTCTGGTAGTACTCCATGTCCCTAGAGTCCGTTAGTACACATCCTCATAACAACTACGACAGTTGATCAGGAGATAGAATACTCACTCCTCGCTGGCGAAAGTGATCTCATACACGATGCTCCACGGCTGGGAGCCCGGCACGTCGGTGAGGACCTTGCACTTGCTCGCCTTGGAAGAGACGATGTACGTCTGGCCGTCCTACAGGTTCACCCAAGTCAGTCAGAGTCCGGTTTGCATCGTGACGACTCGGTAACGTACCTTCTTGCACTCGCTCGCGAAGTTGCTGAACCTCTCGACGGCCTCCTCCTGCTTGACGCTGTCGGCGAGGGCAATGAATCCGATTCTGGTGATGGCCATGGTTGCGGTTTAGGATTATATGTTTCGTGCCGGACGATAAGATAGACAGAGAGAGATTGTGGATCGAGGACGTGAGCTTTGGGGATGGTGTTCCCCTTTGCTCCTGATCGATGCAGACGGCCTTATATACACGAACCGGAACCTCGGCGCCCCTCCGGTCTGGGAAGTCATGCCGCCCTCTCGGCGCGCGCCACGACAGTCTCACCATGCCGCGGGCCACCCGGCGGAGCAACGACCCCGTTCCAGAACCAATTCTCCGAGCCCACGCGGTACGCCGATAGGCGAATTGGTCAAACCGAAGGACCACAGCCACCCATCGGCCGAGGACGATCCCCCCTCCTCAAACGCGTCACTCCAGACCGCTCCTGCAGCACCACACTTTGTTCCTCTGTCCGACGGTTTTTGGACCGGCGGCGAGCATCTCACCTCACCGCCTTGGTCGAATCCACAGATCGTCAGACCGGAACCCGTCGATGCGCGCGCCAAGGCTGAAGGTTCTGCCGAGGCATGAACGTTGGGAGGATCCACAATGGTACAGTGCATCGAACGTTAACTGTCAGCGTTCCGGTTCCTGTAGGTTTCCGTAGAGGGCTCGGCGTTCCAGGGGGTCCGCGGGGGCCCTCACGGCATTTCGGTCTGGGCTTGGGGTCCGCGACGCGGAGGTTTTACCGGTTCGGGTGGTCGTTGTGTGGGGTGTCCCGGGCAGATCCCGGCTTCCCGCGGAGGTGGAGATGCCGGGGTCGATGTCGGGGTTTTGGGGGTCCGTGCAGAGTAAGGTTCCGGGACGCCGATTGACAGCTGCTCGGTGGCGGCGCGGATGGAGTTGTTTCGGCCGTGTTCATGACAGTTCCGGGCACCTTTTCAACACCCTTGGCTGCGACATCATGATTATCTATCTCACGGATCAATGTTGATGCTGCGAAAGGCTGACACGATCAGGGAAGACGGACGCATCTGTGGAACGTTTAATGTACTTCAGGCTGATCATTCATTCTTTATAATATCAAACTTTTCAGTAGCCGGGCTAAGTAAACGTAACAGCCGTAATCATAATATCATACAATCTTTTTCTCGCGTGAACATTTCTCTTGTGCTAAATGCCCCGCTGTCCCTAAGATCCCCAAGCCTTCGGACGACGGTCCGAACGAAAATGAGTACGCATTTCAGTGTACCAATATCTTAGAAGTTAAAATTAGAAAGATAAAGACGGCTGGCACCCAGCAGCCGAGAGCTTTGAGAAAGAACAACAACAATGCCGCTCCGAAGACGCCTCGCCATAAGATGCAACAGGACAGTGCGCTTATTCAAGCCAGTTAGGGAAGCAATAAACAAAGAAAATAAACGCCAACAATCCAAAAAAATCAAAGATTTATCTCAGTGTTTATCAATCTCAGGAATCGCTCTCGAGCAGGACCATTACTGGCTTCCCCTGCGCCGCCTCTGGTCTCTGTAACTCAGAGAGTAGGGAGCCTGGCGCTCCTGGCGCATCGGCCGCCTGTCGGGAAGGCTGGACCTCATATCCTGATAATACCCAGCTGGGGGGTTCGGACCAGTTGGCTGGAATGAGACCGGAGATCGAGGAGCGTATCCTGACTGGGGCATCTCTGCTCCACTCGTGGGATACATGCAGGCTTGCTGAGAAGGACGCAGGCAAAATGGATTCTCCTGCTGGGTGGTGTAGTGTTGAGAGGGAAGGCTCGAGATCGCCTGCATGGGCCGCATCATCTCGGCCGAGGTTGGGGGTGTGTAAGCCTGGATCGGCCGAGACTGCATCGCATAGTCTGAGAGGGGGATTGATTGTTGGACTGGGACGGGTAAGGCTTGTTGGAAAAAACCGTGGTTCGGCTCAGCCGGGGCAGGATGGCTCGTCACCGGCGAGTTCATGAGAGATGACGGTCGGCTGTAGGCCGCATTTGGGTAGAAGTCGGAGGTGATGCGATTCTCCTGGCGAATTCGACCGTGGCCATTTGCCATATCACGAAACATTCGAGACTGGTCTCGGTTCTGACCCATGGCAGCTGAACGGTCAGGGGGTGGTGTGGCTTGACCGTCCACCCAGCGACACGAATCATCGTCGCTTGCTCCCATCTGTGAAGAGACAGAAGCAGGTGCGGATGGAACGCGGTTCGATGTAGAAACGGGAAGGTTCTTGCTATCCTGCCGGGGTTTGTCTCCAGATGTGGAGCTGGCCTCCGCGGAGGCCTGCGCGCGCCTTACGGCCTCTGGATGAACACCTTCCAGATACTCAATGAACTCCTTGAGGTCCTGAACCTTCTTATTCAACTGTTGAACGCCCTCCTCAGGCGAGGCAGGTTGCTCAGCAGCACCGGGGAGAAGGTTTTGCATGGCTGCGGCGATCTGATCAGACAGAGACTGCAGCCTGCTCTCCGTACCACGAAATGGAATGCCAGTCAGTGGCTGAAGTAGGCCAAGTGTTTGCGATGAGCTTTCAGCGGCGCGACGCGCGGCTTGCAACGTCTCCTCGGCCTTTCGAATCTGTTCGTCATTGCCATGGCCTTGCTGAAGCTGTTCGAAGTGCCTCTCAAGAGAAGCAAGATGTGATTGCGTAATCTGACGGAAAGAGTTGACCATTGCAGTCGGCGTAAACGTGTGTGTTGGCTGAGGCTTTGCTCGTCGAGCCATGACAGGTGTTCCTCTTGCGCTCGATGATCGTGATTCATCAGGCATCGGGCTCCGTCGTGGTTGCTGGGTGTGGGAAGTGGATGGCAAGCTGCCTTCATGAACAGGACTGTAGGTGGAGGATGGCAAAGAGTAAGGAGGGCGAGGCTCATGGCGGTTGCTCTGAACGATATGAACCTCCTCAGGCACGGGGAAAGGGGAAGGAGCCGTGCCATGCACAGGGAGTCTGTTGGACTGTTCCGAGTATCGAGGCTGCATCTGAAAGCTCTGGACTGGGTGGGAAGTAACGCCTTGAGGCAGGTGCTGTGTTGGCGCGTATTCTCCGCGTTGGTTGTGCATGTTGGATGTCGCGATTTGCTGAGGATGGTGACTCAAAGCCTGAGCCTGGGATCTGTCCATCAACCGATACTGGTCGTAATATTCTGGCTGTACTTCCTGCCTCGGGGGTGGTTGATGTTGTTGTTGGCGTTGCGGTGTCGGCATTTGGGGTTGTCGCATCTCCTGGACTTGCTGCGGAGGCATCTGCAACTGGTTCCATCCTTGCTCATGTGCAGGCAGTCCAGACGGAGCCCACATAGTATTTTGGGGGTTATTGTCCGGCCGTTGTTGTTCCTGGTGTCCAGCAGCGTAGTTTTCGCCGTCGTTCTGCGGCATGAACACGAAGTTGACTTGCAAGTCGCTATCCGGATTCATTTCGCTCAATTGCAGTCCCTCGTGGCACAAACCAAGATTGGGACACCCGGCAGTATGATTGAAGCCAGCATCAACGTCGAATGATGCTTCGTCGTCCGATCCCACGTCGTCTGACCAAGTCGCGCTGCCGCGTGGATATTGTCTGTGTGCTGAAACTTCAGTTGGGAAGCGTGTGTTGTACTTTGTGGCAAAGAAAGCCGAGCGTTTCAAAGGGGGCTTCGGTGATGTCTACCCGTCGCTGGTTAGAATGTCTGTATCCTTCATGTTGGGGACAGGCAGGCGCTTACCATGTGCGTCGTTGACTTGTAGATCGGCGACTCGGGATCGCGGATCTCAATAGCAGAATCGCGTCTTCCTTGGTGACGGTAGAAGTGCATTACAGGAACGTCATCTCCCGATTCGGAAGGGCATCTTGAAGAGGCGCAAGACGAGCTTGTGGGAGTCAGAGCTGGCTGCTGGATGGCATCTACCGACAGCGCATCCCATTGAACCGTGAATGTGGAAACTCTGTCGGCAGCGTCGAGAACTGCCCTCGATGGGTTGCCCTCCAAGACGACCTCGCGTGCGACGTAAACAGAAGAACCGAGGAGAGTCGCGATGCCACGATTGCCCAAGCGGGGTTGCGGTTCAGCAGTGTGTCGATATTCCAGGCTGGAGCCGTACAGGGTAAGCAGAAACGTGGCGCCGGATCGTTGCTCGGTGTGCGTGGGAATCCAGCAAACAGACTTGAGAAGCACAAGCATGTATTGATTGTTCCGCAGATTGAGGACGTGGATGGAGTCCTTAAGGTCTTCGTTCGACCCGTTGTCGATTATTGTCACGGGATCTCCGCGCTGGTACTCCTGGCCATCAAGAGACCTTCCATCGTGTACCAAGGTACCATGAGATAGCTGCATACTGGCGTTCATGCCTTCGCATCCTACGGTAGGAAGGCTTGTCGGTTGTATCGACATGTCGCTGTGGATAACGTGCTTTCAGGTATAAACGAAGGATGAGAAAGAAAGGTGAGCCGTCAAGCAAAAGAGTCACCAAGAAGAGCACTTGTGGCCTTGACACATAACTTGACACCGGTTAATATCAAGGTTTGTGTATAAGTGCAGGGCTATTATGCTCCCAACAAGCTGTTGAAGACAGATAACGCAGAAACGTTGAATCAGAAAGGTTGTGTTTGACGAAACATGAAGGGAACCAGACTGGAGGGACTGACGAGGAGGCAAGGAATTTTATACATATGGATCGAAATCAGAGGGAGCCGTGAGCGAAGACTGTCTAGGGCATTGGGGAACCTGATGCGTCTTGGCATCGATATGGGACCGATACCCGTGGGCATGGGTCATAGAGTCTAGCTGCAGCGGAAAGACTCGATGTGCTTCCGTGTATGAACTCGTGTATAATCCTTGTCGACACCCTCTCAGTTCTTGCGGACGTACGAACTTGTGGACATGGGGTGGGAGTTGAAATCCAAGATGCGCTAATGGGCGATCTTCCTAGGTACCTAGGGCCGTAAAGTACCACCCCTGAACATCAAGAGACGGGGCATGACGACGGGGCAGGTCGGGTGAACTGGGGTGTTGCAAGGCCATGGTTTGTCTCGGACCCTTTCTCCACCACCTCCAAAGAGGACTCGTTCCCTCCGAGTTGCAGCGTGTTGTATTTCGAAGTTGCGTCTCGCAGTCGTTCTCGTACTGCGTGCCCAGCCCCAATACTCTGGGGCCGCGGCTTGCAGTCAGCTCGTATCATCCACATTTCCGGTACGAATAGTTGGCCTCCCGATCGATGGATGACGGCCGGGAGAAGCAAGAGGTCCAAGTCAAGCGTCCCGAGAAAGAAACGGCGTCTTTTGCGTCAACTGCTGGGCCTATTTGACGCCATTGACGCCGGCTGAATCTTAGAAGAGTCCTCGCCGCGGCAAAGAAGGGTATGTATCTTGGGCGCAGACACTGAAAAGAGAGATTCGTTTCAAAAGAAATGCCACGAACAACGAAGGATAAATTCTGAGAAGTGATAGGGCGAGACATGTCATTGGTCGTCGACTACGCTGGACCGCGGGCGTGGAGTAGCCGAACGCCTGCGAGACCTCTTCGGCTAGGTACTGACTGGTTGACGGTGACCCCGCCAGGGCCATGAGGAGGCACAGTAGCTTACTGGCCAGTTTCTGGTGAACTTATCCAGCATGCACGACCCGCGATCTGCTTCCCGAGGCAGATGCAAGACAAAATAATGATCGTCGTATGACGCCAGGTATCTCACGATGCAGAACCTGAATCTCCTGCCGAGGCTAGGTGACAAGGGCCTTCATCGCCGCCACAGGCTGAAACCGATGCCAGTGCAGCCGTTTTTGTGGCTTCATCGTTTTCGATACTAGCCACTCCGGTCTCGCTCGCGCAAGGAAGCCAATGGTCTGGTCGGGTAACAAAGTGCGATGGACTTGGGCGTGCTAATACCAGATGTTGAGTCGGACTGTACTGAGATATGTCTTAAAAGGCGGAGTACGCCATTTTCATTGTGTACATGCCGCGGTGAGGACGATCTGGCAGCGTCTAATCCGAGGCTTGACCAAGATCCGTCGCGTCCGCGAATAGAGGGGGGTATCTGGCTCTAAGGTAGATGATGCGTCGCCACTTCACCGTCCTTCCTTCCCTGTCTTGTTGGTGTCGGATTCGGTCTTGTCTGCTGCATTCTCTTCGGGCGTCTTGCCGAACTTGGTGAGAACTTTCGCAGCCCATTCCTCGAACTCTCTCTCAGCGGCCTCATCGGTTTGGCCGGCAGCTCCTCGAATGCTTCTGCGCGCCATCTGTCTCAAGTCCTCGACGGACGTGATGTCGAATGCGAATGCGGCCCCTCCGGTCATCATCATACCGAAACTACAGACGTTGAGCGTCGCCAGATTCAGAGCCTCCAGAGCAATCATGGAGCCTTCGGGGTTGCCTTGCTTGCCCGCGGCGGCATGGCTGGGGGAGTAGAATTTGGGATAGGCGGCGATTTGCTTGCGCGCAACAGCACGTCGCGTGATCATGGTCGAGAAGAGCAGGAAGCCGGCGCCGGCGAAGAACAAGCCCAGTTGCTTCGAAACTCTCGAGGGGAATATGGAGGATGTTGGCTGGGTTTGCGACTTCGCGAGGCCAGAGTCCGATGACTCGTTGACGGGAGCCATGGCTGGCGAGTGTTGCGCGAGCATCGAATCTTGTGCCTTGATTGCCTCAATTGTTAGACACCAAGCCCATAGTGACTTTTCGGGACCGGGCCGGACCTACCAGGCTTTAGGGGGGCATGGGCCGCTTCAATCGACTGTGGTCGATTGATGGAGTCTGCTGTGAACGAAGAGTGTTCGCGTGCTAGAAGGTAGCTGCGCAACGAGGGAGGTACTGGGTAAGGCAAGGGAAAGACAAGCCCGGGCGGAGCTCTGGTCGGGTCGGGTGGGAAGCTTTTCTGGAGTCGGGGAAAGGAAGTTCCCGCCCCTAAAATTAGCCGACCCCATTCATTGAGCGTTATATGCAATAATGCAGTGTCAAGAGCTCCGTCTTATTCATCAATCGAATCGACTCGTGAGATTTCTCTCCACATCACGAACAAGGATTTTTCACATTCCGCGTCTTCTCCGTCCCATTCGAGCTTGGCAGCCTCGTTTCCAATCAATACATCGTCATTGCTGCTTCCCAATTCTTTCTGAATAGATACGAAGACGAAATTGGAAACGAGCGCCTAATATCTACTGTTCTCTCGAACGAGCAGGATTCCAAAAAGGTCTCCCTACTTCAGACTGTCGTATATGTGCGAACGCAGGAGAATTTGCATCATGCCGGCCGAATGCTACGGTTCACTACGGACGAAATGCACGCCGGCCCACCATCAACACCACACAACCTTCAAAAGCCTTGCAGCCAGGCACCCTGCGACTGTGATTGCAACTGCAACCGCGGCATCACCGTCTTGCCGCCGTCGACACCAGGAATGAGCATGAAGGTCAAGCAGGTATCTTGACATTATTCGTACATCCGCGAGCGCCATCCATCCTGTTGTCTGCAGATGAAATGCGACGGGGAGCGGTTCAGGCGGTCTGCCATGTCTCTTGACGCTAACACTCGCGCAATGCGCTAAATCCCTTGTCAAGCAATGACACACGTCGCTTCCACAAGGTCCCTACGCCCAATCATCGTCGTCCAGAACAGATATCGACCCCCCATCTCCTCCACCACCTTGGGATGACAGTTGGTCTTGTAACGGCTGTTCCCATCGGACGACATCACCTGCATATGGCATGCCAGTCTGATTGTCGGAATCATTCCCCGGGGCCTGTCCAGCCCCCTTTGACGGGCTGCGCCTGACGAATGGTCTGGGGCCACAAACCCATGGAAATTGTTTTGGCATCTGAGCGACGAATTTCTCTGCGAGGACATCAAAATGATAGATCAAAAGTCGTTTCTCAGCTACCTGTCATCCCGCATACACCGCCTACACCTCGCGGTCCATAACTTCACGATTCATGAACCCTAGCAGCCGTCTTGTCATCAGATCGAATCTCGCAGCCGGGGAACCAGCATTAAAGGTAAAACTGTCGCGGCAACGATCGATGGGTGGGAGATCGTGCTGCGATGTCGACTGTCAATGGGTTTTCACGGCTTATTGGCGATTTTTCTGTTGCATGGTCCCTCCAAATCAATGGGTCTCTCTGGCCAATCCAGAAGATGCCGGCGCACGAGCTCGGCCGTCGTCATTCCTCCTTCGACCCTCCAGGCTCTACGTGGCTGTGGCCCCTGGCATAATGATTTTATTCTACAATAGCAGGACCATTGCCCTGGGCGCGACGTCATCGCAGAAGCGCAATTTCCAAGGCAGTCAACTCAATGATTTGAATACAACGATCTACCTTTTCGGCATTTGGGTAGAGACACATGCTCCTGTCTGTGATAGGAAAAGAGTGCTGGCTGAAAGTCGGCTGACCACGACAATCACCTCATGAATCGTCGCGCGCCAGTATTACAGAGTTGGGAGACTAGACCAAGACCGACTTCACGATTACAGCCTGGCGGGGTCGTGGACGGACACCGGGCGCGTCAATTTCCAGCGCTGTGACCAAAATTCCGGGTCACTCCAAGAATCGAGGGCACATGGTTGGCTGAGTGCCGGAATGGGGTCAAATTGTCGAGATGGCTCTTGGGTCCGGAACACGGACTGAGTCGCGAACCGACAAGATGGCCGAGCAGCCAAAACAAAAACCTCATCCTCAGAATGCGTTGTGGACGTCGGTAGCAGACACTGCGACATACATGACTGAAGAGCGCTCCGTCCCAAAATTCTGGCTCTTGGATTCGAAATTCGTAGCGAGACAGGTCAGCCACAATCGGAATAGATGGGAGACATACGTTGGTTCCTGGAGAATGACGAGATCCGACTGAACCGGCCTGTCTCACCAGAATCCAAGCTTATCACAAGTTCACTGTCTTCATTACCTTACCGAGGGCAGTGTATCTGCAAAGTCGACGGCGTCGCATGCTGCAATGAGATTGGCCGGGCCACTCATGGTGGAAAAGTTTTTCTTCGTTAGACCAGGATGAGTCTTGCTGCTCAATACCATGCAGTCGACTAATGAGACCTGAAGTCCGACGACGATCGAGGGCACAGACGACATGCCACGATTGGGTGGTTGGGTTCTCATCGACTGTCATATGTCACTTTTCCCGAGATCTAGTGCCTCAGCCCGGAATGGCAATAGTCACGAACTGAACCACCTTAACGATAACGAGACGGGTCGCTCAGCTGACACATACATGAAGAGAATCGTTCAGTTGGTTTTTCTAATCTCCCTTTCGGCGGCTGGGGGATTACCAAGAAATCAAGTTAATCAATATGCAATGCGTGTGGGAATCTCCGAGCCCAAGCGCGAGTTCTTCGTGGGTTTTTTGTCGCAGGTGTCAGTCATGGTAGGCTTACCATGTATCTGGGTCGGCGATCGGGCTGCTGCTGAAGTGATCGATCTCCCCGACATAACACTCCCGTCAGTGCGAATGCGCACACGGATAACACCGAACATGATTACTACTCAAACAGTAAAAAACGAAACTCGCGACGGAACGCACTCCGATGAGATGGCGCTTTGAGTTGACCCTAAGAACCTCATCCGGGATGACGGGAACAACCGCGCAACCGAAGGGACAGTTGCTGATGTACTGAGGTCGTGGGGCATTTTCCCAATGGCTTACCCGCCGTGAACGCCTGTCTCGCAGCGCACGACTCAGCTTCGCGCATTCCACGGCTGATGAGAAGCTCTCTTACCCAAGAGCAAAAGGTTGAGAGAAAATTCGGCGCCAAAGCAACGGGACCGAACGCACAGACTGAAATCCGACAGAAGGGAAAGGGAGGGCTCGAGATCTGAGTCGTTTTCTCTAGAAGCACACCTCGCTGGCATGTTTGGGCCTGACAGCGGACAGAGTTTCCCTGCTAAGTCGAGCTTGACGCGGAAGAGTGGAAAAATCAAGACATAGCGCAGATGAGAGATAAACGTCGTCAACTGTCACTTTCTCATGGCATAGAAGGAGAGATGAGAAGTGGTCTCTGATATGTGACGAGGAAAGGGACCAAAGCAGGGAGTCAGTAGTGGGAAGACGCATCTCAAGGTCAAGCGATACCAAAATCTTAGCGCCGCACACTTTTGTGCTCACCCCTGGTCCCGGCGATGTGTGCCCCGGACCCCCGGAGAAAGACCCATCTTAAAGCGGGTCCACGGGGATCTGAGAGGAGCGGCGGCGGCCGGGTAAGGCAGGTTGGCGCACACCAATCATACACCGTGGAAGGCCCAGGTACGTACCCGATCTCCGCAGATGACTAGCGCCTTAGGTTGGCGTCGAGTCCACACTACACACTCCATCCGCTCGACTCGGGCGACTTCATCTTCACAACCTCCAGCCCACAAAGTCAGGATTTTCTAAGCGACCATTGGAACTCCCTTGCAACTGCAGACACTCTGGGCGCACGTCGTCGAAGTGATCTAGCCAACGAATCGCGATTCGAATCTAAGCATCTGCGTCCGATCCCAGTCTCACGTGGACTGCCAACCCAGGCCCTAATCAGATCTGGCTGACAACACCACAACTGAACGACGTTTTACTGCCCTTCGACCAATATTCAGCCACCAATCAGCCGCTTTGATTCAACCCTGCTTCACGTTTTTATCCCGGACCGCTCCACTGGCTCCCATCCTCCCGTTCCGCGCGCCTCTTTTCAACATAGCGGGAGCCTCAATCTTGTCCCAGACAGCCAGCGGGAGCCATCGGCCACCAAGTGCCCTCGGTTCGCTGCACATCATTCATCCTAGGCCACGTTCCATACGTACGGCACAGCTGCTGCCGTCGTCCGATCATGGGAAAGCAGAAGACATCCGGCGCTGGCAAAGCAAAGGGAGGCGCCGGCAATTCTATCACCGCCGCAAAGACGCCCGCTGCTCCCGCTCCCAACGTCCCTCCCGCTCCCAACGTCCCTCCCGCTTGGCCCCAATTCAAGCCACAATTACCAGTCACCGACCTCGTTCCCGACAAGTTCGCATCTTGCCCTGACAAAGTGGTTCTGATCCGCAACTTCTGGCCCAAGTCTCTCTGCAGTTCTTATGTCACCTTCCTCAGGAATCTGCCACTCGTCACCACCCCTGGCCGCCCTAAGAGGGGAGACGCAGTCAGGGTGAACGACCGTTTCCAAGTGCAGGATGCTACCTTTGCTCAACGTCTTTGGATGGAGACTGGACTGCGCGAAGCGCTCTCCCAAGAAGATGTACGGGGCCTATGGTGAGTCCATTGGATTTCCTTCCCCCCTGCCCGTCCCCCGCTCTCGTCAGAACCCTGATCCTGAAGGATGCATTATACGCGCTTCCGGCTCGACCCGCTTGTTGCACCCAGCAGACAGCACCCCAAAAGAGTATTCCATACGTGAAACCCATGCAGAAGAAGAAACCAGTTTACCTCCTGTATCTCTACGCGAATTTTGGCTGACGAGGTTAACACATGCTAGGGGCGGTGAGGTCGTTGGCCTGAATCCCAATATTCGCATTTATCGCTACTCCAAAGGCCAGTATTTCGATGCACATTGTAAGTCTAAGGGTTATTTTCTTGACTTGTCACAAAACGCCACGTACCTATGCTGCGGGTGACAAACTCTACGAGTCGTCGGGCGAGTTGCCCCGGCTGTACGGACTCAACCAAGCCAGTGGCCGAGTTTCTCGATACCCTTCGGCAAGCACAGCGTGCAGCAAGCCACCGGATTTGTCTTTCTTCTCCAATAGCTCAAAGTTGAGAGTCAACGACGAGCGAAGGTAGAAAAGCATCGGTTCTAAGGAAGCCTGCGTGACATCACAACGCCGTCGACGATCTCTCTACACCGACTCTTCTACTCGCAAGGCCGAGTTCCAGCTATACCAGCTCACGACACCCAATTCCCATACTTCGTACGGTGATAGGCTACAATTGCCTTGTCCAGACACATCTTGCGAGGAGTCGAGCAAGCTCGGTCCATACGTTTTCTCTCACCCCATTCGCAATTTCCTTCATCGACCCATTACTACGGACTGATGACTTGTAATTGTTTCCAGTCCATGCATGTCTCAACCTCATCAAGTCCAGAACACAAGTCTACAAGATGCCCCATGACTTGCAGTGTCGCAGACAAACCTGACGGGACCTGAGTTGGTCTTACCCACTATTTCTGTTATGTTTGAGAACGAGTAAAGCCCCGCAGCAAGCGAAGCCATCGAATCTACCACACGATGGTCACAAATGATATATGATATCTCTCTCCCGCCGCTCAGTCCTCTTTGTCTTCACTCTACTCGTCATCAAGGACTTTTGCCCCAGCACCGGGAAACACATCGATTTGTTCCGCAGACCCAAACCCTGCGGATCGTTCCATACCGATCCACACAATGGCGTTATCATTCTGAGTCCGGGAGCCTGCGAATCCGATCCAGTGAACCCTCAGCATCCCGCGCCGACGAATCCCTCTCGAGGAGCCAAGAGACCAAACAGCGAACACGCGCTGCCGATTCCCAGCCTGCAGCTTCTTGACCCAGGATCCGATTCTTTTGCGCTCTTTGACACTTTCCTTCTGTTCCTTTCACCTGTCTTCCGTGCAGGCTTCCCTCCCTCTTCATCTCTTCAAGATCGATCTAGGCCAGCTGACCACATCAACCGCCCCCCACTCACAGACGATGATTCCAACAACGTCTCGCTCGCCCTTGACCCTTCGTCGGGACAGACTCCGTGCAAGACAACGTGGACGCTTCTGCTCTACCTGACCTCCTCCGCCGAGGGCTGCGTCGGCGGCGAGACCGTCTTCTTCCCCAACGACCGCCGCTCTGCCAAGGAGGAGATCCCGGTCGCGCTCGAAACCGGAATGGCTCTCTTACACAAGCACGGCGATGATTGTATGCTGGTAAGTCTTTACAAGTCCTATCTCATTCCTCGCCTCGAAATCAAACGGAAATCATCATTCCCCGATCTCCGGCTGTGTTCTCGTTTACAGGGCCCAAAACCTCTGCTGGACGCTCTTTCGCAACTGCGATCGTTGCCACCATGGGCTTCTCGCCAGCTGTTTCTTTTCTTTTTTCGGTGGCGCGAAACAGGCCGACCACGGCCACAACTGCGGCCTCACCTCTTCCTCTTCTCCCCGTCCCCTTCTCACCCAACCACCCGCCTACCCGCGCCCAACCCACTCTTGCAGACACTGCCGTACCTATCCCATCCCATCTCTCCCCCCCTCTCTCCTCTTTTATTTTTACCTCTCCCCCCCGGTCGTACCAACAGGACGAGAGAGAGCACTGCAGACTGACACATGTTCCACTTATCCACAGCACGAAGGGCGGGAAGTTACCGCGGGCGAGAAGTGGGTGCTGAGGACCGATCTCTGCGTCAGGAAGTGAACCAGAAGAAGTGAACACGAACGAAAACGCACAATGCCGGTTCCCCGTCGCGCTCGGACGTGGGGAGACAGAGAGAGGAAGAGAGAGCGAAGAAAACTGAGATCCAGCGCCTCCATCCAAGGCTCTGGGAATTCCCCCGTTGCGGTACTGCAACCGCCCCTTTCCGTTGGTAGCACACGGCAGCCCGTACGCGGTACGCATCGAGCTGGTTCGCGCGCACACCCGGCGGGACGCCGCAGGATCGTTTGATGGCGGGCCCCCGAACCCCTCCTTCTTTTTCTTCCCTTCCCCTCTTATTTGATCAGATATACCGCCGGATCGTATGGAGAAACACCGCAAACGTTCTCGACCGCCCGTGGGAAACACCACTGTGGATATCGTTTGTGCGCTGGCAGAGTCCGGCTGGTGGTCAAGTGATCTCTTCCCATGCATCCCCGCCCCTCCCTCCCCCCGATTAGGTTGCTGTTGATCGACGAGAGAGACAGGAGGAAGGGATATGAGGCCGAGCGGGAAATTTCTCTCATGGCCCATAAACCCTCGTCAACCATTGGCCTCGCGGGTTTCCACGTTGTTCCATGTGGGAGAAACAGGATCGTCTTGGTTCGGGGTTATTATTACCAGGACTGGAAGCAATCTTCAGGACCAAAAACAAAATCAACCATCATTTCCCCTCCACTCTTGCGTGTGTACTCCCATGTAGAAAGAAGACTGCTCACAAAAACGTCACTGGGCAACCGGCAGAAGGCGGTCAGGCGTTCTTTCCCTGGCTGGATCGGATCCGATGATGATGGCCTCGCTCGTCGTTCCTTTTCATCGCAGTGGACTCTCTTTTGCAGCCTTCGGATGCGCGTGTGGCATGCACACCCCTTTTTTTCTCATCTATCTACGTACAGTAAGGTAGGTACGGCCATGTAATGCGTATGTGCGTGCCTGCGCGTGTCTGAATGGGTGTTCCGAATCTGCGCGTGAGAATGGCAGAGAGAGCATGTCGAGCCTCAACTTGCTGTCCCGGATCTCCCTCCCCGAACTCCCCGAAGAGACCGCCGGGAAAAAAAGGCCGGCAACGCTCTCCGTCTGCCTACCTGCCTGCCTGTCTGCCCCTCCAACCTGCCTGCGCAATATACGGCGAGATGCGGCCGCCAATCTGGCCGCTCCTACTCGAGGGTCTTCTACTGACGACACTGGTACGGCGTGTGTTTCTGAGGTCACGGTGGCATTGACAACAGGCGATGTGTGCGTCACGAAAACCAAGTCTATTATGTGATGTTCCATGTCTCTCTCTGGTAAATGGCACGGGCAAAACGACCAGACGCCTGCACGAATCCTGTACCGCGCCCCGTCATCTAGGGCCCAACCCAATCCAGCCCCGTTATCGCCCATTGCCTGAAATCTATGATGAATGATTGAGACTTTGACGGGAGTGACCTGTCGAGCGCCCGTGTCGCAGCAGCAAAAAACCAGCTCCCGTTATCGCGCCTCATTTCAGTCCATGGCGCCGCCCATCAATTTGTCGAACAGATCCATGGCGTTGTCTTCGTCCTCCACATGTACCTCCTCCCCACCAGTCGCGTCCTCGTACTTGGATGACACTGAAACATCGTCGCCATCGTTGTCGTCCGTGGGGCTGGCAAAGATCTTGACCTCGTCGCCCCGGTGGACCTCTCCTCCGCCTTCAATCTGCGTCGCGGGCTCCGCCTCATCGTCCGCGCGGCGAAAGGCGTGGATCTTCATCGTGGTCGGCGCCGCTGCCTCAGGGTCGATGGTGGGCTTTGTCTTGACCTTGCCCGTGGCGATACGGCCCATGATCCAGTGAAAGATCCACGGGAAAGTGATCAGGGGCATGGATTGACGCTTGTGCTCCTCGTCCTCGTACTCCTCTGCCAGGGCTGCATTGACCTCGATCTGGGTCACTTTATACATGGCCGCCACGAATGGCGCGATGTCCTCGAAGGTTCTGCCGCCAGCCTCTGTGTAGCATATATCGCGAAACCGCTGCTTCAGCATTGATGACTCCCTGCCGATTTCTTCCTGTTGCTTGTAGTCGCTACCGACGCGCGGTTTAGACAATGCGAACCCGGTCCAGATTTCGAACTCGGTGTCAATGTCGCGCTGACCCATGAGGCGTCTCATCGCAGTGTCATACTGAACCTTGATCGCACGAGCCTTGGACAACAAGTCATCGGAGAGCTCAAAGCGGTCAAGTACTCTGTTGTCGAATTTCTTCTCGTAGAGAGGTTTGAACCCGACGTCCTGTATCATGTCGTACAGCTTTCCTAGTGCGGTTGACGAGTGGTATACACGGCCTCTGCCACCTAGGAAATGAGGGCGATCCTTGGGGTTTAGGTGAGGTGGAAGCTTTGCAGGATCACCGGTCTTGACGTAGTCGACCGCCTTCGAGTGCAGTGCTGCTAGTTGGAGACCTGTGATTCATTAGCAAGTGCCGCATTCATTGCTTCTTCGTCATGCCCGGATAAACTTACATTTCCTATCCTTGACTCCATGCGCAGACTTGTCGGCGTGGGCTAGGTGTGCTGTTGCAATCAACGCGAGACTGTCGTTCTGCATGTATCGAACAAAGAAGGTTCGGAGATCCTTGACTTGCACGTCTCGCCGCAGAACTGGCGGTGCCGGCTGCGAGTAGTTCATGGGCGGTTGGTGCCAATCGTCCGGGATGAGATCGGGGTCCCAGATAACGAAGAAGTCGTCGCCATCCAAGTCTCCTCCGGACATCATGCTGGGAACGTCACGATCCCCTGTGCTGGGGAAGACGACAACGTTTCTTAGGTGATGGAGCACAGGCACATCAACTGCCTCCACGACTCGGATGTCGCCTGGATGAAGGGACGGGTTGCGTCCGATCACGCAAAGTCCTGTGATACACGTGAACTTGCCACTGCCGCTGGGACTCTCGACTTGTAAGAAGATTTGCGGAAGATCTTCGACTTTCTTCGTCTTTTTCCCTTCATTGGCCGTGTAATATCCACACAGGGCCCCTGTCTCGTCCAGGCATCCAAGGAGAAAAGCGCTCTGTTCAATTATCACACGAGCTTTTTCCTTGAGCAGTTTCATAGACCAGATTCTCCAAAGATCCAAGATCGTCAGCACAAACGGCTCTTGGATTTCGGGGTCCATGAAACCCCAAGCGACAAGGTCTTTGATCGTCAGAGATGTCAAGTTCTCGTCAATGTACTGCCCTAGAAGGCTCGCAGCTGCGACTCGATCATTCATGGCTTTCTGGTAGTTCTGGATCTGGGACTCCGCAAGCTTCAGGATGGTTTCTCCTCGGACGCCAAGGGATGTCAAAACTGTGATCGTCTGCCTGTTCAAAGTGGCGATCGAGTGTCGTGCGTACTTGATGATTTCGAGGCCGTTGAACGTCGCCTTGAATTTCTCTTGGGACGGCCGAATGTGAACTTCCAAGTTCTTCGCATCAGGCCAGACGGTAAGCATGCCCTTGCAACCACCCATACGAAACTGGAAAGCGGAAGGCGCAATGTTAAAGTCCTCATCGCTCATTTCTTGGACGACCATCTTAGCAAGCAATTGTGATATCTTGCCGACGCCGTCGCTGAAGCAGAAGCCATTCTTTTCGATGTCTTCGATTGGAACGATTTTTGGGATAGTGACGCCGCGGATTTCTCTCGTCGTGGAAAAGCACTGACCGATACGCGCAGCGTATTTTGCCACGTTTTTGATGTGACTGAACTGGCCCATCCAGTCCCGAATCTGGTCGCAAGACAGGTGATCGGTCGGGCAAAAGAAGTAGACCGCACATTCTCTGATCTGAGAATTGCCGAACGCGAGGAATTCGTAGTGTCGGCTTCCAATGGTGATGCCCTTGGCCAAGGCACGATACACTCTGCTGAAGAGCTCATCGCCAGAGTCGCTGTATATCTTGCCATTATACAACTCGTCTGTGAACTGGACTCGAAGAAAGCGATCTTGGTGAGTGCTGTACTTGCGGAGGACTCGGTTGGAAGACTCGACGCCCGGAGAGCTGTAGTACGCAGTTGTTGGCGTGACAACAATCTTGCGAATCGTGCTGCAGTAGTGTGGCATCATTGGATTGGGGAAGAAGAGGTTGGCTTCTTCGTCGTCGAAGATCTCCATCGGGTCCCAAACTCTCTGTCCCTGGTCCGCGAAGTACTCAAGCGTCCATTTCGCTCGGTCCTTGTCGAGAGCTCTTAGTCGATTTAGAAACTCCAGGGTTATCGAATATTCGCAGAAAATGCCACGAGAGATGCAGACTTCTAGTTGATAATGGACTTGAAAGTCTAGAGCTGGCGGGGCGTCAAGACTAGAAGCGAGAGACTGTAGATGTAGAGATAGACCATTGGCAAGTTGGGAAGACTTTCTGTATAGAGTAGCAAGCACAGCCGATCGGTGTCCAGTGGATTGAAAGTGGTCTGGGGCGATAGTCTCAATGTTGTATGCATGAAGCGCTTCCAGCGCCTTGTCGAGGGGATTCTTGGTATCATCGATGATGAATCTGAACGTCGTCCAGCGGCCGATGTTGATGAAATCGGGATCGTCAAACTCCGTCTGTAAGGTTACCGGGAAGTTCGATGGCAGACGGCGGTCTTCGAGAATAATGCTTCGTCGCTCCCACATATCCAAAGGACCCCAAAAAATCTTTCCTGCTGCCATCTCTTCTAGACTTTCTTGGTCCCTCTTGGTTCTGAAGATTGCCGGCAGCTCAAGAGGAACGATGAGAGTGGTGGCGCCTTCCTCAGTCTTTGCGCGAAACAACTTTGTTAGGCGAGCAAAAGCGACAGTGCAACGGTAGTGGTGGAACTGGTCCTCTTCGTCTCCATCTTCCTGGGCTCCGTTCCTGCTCGCGCTTGTCTGTGCCGTTGGTGTAGGCCTTGCCTTCCGCATGTTGAATGTGATCGTGAGCTGCTTTCTGCCCAAGTCCATGTCGATCCTCACGTTGTCCTGGACAGTCTTGTGGATCATCATCTCGTTCTCTCGGAGAAGCGATCCAAAGCTCATCTGTGTAGCGTCGATACTCATTCTCGTTTGCAACAATATCTTCGGGTTTGCTGGGCTCTCGGTGAGATCTTCGAATTTGATCTTCGGCATGAAGAGCGCGAGAGTGATGCGCGCTCTCTTACCCTGACCATATGTGAGAGCATAATTGACGGGAGTCCAGAATGCCGTCTTAGGAGGCGGCTCGAATCGGACCTTCGCGTTTCCATTGCGATTTCCTTCCTTGTCTTCGTCCAACTCCAGCAAGGTCACATTGCCGTGTTTTGAAAAGCATTTGTGAAGGTCTGCCAAAGTCACCACAGAAGGGACTCTGTGTATCTTGAGCGTCACCTCAGGCCAGGTGCGCCATGACTCGGTTTCCATGGTGGTTTTCTTGATACCTGTGATGATTATTAGTGAATTGACGCGACTCGAGACCAGGAAGGTTGGTCCAACGAAAGACTGGATACGAAGGGTAATAGCAAGCAACACCGGCGCAAAAGCGGCAGGAGCAGAGGTAGCAAGGGGAACCCGCAAGTGGTTTTGGTCCGGGACGAAGTGAGTGATACGTGTTCTGGGTAAGATCGTAGGCGATGAGGCGTATAATCGGAGACTGATGGACGTCATGGGTTCACCGACGACTTGAGTACTCACCTGCGCGAGATTCGCTTACTGCAAGTCGCTTCTCTTCCAGCTTCGCCGTCTCCTCTGGAATCTTCACCGCATCCTTGTCTTTTTCTTCCATATCCTGAACTGTGGACGGCGAGGACGACGGATTATGTTTGATTGGCGGCAGCGTAAGATAAAAGATAGGAAAGAAGTATGTCAGACCGGCGTGGTATGTCAGACCGGCGTGGTATGTGCCAAGATCAAGATGTAAGGTAGTTGGTTGTTGTTTGTGAGTTGAGATTTGAGGTAGATGATCCAAAAGATTGAGATGCCTCCTCGCCTTGGAAGGTGAGGTGGTTGAGTAGGTAGGTAGGTATTTTGATCAGAAGGCAGGCAGGCACCTTCCTTCTTCTTAGGAAGTTAGGTTGCAACAAAAAAACCTTTCATCCGCATGGCAAGCATGCAGTCTCCCGTTTGCTAAGGTATTTCCCCCTCTTGGCCACCTTCCATCTGCGGGTGGCCGATTGATCCACCTGCACCTTCCAATCTGGCAGTTTTTACCTACCCTACCTACCTAGATTCCATGGCAATCAGAATGCCGGCTTGTCCACGAGACTCTTGTCGTCTAATTCTTCATCTCCATTGCTGCAGAACGAAGCCAATTATACGAAAAAAAGAACAAGACGTCTATTGAAGATGCGTTACATCGAAATCCAGCAAACTTTTCGCGCCAGAGTCTCCTTTAACCTTTGCCAACCAATGCGACAAGTACGCGGTATCCCCTATGTTTTTGTCGTACATCATTTGATTGACGTAGTTCGGCGGAATGTTCAGGTGGTCAATCCTTCTTTGATACTTGCAATCCCCATGCTCCTGCACAAGACAAATTCTCGCGCCTCCCGTGGCTCGGCTAGTTGGGCCGAAGTGGAAACCCGAGAATGCTATGACCTCAGATTGTCTTCGATCCCTCCGGAATATCCATGATCTTTCCCGGGTTCAAGATCCACTTCGGGTCGAGCGCACGCTTGATCGACTTCATCACGTCGAGCGTATCGGGTCCGACTTCAAGGAGAAGCGACTCCTTCTTGCCCCATCCAATCGAGTGTTCTCCGGTACACGTTCCCTCCATATCGATGGCGCGCTTCACCATGTTCTTGACGCACTTCTCGACCTTTTCTCTCTCCTCAGGAATCGTTCGGTTATAAATGATACTCTCATGGAAGTTGCCATCGCCAATGTGGCCAAGAATACTGGCAAACAGACCCATGTCGTCCATCTCCTTCTTGCTGACCTCGATGAGGTCGGCCAACCGGCTGAAAGGCACTGCGACATCCGTGCTCCCTACGAAAAGTCAGTCCCAGAACTCGGCGTCTACACTGGCTTGGGCAGTACTCACAAACTTCCTCGCCCTCCTTACGAAGCGCCAGCATTGACCAGAGCGACTCTTTCCTGGCAGACCACAAAAGCTTTTGCTCACGCGCATCCTTAGCGAACTCGAAGTTTCCGCCCTTATGATTCTTGGTTATGTTCTGGACGAGACCAATATTCTCCCTGACGCCAGCCTTGGTGCCGGAGAATTTGAAGAAAAGAGTCGGAAGCTCCTGCCACACTCGCGGGGCTGTTGCACCACCCAAGTTGACAACCTTCATCTGGACCTCGTCCATAATCTCCATGGCAGCTACGGGAATGCCGTTTCGCATCACCTCGGCTGCAGCGGCTGCAGCGTCTCGAATACTCGGGAACGTCACAACTGCAACAGAGAAGTCCTCGGGGACGACGGTGAGTTTGAGAGTTGCTGGAGTGGAGTCAGCATGCTATCAAGAAGTGCGTGTTGTGTGGGCACCTGCCTTCCGTCACAATACCAAGTGTTCCCTCAGATCCAACGAACAGCCCATTCAAGTTGTACCCAGCCGAAGACTTGCGTGGCCTCCTTCTGGTCTTCACAACGGTACCGTCAGACAACACAACCGTCAGGTTGATCACCCAATCCTTCATGGTACCGTACCTGACGGCATTGGTGCCCGAACAGTTGGTGCCAATCATTCCGCCTATCTTTGCGCTTGGTCCTGGACTAACGATCAGTCCTTGCTGCAACTGGCACATTCAACAATCCTTACCTGGGTCGATGGGAAAGAACAGACCGCTCTCCATCTTTGCCAGCTTCTCGTTCAGGTCTTGCCATCCGATACTAGGCTGCACAACTATGTCCATGTCCTCCTTATTGAAAGAGAGGATTTGGTCCATAAAAGCAAAGTCGACGCTGATTCCGCCGTATGGCGCTGAGAAGTTACCTTCCAAGCTAGAACCACCCGAATAGGGGATGATGGGAACATTGTGCTTATAGCAAATACGAGCAATGGTTGACACCTGGTCTGTCGTTCGGGGATATGCCACTGCCACGGGAAGGCCGTCAGGATTCGTTGACGACCACTCTGAATAACCATGGGCTTGCAAGTCGTCCGGATCCGTGGAGATGATATCCTCGCCACCCAATTCTGTTCGTATCTCTTTCAGAGCCTGCTCGATTGTTAACACCCGCATATTCTCTGGAATCGACAAAATTACCTGCTCCATTTCGGTGAGGGTCGCGTACTTGACAGGTCCTCCTTCGCCAAACGGCGAGCCGCCGACAAACGGAAGAAAACCAGACGCTGCAGGAGTCTCTTTTCTCGAGCTAGCAAGGCCCCATCCAACAGCACCTGCAACCAAAGCAACACCCCCGACCGATTTTCCATCCCAACGAGATTGCGAACTTGTGCCCGAACTATCGGAGCTGCTTCCCTGGGGGCTCCGCCGACCAGTCGTCAACGAGAACCTCCGACCGGCCCGGAAGGTGGACCCAGCCAATCGGCCCCTCAGGCCATGGCTAAGAAGGGGTCGCGCAGAGTATCTTGCCGACATGCAGGGCTACACGGTGGAAAACTCCGGCTTTCGAAAAGGCTGGTTGTTATTGGTTCTGACCAGGGTTGAAAACTGTCACAAACGACAGGGCTTCACCACGGTGTGGGTTGCGTCGGCGAAAATGGGTTCTGTCGGCGTTGAAGTTTGCTTCTCCTTCGTTTTTGCTGGCCACCACGCAAAGATTCGAAGTCTGGATTCAACGACTTCGGCGATTGCTCGTTAAGCGGTAGCAACTATTCGACTCGTTGCGAACTCCAGCTGAACAGTCGATGGTTGGCCCTTGGGAAGGTCGTTCTTCGAGTGCTCCGCGAAACAAATCCGTGACAAGCACGCTCGAGATGGGGAATCTGGCGAAGAAGGGGGAACCGGCCAGTTTATACTGAGAGAAGAAGTTCAACCACCGCAAAACCCAATTCAAGAACAATGTCGCAATCGACCTTGAATGAAACTAAGCGGCCAGGCGTTGGGGCAAGTGGATATGGTGGATGACGATGGGGCCCGTCGTCTTTAATAACGATGCATTTGCCTCTGTTTCTGTGGAAGGAATCGAGAGCGTGACCATACAATAAGTATTAGTGAGTACCGCTTCCCCCATTGGGAGAGAGTTGCAGGCATCCCAGAGCCTGTGGGTGGATGGAAAGCTATTCAGTGCCCAATCAGAAAGACCGAGAAGAACGACGTTGGCCGAATAAGTCAATAAGCCAGAAGACGGAGGGCTCCAGTGACGAGACACCAGGCGAACGAAGTGGCCGAAGTGGTGGCCCTAACTTGTCAGCGGGGTGGGATGCCGTCTTGGCTCACGATCGGTACCTCAGAGTACCTACCTTGGCTGCTAGGACCAGACCAGCTAAGCTCTCCAGGTGGAGCGTCGAAGCTGTCTTGTTGCTGGAGACACAGGCACAACAAAGCGGACGACATCGGGGACGAATCTGGGGCATAACCGAATGGAAGCGGGGAAGACGCCGAAGGTGAAACAACATGTTAAATCTTTCGGTGATGGGACATTTGCCCGGACTTCGGAACGGTGCCGGCGAACGGATGGATCATCTGGGTTCGGAACTTGCTGCCCTGTATCACCACACAGCGCCCTCTCCCGCTGGCAATGAATGACGGCCTGAATCCAGCAAGTCGGGAACACCAGGCCGGGGTATCGGAGTTGATGCGGAAAAGAAGCACGACCTTGCCCAACAATAGGACTGGGCACCTGCCGAGAAGGGAGGACAAGGCAGCCCTTCGCGTCATGGCCAGAAACCGACACCAGGTTCGTATGCAGGTGTGACCCCCGTTTCGTGGGGTGGCTTGGAACACGATGAATGGGGGGCAGCATCAACCTTCCAGAGTCGTCAACGGCAACGTTATTAGCAACGAGGTCTTGGAGCGACGTAATCAACGCGAAAGCACCGTGGAAAACTAGGAAAAGTGAGGTTGCCAACTTCCTCGAGAGAACGGCCGCAACTGTCGGCTCTCGCTTTGTACGACAGTGAGACGGGCACAGAGCCCCAAATCCAACCCTTGGACTAGTCCAGTAGCCTGTGTCCCCCACGGCGCGCCAGCGAAGCGACGAGGATGGGGAAAAAATTCAAGCTCCTCCCATGACCAAGAATTCCAACGTTGGTGCGTGACAGGGACAAAAGGGCACTGAGTTCTGATGAACCCCCGCGCGTCGGCCCTGTCGGTGTAGAGTCCGCAGTGGAGCTTGCCTGAGGGGTAATGGGCTACGGTGGACGCCGAAGACGCAGGCCCCGTTGGCCTCCGGTACCCTCAGCATCATTCAGTGCCGTCTGCCGGCTGGGAGCTGACTGCACTCGCTTTCCAGGAAGGTTTCACTGCAGGTTCCTGCGTATTGCTGCGAAATCGCACTTCTTGGGCGGATCACGAGGCGACGGTGGACACGGGGCCACGTTTGCGAGGCGCTTTCTCGCATCGGACATCAAACAGTGCAGGCGTTTGTTCGCGGCCAGCAGCTCGTTGCCAGCTGTCCCACTCACGATGCAGCCGGGAGTCCGCTTCCGATATCTAACCCGGCACGGAGGTTTGCCGAGGTGAAGATACGCCCGCAGCTCTTGCGAGCCAGACAACTCGGCAGAACGAAAGGAATCCCTCCTTCAGCATCGTCGTAATCGACGTTGTTCTTGGACTCACTTTTAGCCCTGTCGTCGTTTGCGGTTTGTCATCATATCTACAACATGAATCTGGGGCTGGACGCTACGCTGACTTGGCCAAACTTTACGAGGTGACATCCAGGAATCTCGATTTCCGAAATGATGAAATTGCTTACCACCTTAACGCGGCCGCCAGCTTATGTCAGTTTGCCGGTCAGCGAGAACTCGCTGTACACAGTAACGGTCGGTGACGACTTTCCAAGACCGTCAACGGACGGTCAATCGTGGGATGACGAGTTCCGGGAGACACTCAGTCTACGAATACTGCCTCGCACCAGAAGCAGCCCTTTAACGGAGTGCATCATCGTGCGAACATGCGGGCGCTCAGCCCTCCTGCCAACCTGCCTAAAGGATTTTCGTTGCATCAGTAGGGTGCGCACTCCCACGCCGTAATCCCTGCTCGCACTTGCAATATACCATCGATGAGATTCGATGACCGTTCTGCTGACGGCTAGGCCGAATGAATTCCAGGTGCCCTGGATCGGATTCCGGTTGGCCCAAGGAGGCAAGCCGCAGCTGCAGATGAGTACCACCCACAACCGACAGGAACTTTTACAAAGCCTTTGTTCAACCCGCAACAAGCCCACGCAATCAGTCCATGAAAATCCTGGGCCTTTTTTTCTGTCGACTTGCTTGCTTGACCAGAGATCCAAAGAGACCATATTTTGTTCATGTCTGAACTGCCAAAAATATTCTCAATTGCTCAGTGAATTTGTACCTCTCATGCAAAAAGATTGTATAGACGTCGTAGTTCCAGCGGGCTAGAATCGGTGGCGTGAAACGCCACGACTGCGTGTGAAAGACATGAACATGCGGACATGAGGGCCATGCCGCCGAATGGGAATCTCAAGTGATTTCAATGGCATCTATCATTCGTTTTCCTAATGCCATATCATCTAATATCGTTGGGGAATACAATCGACACCAATCTGCCCGCGACGATGTGGCAACAACACAAAACCCTGATGACCGCTCGTATCGTCGTGGCGGGATAGTAAACAAAAACAAATCCCGATGTTGGTGTTTTCCCATCTCCAAGTTTGCCCATATGACAGTAGGCAATACCCAAAAAGTGCCCAGTCATACTCTTCGACATCCAGTGCGCCCTGCTGAAGTCGCCGGCACGTCGCCTTCTCCCATTACGCGTGCCCGATGAGCACGCACCGTATTCTGCTACGGATTTGGCGGGATGGTTTTACTCAAAAGTGTTTGTGTAATGTCTGATACATGTGGTCCTTTTTCTTTTTGTATGCCGAGCTGTTTCGTACACCATTGATGCAGCGCCCTTGACCTCCTCCTAGCTGGCGGCAGAACCCTTCCTTGGAACCCCTTTGAGAGATGGGGAGAAAAATTCCCTTTCAGTCGCTCCCAAGTTTCATCTGAGCAACTCGTGATCGCGTCTCTGCGTTGCGATCAATAAGTCGGCAGAGATACGCTCTTTGGAGGAGACGGGCTCGTCAGAGATGGAGACCTCGTTGGTAGGCTTGTCTCCTCTGATCTAAGTCGACAACTTGGCTGAAGTGACACCCTCATATTGAGTCTCTTGAATAGTCAAGTTTATCATCACAGTTTGATTGGAGGTGAGGCCTCCCCGCAGACGAACGAGGTGTACTTGTCACCGTCAAGGCTTCCGAATGTCTTAAGTAGCCATTTGTCAACAGCGAGCACCGTCTCCGGGTCGTTCACCTTCCATTTTGGATCCATATACTTGAGAAAATGCCCAAGTATTTGGGTGTTGAATCGCCTGAAGGGATGAGGAGGGTTGGGCCACTTAGCAAAGACGTCCTGCGGCGGTTCACGGAACGAGCCCACCACGGAGTTCTTGTATCCGACCAAAGAAACTCTTGGCCGTGTGAGGTTTCTCGACCCACCTCCACCTCGAAGAGAAATGAGGACGTTCTCCGGATGGATAATCTCATGGGTGACGTTGACTTTATACTGCTTGACGATCCCGTCCAGGAGATCCTCAATCGTACCCAGACGAGTTGCTCGGTCTAGCTGCCCCTCAATGATCTCGCGGCCGTCTTTGGTGAGTTTTGAGCTGTCACCCAAGTAGATCGGCTTTCTGAACTGTTTGGTAACCCACAAATCTTTCAAGCAAATAGCATCGAGGAACTCCAAGGCGATGACACCGACGAATCGGGTCTGGCCCTGGAAACTCGGGTCGGTGGTCGGAACCTCGGCAGTCCAGCAACCCAGCCACTGAGGCGCGACGCTCGAAGGCCCGGTGAGGCCCGCGTTGTACAGGGTCTGGTACGCGCCGACCTCGTCGCTCATGGCCATGTCTGCTCGCGCGGTGAGTCTGATGTAACTGTTGACAGAGTTGACATGGTGCGGCCAGAAGAGTGCGTCGTAGACTTTGAGGAAGATGACGTCTCCTATCACTGGCGTCTGTTGCAAATCCGCGCTCGAGATTACCGAAGGCACTTCGAGCACTCGACACTTGATCTTCTGAGTTCCAGGGATGAAGGATCCTGATCTGTTGTTGACGCTGAGTACCTCAAGAACTTCAACTTTCATCTTTCTCATCGCGTCTTTCTGGATTTCTAGATCTAGATTATGGGGTTTGTCCTGGAAGACTTGTTGCATGCGCGGGATTCGCTTGCTTTCGTCCGTTTGGCGAATGTCGTCGCTCGTCAGATCGGGCGGCATGGGGTACCACTTCCAGCCCCAAGGCTTCGGCGCTTTGTGTGGTGTGAGTTCGATGGTCTGGCCCTCGGAATAGAGCTCATCGTGGTCTTGGATTCGGACTTGGTCCAGGGAAAGAGCCATGCTGGTGGGTGGCTTTCGAAATGTTAAGAGAAGGGGGAAGCGGGCGTGCTCGTATGACGACCGAGATGGTTGAAGAAGAGTTTCAAAATTCGCGAGGTGTCAACGAGGTAGGTCAGGGATTTTGGAGATGAACTGAATGACAGAACCAACTTATTGCAGCAAGCATTTATAGAAATATCTCTTCTCACCTTGAAGGCTTTTGCGAACAAACGGAGATAGTTCCTCTCGATATCAAGGTTCAGGCAGCACAGTCACCAGCTATCTGTTCTTCTTAAATTGCGGCTCTGCTGGGTTAGCCAGCAAAACAAAGTATTCATGGGCTGTTCAAGTTCAAGCAATGTGTGGCGACTGGGATGTAAGAGCTGTCTTTTGGCTTCTTTGGACGGCGAGGAAAGAAGACAAAAGCTGTAGTGAATAATGCCATTCTTCGCTGCCGTTGCACCTTCTATTTTTCTGTGCCTTTGTTGTCGGCGTCGTTCATCTTCTTTTCTCTCCAGCTCACTCAGGGAAAACATAGAAACACGACCATCATGGTCTCCTATGTCTGGGAATATAGTCAACTACGGTGTTGTCAGGCGAGAAACTCAAGTTCATCCCAAGTATAGAACGTGGGCTCGCATATCCACATGCCGCAACTTTTACGCAGTCTGACATGAGGAGGAGAAAGCTTCCAGACGATGAGTTGGTGTATATGGGTTGATGCAAGCCATCTCACCTGCCATACCATAGCTCATACTCCTTTTCGGCGACAGAGGTATGGAAATCAAGCGATATCTGACCAATAACGGTCTCGACCGCGGCCCATGCTCTGTCCAGAACAGCTCGTACGGGTACTTCTAGTTTACCACACCAGGAGCCTTGTTACTCAACTTCATTCCTTTCGGGGAAGAACAGGCACTCGTCATCGAGGCAGTCTCGGTGGTACAGCATGCTGAAGTCTCCGACAGTGGTACAGCAGGGTTTGGGAACCATGAGTGGGAGGCGGGGTGTTCCACCTCCACGTCTGGTTGCCGACGACGACGCTATGCTGTTTATTGTTATCACTTTGCTGCGATTATTCTACCAGAAAAGTAGCATCGGACATGAAGTCGTGGCCAAGTGTGCCCTCGACAATAGGAACGAACGGAAAATTGAGGTGGTTTTCTAAGACAAGCTGACCAGCTCCTCAAGAGCCTGTGAGCAGGAAGACGACTTCGTCCTTTCCTATCCGTAGAGTACCTTATCCCAAGTACTCGTTATCTAACAAGCCATACGAATCCACCTGAAATCGCAGATCATCCGCCATTCCCCAGGCACCGATCTACCAACGCTGTCAGAAATGACCTTCGTGGTAACACAGCTCGGGAGAGCCTCACGGTTGCTGCTTCACCTTCCGCCGCGGAGCAAGGAAAGGTCCCGACCTCTCCCCCGCATGCCTCCCTCCAGCTGAGCCCTCGGGGGATTGTACGTAATGGTGAGCCTGCCGCCCATCCCTCTTCCCAAAAAACATGGGGTAAGAATCGCGGGGGTTAGAGGCTTGGCCCCCGGGTAAGCCTGCGTCATCCACGGCATGCAGCAGGTAAAAAAGGCACGAGACCATTTGCAGCATTTGAGGAATACGAGCTGGCTCGCGTAGGCGCCGTGACGACTCCCGTCGGCTTTTTGAGACGGGCGCGGATATGTCGTGCGTGAGGTAGCGTGGTCCGGGGAAGGATCCGTCGGCGGTGAGAGAGACCGGAGGAGGTCTTGGGGCTTGTCTGGATTGGTCACCGACGAGTGTGAGGGAGTGGGATATTTTGAGGCCAGACGTGGTCACCGAATGACTTGGATTGGGTCGTTTGGATTGTTCGGAGTCTGCCTATCAGCCTGGAATAAGAAACGCGGTGAGAAAATATTCGAGACTCCTGGGTACACGGAGCTTGCCGTCATCAACAGCTTCGCGGGCTCGGTATCTGCGCATCAGCCTGGGCAGGCTCGATGACCAGGATAACCTATCCGATGTCCGGCTGGGTGAAGCACCAGGTATCAGACAGCTTGTCTAGTTCGACAATCCCGAACCATTGGCGCCCAGCATGACAACCATCGGAAATCACAGGACAGACATTACAGCGAGGCATGTAGGGAACTCAAAATTGGGCGGAAGAGTGACCTTCAATGGCTTGGTATTGGCCGCAATACAGCTATCTGCCGGGTAGTCAAAAGCCGACAACTTCTAAAATCAGCCCTAGACTCCGTAATTTTTTGTTCATGCTCAATCCCATTTGCCCGACCCAAATAACCGTTCGTCCTTGAAAAGACATCACGTAAAGTTGCGCACCATGTTGGTCCACAAGGACGACCGACACAGACACGCGGCAGACTCACTCACAACCCTCCTGGCGAAGGAAAGCAGCAGCTTAGTTGCCAGCCAGGGCCTGGGCGCGACGGCGGTCACGCTCCTCGGCGATGGTGAGCTTGACACCCTTGCCCTTAGGCAGGGAGATCCAGGGCTTCTCGGAGCCGATGACGAAGACGTTGGACTCGCGGGTGGCGAAGGTGTTGTCAATGGCGTCCTTGATGTGGACGATGTTGAAACCTCCGTCGTGGCGCTCACGGTGGGTGATGACACCGACACGACCCATGTTGCGACCACCGGTGACCATGGCGATGGAGCCAGTGTCGAACTTGATGAAGTCCTGGATCTTGCCAGTCTTCAGGTCGATCTTGACGGTGTCGTTGACCTTGATGAGGGGGTCAGGGTAGCGGATGCTAGAGAAGTAGAGTCAGCAACGGGGTTCGTTTGGGGTAGACATACCAGCCGCTGGATGTGGTAGCTCCAATCTTTTCCTCTTCGTGATCGGCCAAGATTCCATCTTTTGATATTTTGAATTCCTCCCTTCCTTGGCAGAGCAAGTGAAGTCCCGTCTTTCGACAGGTGTCGGAAAAGCAAAAGTACTCAAGAGAGAGCATGTTGGGGGGATATCGATGACGAATCGACCAAAGCTTGATCCAACGGCTGAATGATGTCTGACAGAGACGAGGTGTCCAGAGGAGACTCACGTTCTCGCATCGTGCGTGACCAAGAATGGGATTCCACCGCGACCGAGCTGGACGCGCTTGACCTTGCCGAGCTTGTACTCGGCCTCCTCGGCCTGGATACGGTGGACGGTGAAGCGGCCCTTGGTGTCGTAGATGAGACGGAAGTTCTCGCCAGTCTTCTCGATGGTGATGACGTCCATGAAGCCGGCGGGGAAGGTGATGTCGGTGCGGACCTTGCCGTCGACCTTGATGAGGCGCTGCATCATGATGGAGCGGGTCTCACGGTAGTTGAGGGCGTACTTGAGGCGGTTGCGCAGGAAGACGATGAGGGGCAGGCAGTCGCGGAGCTTGTGAGGACCGGCCGAGGGGCGGGGAGCGTAGGTTCCCGACAGCTTGTCGAGGAGCCAGTGCGAGGGCGCGCTAAGGCGCTTCTGGTGCTTCTTGCTGTGAGGGCATTGTCAGTATTGGTCCGTCTTGATGCCATCACACAATGTTTTCGAGGTCGTCGAATGCGAATTTTGCGGTCGAGGTATCGGCGTCGTGTCGCGGCGACGAGTCGCTCGAAGCAATCGGATTCAATTGGAGATCGTGAAAAGGATATCACTTACAGTCCCTTGCCCATCTTGTCTTGACTGCCGGTTAGTCTATGGGGGTGTCTGGTCGTGGGTGTGAAGTCGAAAAGCTGAGATACTGAGGGCGCTTCCGGGGATCTGGAGTACAGGGTCGACCGACGGAATTTTTCTGTGAGAATAGGTTTTTCGAACCCTACGCCTGGCGGGCGCTTTGATAATCCGGTCATTTACGTTAAGCGATATGGTCCGTGCACGGTGCCTTTTCTCGACCTGCCCGGCCGACGTTGGACGGGCATTTGATGGACCCACCAATGGCGGGAACCATCGCTTTTGACCCCAGAAGCTCCTCAAAGTTCCGCGCAAGACATCACGGGAGAAACCCAAAGATCGTGCTCAAGCTTCTGCATTCTGATACATCCATCTAGCGACTGATGCTCTCTAGCACACAGGTTCTCACACTCTATCCCGACAGCCCTGGAAGCCAGAAGTCAAGAGCTTCTCGGGCTTCCTCGTTCTTGTGCAGAAACGACTGTAGTCCATCTAACCGTTTCCATTCCATTTTCCCATCCTTGACCGTGAGGTATCTGATTATGCGCCATATCTCCATATCGCTACTTCCAGTTTTGGTATAAATATTCCTTCAGAAAAGACCGTAGAGGCCGTAGAGTACCTCGTCCCTCCGATTTACTCCTCGCAAGCAAGAAAGACGCAGCACTTTTGTATCTAAATCAATGAGACCCTGACGTTCAGGGTCTCCAGGGCTCAAATGAGCGTCTCATGGGTACACAAGGCATGAGAGCCTTTTCGTCAGATATGTTCAGTTGCTGGCACTAGACGATCGGGGCTGCAGGACTTTAATCCTACTGCAAATCTGTCTGAGCCGCTCCCAGCCCTTGACCAATTCAAGGTGACATGGGATCAGGCGCCATGTCGGGCGCGTATTGCCGCATGGGCAAGTTGGCGACCTGTGTGTCGTCCAACAGCAGGCGGGAGATATCCATCTCGCCAGCGCTGCCCATAAACGCGGCAGTTGTGGTTTCGCCAAAGTCGAAGGCTGCTTGCTGTACAGCCGGCGACTCCCCATTGTCAAGCATAGACAGGGGCCACCTAGGCAAGTCCTCCTTAGAGTTGGTTCTGTTGAGTGCCGCCTCCATTGGAGGCGGTCTGTTGGGCTGCAAAGTGTTGTTGATGCTCATGCTAACCGTCGGCTCGAGGGTGTCGTTGCCTCTACCGTCCTTGATTTGGAACAGCCCCTTTTCGATCTTCTGATAAACATTCGGGTACTTGTTCCGAACTCTGTCTCTGAGGTCCGTGGGTTGCCGACCTGATAGGCTGAAGCGTGGGTCTCGTTGGATCTTGGTCCACGCAGGCCCGTATTTGTCCAGACCTTCGAGGATTTGTTTGTCGTCTTGATCGGTAAATGGTCGTCGTTCTCTTCGGTGAGATTTCTTGAAAGGTCCGTGAATGCCCAGCTCGGCCAGGTCTTCAAGTTTCTTCCGGTGAGCCCGACTCTTCTTCGTTCTCGGGTTGCCGTACTCGTCCATCTGTCCCAGCTGAGCTGCCTCAACAAGAACAGGCTCCTCCTGGGCAATAAGGATGTTCTCAGAGAGGAGGCCCGTCTTCGCCTTTGTCTTGGGCTCCGTAGGGGTTGTAGGTTGCGCGGCGGTAGTAGCGATCTTGGTATCACTGTTTGTTCGGCGTAGCTCGTTCGGGCAGCAAGTACGGAACCGATCTTTCAAGTCACCGGCCGTACGGTCATTGAAGTTGAAATCCGGATCGGCGAGGATATCAGTCCACTTGCCGACGCCATGGCGATTAACACCCAGGAGTAAGTGATTCGTCTCCGCCTCTGACCATTTCCGTCGCGGCTTCATGGCCTTCTTCCTTGTCTTGCCGCTACCGGCTTTCGAATTCTTGGTTGGCGTCTGCTCCGGCTCGGGCGGTTTTTCGACCTCCTTTTCCTCTTGAACGGGGGCATAATCTCGCATCGGCTTGAGTTGGTTACTTTCGGGTTCATTGAAGTCATTGCTAGCGATGGGAGGAAACAGAGCGGCGTCGGGAGGAGGTTCGTGGAGGCCATTGATGATTGGGGGCATGGCCGGCATAACCTGAGGCTGAATGGGCTTCTGCTTCTTCACCGGCTGGGGCAGTTGTACGAAATCATCCTTGGTGGTAATGGTGCGATGTCTCTTCTTGTTGGACGTATCGTCTTTGTTGTCAGGCACCTCGTCGAGGATCTTGCTCAGTGAAAAGGACGAGTCGGTGGTGTCTCGTTCCTCGCCTACGAGCAGTCGAAGCTGCATGTAGGCAGTGCTACTGACGGCACCTCGTTCGGTTGGGACATCGTCGTCCTTCCTCATGTCTCGGCCGGGGAAGGCGTCGTCGACCCCTCTCGAAGGTGCGAGCGGGGCTCCATGGCTGGTGGCGAGAGGTGGAGGCTTGTTTTTGTCTTCGCGATGGGACGTGTCGGGCTCGAGGGGGAAGGGTCGGTCGGAAGGACGAGGATATGCCAGGCGTAACGGAGGCAGATCAGCGCGAGCGAGCTGAGGCGTGGTCGAATCGTTCAGCAGGTGGATGAGGCGTGGCTCGATGAAGGCCATCGTGGGCGAAAGGAGTCGGAGTGGGCATTTGGTTCAGAATTGAGGTAGGAAACAACACAGGCGAAAGAGAAGAATAGTACGACACGTAATGGGTGCAGTGTAGAAGAAGAGGTAGGGGTTGTCGGGGCGCGATGGCGATAGCAAGGCACAAGGCAGGATGGCGAAGACGATCGCGAGAGCAGACGCGGATTGCTGGGACGGGATTCGAAGTCTTGAATGACTTGGACTTGACTGGATAGACCGACTGGCGGAGTGCAAAAAAATCGCCTGCAGCATTCCAGGCTTGGTCTGGCAGCACCTCAGTTACCTTACCACACACTGCAGGGCACCTCCTAGAGGAGGTGGATTCGCCCGCGATGAATGGAAGTTCCACGTGAAGATTCTCCACCAGAACATGGGCGAAGCACACTAGCGCCGTTGGCTTATCGGTATCTCGTGTTATGGTCCGAGGCGTATTTGCATGCGCAGAGTAACATGAGAGCCTGAAGACTATCATCGAACTGGCCCAGGTACCGATTTTGCCTTGCATGCTCCCACCGGCTTAGGCTCTGCACACTTGATAAGATAGTAACCGGGCTCTACTTTTAGCTGCGGACCATGTCGTAACTTGAGGTTTTCCGCTCCGACTCTCAAGAAACAGGAGGCACCTCATACGGCTTCAATGGCTTCACATGAGCACTCGAACTGCCCTAAACTCCTTGGGCAGTGAGCACTGAATAACGTCGGGTAGCATCATTCGAGTGTGAGGTGGTGGTAAGTGCCCAAGATCAAGGCAAGGGACCTCCAGCTCAGAAAGTGGTGGGTGGCGTCCTGCGTTCCGTACTGACTGCCCGTGAGGTGGAGGGCGGAGGACTCACCGTGCACGCATCCCAAAGCTCGTCCCACCTCCAAGGTTTACTGGACCTCCCTTCCCTGAGACCGAACTTGCAGCGACGTCGACAACCCACCTTCAGGGCAAGTTTTGGTACCTTACCTCAAGAGCTTCTGAGGCTCGGAGAGACATCCATTCCCTCCGCTCATCGTTTCCGCCCCCAACTCCACCTCTGTCTCCCCAATATCGCCTACTGCTCGCCAGGTATTCATAATATTACTTCACTACCAACAGTGAACTTGACATTTAACCGCCTAAGTTGGACATCTGTTAGACCAACTCGCTTCCACTGGATCCCTCCAACCGGCTTTTATCGCTCTACCTATTCTTTCCGAGTCATCCTGCCTCAACTGTGTTCTCCTTGCTGCACGAGAACATTCTCTCAAGACGTCCTTAAACTACCCAGATTATGGCCTCGGCACTCCCAACCTTCCCTAGACTGGTGTTCACCGTCTTCGAACCCATATCGCTGTGCGTACGATCCTTCTCAACGACTTAAACCGCCACCAGCTGATGTGAATGTCTCAAAAGCGCCGCTGGCTTCCTGGGAGCCGTTATCGACCCGGATTGGTTTATATCCGAGCAGATTGCTCCGGCCGCAACTGCCGGACTGCCAGCCCCGGCCTCGGACAATGACCGGCTCGTTGCTCTCCAGCTGGGCAACATCTACCTTCTCATGGCCATGGTCGGTTTGGCTGTGCTCAACTCGACAAGCGAGCTGAAGGTGGTGAGAAGCTATCTCGTCGCTCTTTGGATCGCCGACCTCGGACACATCTTCGTCTGCTACTATGCCATGGGTCTCGACCGCTTTGTAGATGTTGCGAGTTGGAACTCTATGACTTGGGGCAACGTGGGAGTTACGGTAAGGCCAAAACCAAACCGCAAAACTTGTTGCTAATAAATCAAGGCTTTCCTTTGCTTGACCCGGTCGGCTTACCTTCTAGGGTGGTTTGGGCCAGATTCGCAAGCCAAGATATCAGCCAAGAAACAGCAGTAGATGGGCTGTTCAGGACACTTCTGGGTGATTCACAGACATTGGTTTCAGTCTCCAGCAGAAGCTTTGTGTAGGGGTCACCGGTACTTTTCAGCGGCAGTACTGCTCGCCGATCCAGCTGATCCTGCGCCTTGTCTGATCCTGATACCGGCACATCTCGTGCTGCTTACACAGGCAGAAGTCAGAAACCTGTTCTGTGTTGAGAACTAGAAAGAGTGAAATTTTGGGGCCGGAGTCATGCCTGACGTAGGCGTTCTTTGTTGATTGTAGTGTATTATTTTCAAAAGCTGAATGCTCTTCAGCGATGAGTGGATGCAGGTTATGATGCCGTCTGTGAAGCGCTGTCGAGCAGCCCTGAGACACCTTCAGAAGGGCCAAGCTTCATCGAGCACTCCCCCGCAAAATAATTCGGATGTATGCTTGACTGCATCGCTCCCCGCAAATGGAAGATTTAAAGCAAGATTCAAAAGGTTCATCCAATCAAACTACGTTTTTTCCAATAGAGTGACGCAAGTTTGTAAGTCGATGGCTCAACCTTACTGCAGTAAGGTACGGACCACACTGCCAGTGGTGGATACCTAAGGCACGACCAGGGTCTCACATCCCGGAAGTGGGAGGGAGGACTCGACCGCACCTTACCTGCCAGGGTTAGGGTTAAGCGAATGAGAGAGTTTGTTTACACTTCTCGTCATCCCCACCTCCTCAAGTGACGCGTTCTCCCTTACGACCCCCTCAAAGATCGAGAGCTTCACCCAAAAATGGTGCAAACGAGGGCGAAAACCGGTGCTGCCGACCAGCCGGCTGATTCTGGTCGCGCTGCACGCTCCACGCGCCAACGTGGAACCACCGAGAATAACACGGGAAACGCGCTGCCGGCCGGAGCCAGGAGTAAAAGGAAAGGAAAGCAGCTCGCCGCGCCAACGGGTATTTCCGATGACGAGGAAGACGACGAGGAAGACGGCGCCGATGATGATGGTGAAGATGAGGTCAAGGTAGATACGAAGGATGCAATCGGGGCAAGGAACCTCGAAATCCCCCGCCGCGGCGCGCGGGAGCCCGTGAGGAGCATCAGTCCGCCGCCGAGTGGTGGGTCAACCCCATCATGATATTTGACGTGATTTTGACCATAGCTGACAGTTTCAAAGATATCGGCTCCCAGATGGGCACACAAAAAGCTACAACGCGATTCACAAATCCGTACACCCGTGACTCAAGTGCGTTTGTAACGAAGTCCCCTTTGCGAGCACGATGCTCATGTCATTCCAGGTGTCCAGGCCTCATCGCAACCGCGAGGTCCACAAGGTACGATGCGCTCCTCTCACGATCGCTTCAAAAGTTCTGACCGCGATCTGCAGACCAACAACGCAGCTCTTTCGGAGAGCAGTATGACGAGGAACCGAGGACCCAACGCGGCAAACTTGACGTCCATCCTGAAGAGTTGGCAGCGATTAGAGAAGATGCCCTTGAGCCCCTGTGGAGCACCACCCAAGGTCTCGCCAGATTCTTGTTCAAGCCAGACATCGAAAACCGTTTCCAGAACCCGCTTCTCAGGATCCAGCGCGACAACTGGGCCAACATTGTCGACACTATCTTTACCAACCACGCGAACGAGTTGTTCATCGATCTATCCGGTGTCTCAGATTCGCTCAGTGATGACATCCAGGTTAGAGGCAGGGCCGTCATCGCCGCATCGAATGCAGCGTGCCTACAGAACGAGCTGGTCAAAATACGCCTGCAAATCGCCGACTTCTCATTCATTGTTGAGCATCTGAATGCGGACTTCCCAAAACCATTCTTCAATTATGTCCCTGGACACTACCACGAGGCAATAACCGACGAAATGATCAGCCTGGCGATCGAAATTCGCACGCAGACTGTCATCTCCAGGCTGCGAGATTCGGACCCTTCAGAACAGGATCCAGCAGGCGTCGCCGCAAATCTCTTCTGCAACGTCGACCCTTCGGTGGACGGCGAAGAGGCCCTCAAACACGGACCCTACCATTCCATATGCGACAATGTCGAATCGCCTCTGGCCGCCCAACGTGCTAGAGACATTGTAGAGCTCATCGAGGGCAAGGACGCGGCCCACGCTGTCGCAGCATTAGCTGATGCATATCCCTTCGGACAACTCTCATCAAATCTCACAAAGTGGGCCCACGACATCATCGAAAGAACTGAAGACCTCATTCGAGAAGCGCCGCCCGACTCGTCCATGCGGCGGTCACCGTCCCCGACAGACTCCATATCTTCTTCAGAGCCGCAGGAGTTCGTTCGCAAGAATGTGTAAGTCGCATATCCTGACTCCCTCTTTGCCTTTCTACCATGCCGACTAACATTCCAGTCACGAAAACCTGAACGATCGAAACGTAGTAAAACACCTCATGCAGCTCTCCCGTCAACGGCGCACATCATCCCCACCACCGCCCCAACAACCTCCCGTCGAGGACGAGGCTGTACTCCGTGGAATCGTCAGTCGCAGCACCAGTCGCGCCGCACCAGAACCATCCACGGCCGCCCGAAACACAGCGACCCCCGGTCCCTCCGGCTTCACCCCCGTCAACGGCACCAAACGCCCCCCTCAATCCCAGGACACCGACGACGCCTTCGAAGAAGACACCCGCTCGCCGGACCCCGAACGCAGAGCTCAGCTCGACCGCGACAGACGCGACATGCCACCGCCAGCGCACCGCCCTCGCAAACGCCAACGCGTCCCCTCCCAGCCCGAACCCCAACCATCCTCCTCGCGCCCGCCGACGGCGTCGTCGAACCCGACAAACAGCAGCCAGCTGGCTTCCTCACCGCCCCCGTCCTCCTCGTCGCGCCCACCAGCATCGTCCGATCCCGCCAACGCCAGCAGCCAGCCTCCACCCTCGACAGGCCTTAATTTCACCCAGATCCGTCAGCAGAACCGCCTCCCGCCGAGCAGAGGTCCTGGCGCCCCCCAGCGTCAGCCCTGGAGCGATATGGACACCTCCCGCCTCATCAAGCTGGTCGACCTGCATCACTGCAAGTGGGCCGTCATTGCCAGGCGGCAGGATCCCCCGCAACACCTTGAGGAGGAGATGGACCTAGTGCTGGACGTTAAGAGAGACCAGCAGGCCATTCGCGACAAGGCCCGCAACGTCAAGGTCGATCTGCTCAAGTAAGTTCACCTGGAGACGAAACCCAGATTCTCCGAAGGAAACGGAAAAGACGCAGTTACTGACTACCGAACAGGGCCGACCTGAACCTCTTCCGAGGATTCGACGACATCTTCCTCGGCAAAAAGGAGCGTCTCGCCCTGATTGCCCGCGGGAAGAACCCCGACCGGAAGGAGGCAGACGTCGACGAACACGACATCCCAACAAACACGGACTACTTCGCCACGGACTGACGAACGGGACTGTTGTAATTCGTACATTTTGGTAGTAATTCCCATGCTATGTGGTTGGATACGTTGTGCCTTTCTATCGAATCCTGCAGCCTTTTGCATGCTTTGTCCATCTCGTCAACACCTCATAAAGCTCAACCCGCGTCTTTTCCCTGCCATACCCAATCGTAAGAATCCGCCACATCCCAATGACGGACTAATCTATCGCCTTTGAAACAAGGGTCTTCTTTGCTCTAAGTAAGCTCGTTCTAGCCTTTTGACCAGACAGGTTACTGTCCCGTTCGTACTGGGTATCCTCGTGGCTCTGCCAATATATTTCCAGCACGGCATCGAGTCTTCGTCCATGGCCTTGCTCGTCTCCGTCCATAGCCTTGCTAGTCTCCGTCCCTGTTCACTTATACAACAAGCAATACTACACAGACAAACGTACATCTTCGATACAGAGGCCTGAACATTGCACATAATACCGACTAACAGAGGCCGAGTCCTCATCTAGAACTCGAGAACCTTGCACTAAAAGTGGAAATTCCTCAGGAGATCAGTGACTTCGTCGACTCCTCGCCCCGGTACCACCCCAGCCAGCCGAGCTCTCAGAAGGAGCTTGGCCTTCTTGACGGGATCGCCTCCGTCGAGCTCAGCGCCGGGTCTGACGTTGCATCCCTCGATACACAAAGCGACGCAGATTCTTTGGAAAGAAAAATCGAGCGGCGGGGCTTGAGGCTGGGGCTGGGGGGGGCGTGAAGACCACGCCCACGTCGTTCAGGTCGAACCTACCAGATACCATCCGCGTTAGCTCGAGATCGCACGCGCGGAAACTAAGAATCATTTTCATACCTGGCAAGAATCCCGAGAACCTCCCGTACGACCGAGAAATACTCCCGATCCAAAGACGTCTCAAACCGCAGACCGACCAAAACGACCACATCGCCGAGCTTCTCTGGCTCGTTTCCCAGAGGAACCTCCACGACCCGACAGGCGGTAAGCGAACGCCAGCCGTCGTACGTCCTCACCACCTCCAACACCTCGTCATGCAGCGTCTTCCCGCCGACCACGCCGCGGTTCCAGCAGTTGATGATCGGGCTTTTGGGGGCGTTAGGGAAAGGCGTCAGGGCCTGGATGCAATGAGTCGGTCCGAGAAAGCCTTGAATATCAGCGTGTCGGGCGGACGGGTCGAGCAGGGGACTCGAGATTTGGGCCGATTGCGTGAACCATCCTCCCCAGCTGGTGACCCGGATCTCTCCGCCCATCGTGGGGATGAAATCTTTGCTCTCGGGTGGGGGAAGTGACAGGTCGTAGACTTGTTTGGTAATTTTCCAATGGACTGATCGTCGTCGTCGTCGTGCTCGTAGTTGGCGTTATACTGGCTTTGCGGCCTTGGTTTTCTTTGCCCTGACAATAAAATCCAGCAGCAAACTCAGACCGTATTAACATGATGAATGCATTTGTCCATGGTGGTGGTAGTTGAGTGAAAATGTGAAGATGTCTCCGAAAGCGAAAAATCCCAACTGTCCGCGCGGATCGTGGATAGGTTTTCTGGAAGGAGGTGGGAATTTTTGGGGGTCAAGCAGAAAAATAAGCTTGCGGGAAAAGTAACTTGGGAGGTTGACACTGAAAGGCAACAGCATCATCGTCAGCGGTATATTCGTTCTGGTTGTCGAGGAAAGAAATGGGAATGGTTTCTCGGTCATGTTGGACATGAAGGGCGGTGTCCCTGCTCCTACTCAGATCATGGACGCCAGTTTGTGGGAACTAGGAAATGCAGTCAATACAGGCCAGAAACACTTCACCCAGGTGCATCGTTATGAAGACAAAAGTAGATATAGGAATGGAAATCCGGTCCCTATCAAGACTGCCCTACAAATATCGACCGTTCTCTCCTCTGGTCATTGCCACGGCGGTGGAAGGCCCGTCCGTCCTGTATCGCGCCAACAGGCGTTTTCTCCTCTTCTCTCCACGCCCAAAAGCCAACTTGACTGATTACAACCACCGCTAATTCAGTCTACTTCCCCGTCACCGGTTTTGAAAGTCGTGAAAAAGAATTGAAGTCAAAAAAAGGGTTGGGTAGAAACTAGACATCATCGCCGCCATTCTCGGCAGCGGCATAAGGTATTTTCGGTGCCAAAAGTACAGTAAACCGGATCTCGTTCCTCTATGCGGTGCCGTAACAAAAGCCTGAAAGATGACCATTTCCCATTCAAGAGGCCAAAAGACTGTCGAAAGGCGCGTTTTATGGTGCTCGGGGCTGAAGCGAATTGCAGTGGGAAACAGTCGGGGGGATATCGATTTCGTGATGCCAGTCCGAGCCGGAGAAGCCTTCGTTTCGCCATATGTTTAGGGTCTCTCAACCAGAGAGAAGTTCGTAAGAGTATGTGACAGAGGAAAGACAGGACAAAGGGGGGTATGCTGCGCGGTGCTCTCAAATCTCAACAGGTGTAGAAAATATGTGGTCCCAGCCATCAAAGCTGGAAGGTGGATGAATAAAAGGGTATCGAAAGTTGAAGTGCCGTAACGGTTGTTGCGTCTTTTAGTTGCAAAGCAGTCTATCGCCGACGAGCGTTGGGGCTGTTCTTGAGTCGCGATGTACGCCAGCCCTCGTACCACTGCTCCCTGCTAGCTTCCCGGAGCTCAGCTCTCCATTCGCTGAAGACAGCGTCCTTGAGCCTGGTAAAGTCGCAGTGCTCCTCGTTGTAGGGGTCGGCAAAACCCCAGGGGAACTGACGTCCCATGACTTCAGGCTCGTACAGGTCGGGGCTGATGATGGAAAGAGGAAGGAAGGGAATCTCATCCTCCTTAGTCTCCTGCTTCGCCTTGTGCTGGCGGATAGAGGCCGCCGAAAGGCGTTTCGATGAAGGAGAAGACGGCGCGCCGTCGCCACCCTGAATGGGCAATTCCTCGTCGCCGTGAGCGCTGTGCTCGTAGTCAGATTCACCTTCCTCCTCTTCATCGATTCTGGTCGAATTGTCATCTTCGTCCAGGCCTAGGGGCTCAAGCGGGTCCATTCCAGCCTTCTTAATGGTATCCCAAACCGTCTTCTTGAGAACATTCATGTGCTTCGTTGTGATGGTGTCGGCCTTGGAAATAACCGGAATAACAGTGGTCTTGCCCTGGAGGGTGCGAAGGACTTGAAGATCCAAGTCCTCGTCAAGGCCGCCGGAAATACGGGTTGGAGGTGCGTACTTGCCATTCTGGCCGTTTGACACTCCCTTAATGGACGCGAGGTTGCGATCCAGGCGAGCGGGGTCAAGGACCATGAAGACGGCGTGAATGTGGGTATCCTGTACACCGGGCGATCGAATCACCTTCATTTCCTCGGTGAAAGTCTCCTCGAATTTGCTCTCCAAGAAGGCCGACATCTCCCTAAGCTGGAGATCGACAACATTCTTCTCCAGGCCTTCCGAATCCCAAATTGTAAGGCCGACTCGCTCGCCGTCAATCTCGCTCTCGAGGTAGTGAGGGATGTAGTTGCCCGAAGCAGCGGCCCGAGGAGTCGAGTCTTCCTCTGTCTCGGTCTTTCGGGACCGCTTCTTCGCCGGCAGGGCCAAAGCAGTCTTGAGGAATTCAAGGAACGATGTTTTGCCTGCGCCACGAGTACCAATCACAAGAATGCTAAGCAGGGAAGGTCAGCCATCTGGACCTCACGACAGGGAGGACTGTCTCGGAGACTTACTTGAAGGGAGTGGGATCCTTTCTTCTGCGAACCCTTCTAGGGCTGTTGACGGTGCTAACGGCGCTGCTAGCGTAGCTGTACCGACCACGGTGTGTCATGCTCTCGGTGCGAGCGTAAGGATCGTAGGCGGGATTGCTGGTAGGCACGGGAGGGACAGGAGGAATGTAGCCTCCAGCAGTGAAGCCCGGGTCCATTGAGGGACGGGTGGAATAGGCGGTGCCGATGGTGTGGTCGGACATGACGGAGGCTTCGTCTGCGCGGAGGTCGGCGGGAATGGAGTTGGAGAGCTGGTCATTGGGCTTGTAGAAGTCGGGCAGCTTAGGCGGGGTTTTGGAGATGGCGGCTTGCCGCTGACGTTCGAGGTCGCGTTCCTGCTGCTCCCTGAGGGCTTGGGCCTTCTTACCGCCCTTCCCCAGGTCGCCGGACTTGGAGCGTCTGAGAAGCATACCGAGGCTAGAGCGACGGGGCTGGCTCATTGGTATCGGGGATGCTCAGCATAAAATAAATGTTTCAGCGTTGGAAGCCGCAAACGGTGGGCTACTGGCATGCGGCTACACTACCAGTTGCACCTTCTGACGCGCTTGATGGTCTTTGTTGCGTAGAAGCGGCGAATGTGGTCCACTTATACGAACGGGCGTCGAGAAGCACCAAACGAAATGTCGAGTCGCGTGTAGTTCGAGAGGCAGTTTTGACGACGAGTCGACGGTCCTTGTCGACTTTCCGGTTCGTGTTCGTTGCGAGTTGTTGGGTAAAAGGGAAAAGCGATCGGGGCTCCCCTGGAAAGAGTGGAAAGGGGGAAATGATCGGGGTGAATGGGACGATATGCGAAAAAGAAGGTCTGATGCAATACAGTCAGCTACCAAGTACAGGAAACCCGGGTCGGACGCGATTGCCAGACGCCCAGACACTGCGAACGCCCTTCCTCGACCAACGGCAGGCGAAATAGCGGCGGTAACAGCGAGTCGAGTCGAGCGCCTGTCTGGCTGGGCAGCGCCTGCGACAACGTGACAGGGAAATGGCAGCCAGCAGGAGTTTGGGAGGCAGAAGGAAGCCAATGCCTCTGGCCAAAGCCTGATCAGGTCAGACCAGAGACGTAGGCAGGAGCCAATGCCCGAACCGGCTCCGAAGACAAATTCTGGGGACGCGGGCGTTCCCCAGTGGTGTTCCTGCCTTGGTTGGCCGCGATTCACGGCAGACGTGGGAGCAGGAGATCTGCCGCCTGCAGAGGGGTCGCGGGTCGCGGGTCGCAGTTCGCAAGGAGGGGCGGACAAGCAGCGAATAGGGGCAGAAGCGGCAGGTGATGATGACGAGGGCGGGATTGCCGCCGTTATAAAGGAGGATGGGATTGACTTACTGTTGCAGTGGTGAACCCAAGGCTGAGCTAAGGTACCAAGTGAACAAAGTGCTGCTATTCTCGTGGAATGGCGGCAGTAAAAGAAGCAAGCGCTGGGCCCTGCGATGAAGGGGGAGTTTGGCGTGGATTGCAAAGACCACAGGCCAAACGTCGGACGGGATGTCGAACGGAGCGAGAGTTTCCAGTCGCGCGGCGATGGTAGAGATGGGACGAAGAGGCGTGGCCGCGTGGGTAGGGTCGGAGTCCGTGACCCGCGTGTGAGTCTAAAGACAAGACCAGAACACACACAAGATGGTGTGGACGGAGGAGCCACAGGTTTTTGGGCGAGATTCCAACGTCGAGAAGGAGAGGAGAAGGACGAAGCGCAATTAAGAGATGGGAATTGCGAAGGACCCGGCTGGAGGAGACGAGAGACAGCGCACCCGGTATCTTAGGTCTAGGGCGGTATTGTGTCCACAGTCCACTGGTCCCGTCGGTACCTTTGAAAAGAAGCAGGCCCTGGGGGGTGCGTAAAAGATGAAAAGCCAAAGAAAGTGCAGTATCGGTAGGGTTGGCGAGTGTGCAAATGCAGCAATCGGTTGAACGAGGGTGAGTCTCGTCTCGAGAGATGGCCAATGCAGATGCGCGAATAGCAGGTCGAGGGGGACGGGAAGTCGCGACGAGACGAGTGTAATTATGCTGCTCCTCCGCAGGATGGGGACAGGATGAGGTCAGTGCAGGCGCTGCAAGATGCAGTGTTATCCAATCAGAAAGATTAGCCGACAAGAGAGACTTGGGGATTTCGGTTTGCTTTTTTGTTTTTGGTTCTGCTTTTCAGGCGTGATGGCGCTGGCGCATTCTGTTGTCAGACCAGAAGGTGTAAAAAAAGGAGTAAGTGCGAGAGAAGAAGTCGCGAGAGTATTCTCCTGCACACCTATCAGTAGATAACAACACGTCGGAAGAAGCAGAGGCAGGGGCGGGTAGGCGAATGCTGCAAATCAAGGCAAGAGACTGCTCACTGCAACGGCAGCGACAGATTGAGAAGAGACGCAAAGGCTCCTGCCTTCTTCTGCCCTCCTGCCCATGGCCATGGCCCCATGCTCTGACAATCTGGATCCAATGTCCCGTCCAATTTGAACATTGAGAGGGGCTTCGCCGATGAGCAGTTAAGGGTTGCAGTGCGGGTGCGCAAAAGCCATGCCAGCTATGCCGTTTCATTGGTCGAGAGCTGGCTGTGTCTACCCTGCAGCCAGAAATTCCCCCGACGCAGGTACAAACGGGGTCGCGCTAAACTGGGTTGGGGCTAAAGTACCGTCTCTTGGTCCTTCACAAGTGTTGGAGCCTTTCCTGCCCTGCTTCTCTTTCTTCGTCAATGGAGACATTTCGTTCCCCTCTGGTCCCTCTGGCCCCTCTGGTCCCTCACGCTCCGCATGGCCTGTAACGCAGCTTCGACTCTAACAGCTCGCTAACCCAGGGCCCCCAGAGACACTACTGGCAACTAATAACGCCATTGGGGCCACCAACGCAGCCCAAGCACTGAGATTTGAGCCCAGTTTTCGCCTACCACGAGGAGGTCATGGGTCTCGGGTCTCCGTCGCGGTCCAGCAAGAAACACCGTCTGGACTTTGCAGAAACAGTTGGTTCCTTATCAATTGGACCCAAGGCTGCTGCTCCTCAACAAAAGTCGACCGTGGCTAGCTTTCAGCAGATGCAGAAGGCCGTCGTATTCAAACGGGTGCTCGCTGAACCACATGGCAAGCTTGATCGAAAGCAATGGTGAGGTGTCCGTACTTCGTACAGAGTATCTACACCGTGTTCATGCATGACACACTCACCGACGCCCCGTTACAAGGATATGCGCTCGCCCCGTTTGCCTCAGTCCACTCTGGCTGGACAGGGGAAACGGAAAAGGACGTTGGGTCGGCACATGGGAGATCACCCTTCCGTCTGAAGAATAGCTTGCTTTTCTCTCGAATTTTACACACGTCATCTTGCTGGTAATTCACTCCTTTGCAGTCAAAATGTCGAAAGATTTCTGAACTTAATGCTCCTGTACTTGTGGCAGGTATGCAATGTGCATGGTGAACGCAGTACCACGATAGCAGTAAAATTTTGGGCAGTTCAGATGTAACAGCAATCGAGGCAGGCAAGCTCCTTGAATGCAACCGCAAGCACAAACTCGCGGGAAAGAGGCGCTTCCCAGCCAGGTGCCACCCCTTAAAATTGCATCCAGTCCAGTGATTTGATAATTCCAACAAGTGCCTTGCCTGCCCGCGTCACCGTCTTCCATCGCCCATCCCTTCTTCTCATCCAATCATCTGCCGCCATATGTGTGAGAGGCTGTCCCCTTTTCCTCATCTTCCCGCGCGTCTATCACGCGTGGCTTTCGCGATGCTTTCCTTCTTGCTTCCCACTGAATACCTTTGTGAATATTGGCATCCTGTTGAGTGTCCGGTTCAGCAATTGGCCGCACACATTTGGGCACTTCGTGTACGTATTCGCGGCGTCCGACATCATCGGCCTGCCTACCAGCAACCCTCCAGCGGACAAGTCTGCATCCAATTCTCATTTTAATATTTCGCAATGCTAGGCGGTACCCCGGCGAAACGAAAAGGTAGAGAGGCCAGGACCCGTGGCACGGATGGAAACGTCTTTGCTCCCGCAAGCGGCTTTTGCGTGCGGATAGCCGTATTGTCACAGCTGTCCACCCGGATGATCGTCATGCTGCCTACTAAACTGACTGCTGACACCTTGGAGACTTTGGAGCCTTTGGAGGTCTAGATTCATCGACGATCATTCTGCCCCAGCCGCCGCCGTCAACCTCAGACTCATGTCGCTGCTCATCACCAACCAGCACAGACTCGCTCGGGTTCTCTGAATCTCAACTTTTGAACTTTTCGACGATAATCTCGCTCCATATGGGCCCCATCGACTCCCGTCCCTTCCCCGAAGCGAACTGGAGCCGGTGGACCCCTCCGACGCCGAAATGGGCGCTGTTTCACATTAACCAAGGGCTCCTTCATGCCATCTCATCCCAAGAATTCCTCTCAAATTGTCCGAGATCGATCGACACGCTCCAATTTACCTTTTAGCACCGTGCTACCAAGTACAAGGCACGCACGACCTCTCTCGCTCTCTCACCACACACGATCAAAATTCCAGGGGTCCACGAATTGCTTCTTTTCCTTCTCTCATTTCCGCAACGCATTTTAGCGCCTTGCTGGGCTGACTTCTCTTCCAGTGGAGGAGCCCATCGTTGCCTCACCTCATTCAAGCTTGAGACTTTGTGAGACAAGAACGTTGTGTTTGTCTTGCACAAGTGGCGCAGACCGAGAGACACTCTCAAAGCCGACCACGCGCGTACCCGCAAGGCACGAACAACATTCTACCGATTTCCCCTTTCACGGCCAGCCCACCCAAGCTTAAGTCGACTTCATGCAATTCAAGACATAACGTCCCAAAGCGAACGTCATATTGCCTCTCATTATTACCTCTCATTGACACAGCCCGGAGTCGACGACCCGAGGGTTTCGCAAACGAGCTGCCCTAATCCTGGAGTACAGGTCAACTGCCCTCCTCTTTGAACAACGCCTGGGAACATCCCGTGAGCCGCAATATCGCGGAAACAACTCCCGAACCCCAGGAGTTCAGCGCCCAGACGCCCTGCTCGCTCGGGCGGCCGGCGGCGGCAGCGCCCCCCCTAACCCATCCCCTCTTCGGCCCGCTGGCTTCTGCCTCTCCCGCTTCGCTTCACATGCAATATCGAGTCAAGTTGGCTTGGTGTGTTGGTGCTGGGTTCAGATAAGTGTATATCTGAGTGTGCTGTATGAGCATCCCGTTCATCGTAATTGATCACTAGCCTGTACAGTACCTCTCCCCCAAGCACAAAATATGCCAAGCGAGGGAGGGCGCGGCGGATGTAGGCGGCATATCCTACTCATGACATACCCCGTTCCCAGCCGCTTGGTTCCTCCGTCGGGAAGCTTACACGCGCATGACAGCCTCACACACACCCAACACTTGACAGAGAAAACATGACACGTTGAACCAAAACATATTTCACGCTTCGCGAAGCAGCCGGGCGAGGCAACCGGGCCTACCCAGAATCGGCTGAGAGAAAAAGGTTTCCGAGAACGGCAGGTGTTCGTTATGATTGCTGCTTCAGCCTTACCCTACCCGAATGAACCGACGGGTCCCGGCAGAGGAAGTCTTCCTCGTCGTTATCCCTTGCTCACGTCAGGGGTGGGAAGTGAGAGGGCTTGTCGGTGCCCTTGCTGCCTTAGTCAGTCTTGTGCTCGTATGCCCTTGGTCCAACGGGCGATGATGCCTGGAAGTTCAGAAGCATCATGACTAAGATCAGTGGGAGGAGCATGAAAGCCGAGATCCGCTCGGAGGTTATCACAGTGGCCTCTTGGTTGATGGGTGGGCAGGTCATTTCTCGGTGTTGATGTTGATGGCCCTTGATCTTCTCATCTTCCATCCTTGTCCGTAGAGACGACGCCGCAAGCTCCGGATCTCCAAGCCTGTCTTATCACGACGTAGCGTCAGCGAGAAGATATTCTTCATGCATGTTTTACCGTCGCACAGCTCGCGGTTATGTCGACAACAATCTTGACTAGATGTGCAATGCCAGACATGCCCGCAGATGAGAAACCTATGGCAAGTGCCAGCCGGACTTACATAGTTGAACCAATTTATACCGGGGCCAGTCTCATTGAGTGGCTTGCTATGCTGAGAGACGTTCGTCACAGAAGATATGGAGGCTCCCCGTAGAAAGATCTCAGTTCCTTCAAGGTGAGAATTTAGCAAAGCTCGTGGCCAGTTGCCCTCGCTGCGGCTCAATCACTTGCATTCCAGCGTCTACTTCTTTTCCGTTTTCCTAAATTGGCACATCATCACATTCAGACTGGGCGAGAGGATAGTGCAATTTCCTATCTGCACTCCAAGCTCTCCCTCCCTTATAAGCTCACCCATGTTTGTAGTCTCTAGCAGCCAGCAAAGACAGAACGATGGCATATCTCCTGGAATTCTGGTTTGAAAGAGTCTCATGCCACATATGCAGATCAGGATCTTTGGCAGCGAGAACCAAATCGTATGTCCCTACGGGTTGCCTCCAGGTGACCGCACCCAGCTCGGATAAATAAACGACGGTGACGGGGAATGGAGACTCACGACGATATTATTCTCAAGATGCTCGTCCGGAAACTCAAAGATGGAAGATCACCTCAGTGTGGCTTCGATCTGTTCCGCAGGCAGTCAATTCCGGGCATACTGAACAAGACATCACAGGCGCGAAGATGAAATGAGGCCCGCGGGTCTTGTTCCAAAAGAATACTGCCAAAACCAGTTGTTTAGGCGACGTGTGAGATGTTTTAAGTCTCTACTTGTTTAGCAGATTTACTCAAGGTAGTATTTGACATTGAAGTTCCTACGTCTAGAAGCCGGCGACCAACCACCCCGAGGTATGACGAGATCTCCATTGCTGCCCGAAAAAGTCAACGTTCAATCTTGCATTTATGGCACTTTATGTATATGGATCTCCAATGCCACTGGTTCAGATATTGAACACCAGGAACTCTGGCTGATGACGGTGGGTCAAAGATGCTTCTGGCGAGGAGAAGATGAGTTCATTCCATCAATCCCGGTTAACCTTCCGTTGCAATATTTTTCGGCTCGAGTCGTACGCATGCTTCTCTGCCACTCATCCTCCTCGTCTTCGTATTCTGCTTCGAATAGATGCTGAGGGTAGTAGAATACATAGCATTTGGACTTGTCCATATCAGGCTGAAAAGTTTGCCGCCATCATTGGCCCAGCCAACAGCATGCGCCTTCATTTCTACAATAATGGCAATGCTTTCACATCCATCGGTCTTGGCCGCCATAACATCACGTGTGATCGACTCCAACGAGAAAACGTTGGCCGTCTCGTTCTGCACCGAGTAGATTGGATACAGTTCACTTCCATGCACGGATGCGGGAACGCTCTCTTGTACCAGGTCCAAGCCCTCTAACAGCCTCCGACAAGCCGAGTGACTTCTATCTTGATACATCAGTCTGCTTGCCTCTAGCCTGCGCGTGGTTTCAGGAAGCTTCATCTTGGTTTAAAAGAGCTTCCAGAAGAGTTCACCCCTCAAATACGACACGAGCCTGGATGGTCGAGATCCTTCTGATGGCCGCATTCGGTTCTGCAATGCTCATTTGCCTGGAAGGAAGTGTAATTTCAAGACTAGAAGCGTACATGTACGTCTAACTACATTGTTTTAGGTATATACGGGCCAGAATGAACACCGAGAAGAGCCGCAGGCCACTGAAGAACAGTAAATACTAGCACCCTGAAATCCTTCTGCCTCCGAACGCCAAGGCCGGCCTCAAAATACAGAAATATCTCTACGCCTGTAATATCCAATAATGAGCAGTCGAGAGGGAAAGCAAATTCCTCTACTCACACGAAGAAGAGGGTGCATGACGAAACGGAATAAATACGCCCCGGCGATCGTAGGATCCGGTGGCGGGTCTTTCCCGGATGATTTCCCAAGGACGAGGGGTAATCCCATGATGTCTATCGATCGTGACGAACTCGAGCCCCGGGACCCCGCGCAGAGAACACCACACCTCGAACGTGACCTTGAAGAAAGCCACGTCGTTCAAACGGCTGAAATCATGCACCAGCTCGATGCCGTGACTTGCGTGTCCGCCCAGCCATTGACGGAAGCTGTTCCAGTCGGTCGCGGGCCCGGTCGAAAGGCGGGCGCTGAGGACGACTGCGGCCGGCTGGAGACTGGGCGAACCTATCCGGCCCATCAGGAAGTGCTTTTGGTAGGATGACGGGATGAGGCGGATCGAGGGTCTCGTGTTGTTTCCGTGCTGCGTGTGAATTGGGAACGAGGGCAGCACCGCGTTGCCGTATCGATCGAGGGTGTACACCTGATTCGCAAGCAGACAGTAGAGCTGCGTGGCTGTCACCTCCATACCAATACTCGCTGCGACAAGCAGCTCGTGGATCAAGTGAGAAGTGAAGTGCCGCCTGTTGCCGGGGTTGGGTGCGACGCTCTCAAACTCGGACGCGGCGATGATTTCGTGGTTGTCCACCAACGCCTCGCTGCCGTCGTGGCTGCAGTCCAGGAGCCAAAGGACCCTCGCCCGGGGGTTGTCGAGACGAGGCTGCGTCTGAAGATGCGCGAAGCTTACCGCGGGCCCTTCCGGCCCCCAGTAATTCACCACTGGGGGACAGGACGGCTTAAGAAAAATGTCTCTGTCGCGGAGGTCGTTGCCGTCGAGGACGCTGTGCCCGGCGTAGTATACGATGAGGAGGTCGTTGGGTCCCAGGTCCCGCGCAGCTTTCCGGAGGGCTTGGGACATTATGTATTCGGGCCCCTCAGAGGGGAAGGCTCCGAGTATCGTGGGTCGTACTTCGCATTGATACTCACGCGCGAACGTCTCTCCGAGACGTTGAGCCCAGTTTGCGGCGCTACCTCCCTGGGAGCTCTCATCCCAGCACCAGCAAAAGGTCAGGACTATCACTCTGCCGTAACGAAGGGATGCATTTCTTCTGTCGTCCCGGAAAAGTCTTGACTCCAGGGTCGATTTGATGTCGTTAAGATTCGTCAATTGAGGGCAGTATGCCTGAGGAGGATGCGTGCCGGCCATGTTGGATGTGAGAATTTGTGACTTTTTACGGCGATATTGATGATAATATATAAGAGGAATGCTTTATACGAGCAGCTCAAGATATTCGGCTATGATTCAAATTCCCGGGTTCCCTGTTGTGGGTAGAATGGAGCAGGTTAATGCTTTCTTGATCACGAATCTCCGAATCCTCGAGAGCCGTACTGGTTCCCAAACCAACCCTTCGATCCAGTCCATCTCCGAACTCAGTTCAACGGGATTCTTGTTCGCGATGCTAAAACTCAATGCAGACTTTTATACACCTTGAGTCGCATAAGCTATTCAAGCAAGTTTCATCAAATCACGAAGTAGATCGCAGAATTTCAAGAATCTAACCCATCAAGGCTCTCCTCGGGCCCTCAACATTCGTAACCGCAAGTGTATATAAACCAAGGGCATGTCCTGCTTTTTACCATATTGTGGGCAACTACTGCTCCCTGTTCATCCGTTGACATCGTCATTGGTGGCGGGCACTTGGTAGTGGGAGTGCTCGATGAGGCTCCAATTCCTGGGCCGGATTCTCAGGTCTAAGAAACACGCGGCGAATATCATCAACAGCAACGATGCCGAAAAGCTCCTTCCCAGTTCTCATTCCTATTGAATCAAGGGTACTGGTTCGCCCTATGAAGTAGGAGCAACCTCAACTCGGCTTCCCATTGTGGTGGTGAACCTCGGTGTATCCGCCAGCTGTGCCACGTTGGTGTTTCCAAAAGCTGACAACTGCTTTGAAGTTCACAACACCTGGAGAGCCGGACTGATTGGCGAGAGAAGTCACTTTCAAACATGAGACCTATTTGGCTACTGGCATGCCGTAAACAACGCAGCAGCCTGCGTTTCTGAACACTTCTCCTGTTTCTCGGCGATCCTCCTCCTCGAGTCTGATGTCGACTGAGTTGGTCAACTGTGAAGCCCCTCCGACAGACAGCACTCTCCTTTGAACATTTATCACTCTTCCTCATCTCCGCTTCCCCCCATCTTCTAAGATGTATTCACCACACCAATATTCTTGCCGTCATCACGGCATTTGCTTCGCACGACGTCCCACGTGCCCATGGTATACTGCGGTTCTTGTACTATAGTAACCGCTAGCAACTACGGGAGAACTGGCCGATTGCCCCATGTTACAACAGACGAGTACCAAACGGTCCTTTTAAGCCAAACATCGCTATGACTTAACATCGGTGATCGTCCCCATCCAAGAGACAGCACGCCCTTCCCGCCGACCAGGGAATTGGCCAGAAGGGGATGCGAATGTTCAAGCTGGGCTCGCTCCAGCGGGGTTACTCACGAGGATAAATTTAGAGACGTCTGAAGAGATACTGCTTCCATACACGATGCAGGCATCAATCGTTTTTGTCAGCAGAGAAACAACAATGAACGTAGTGTATGGGCGTCAGCGAGAGTCATCTCACGCATTGGCTGCAGAGCGCCATAAGTTGGCTTCCAGTTTTACCTCGATCTCTGTCTTCGGTTTTCACCGTCGCCGACGTATTCATCGTGAATACCACATGACTAAGGTTTCTTCTTGAACACTTCAACCTTGCAAGCACGACCGTTGCAGACATACAGCATCGCACACGCTCAGCCACGCTAAGAGAATCCAGGACGATTTGCTCTCTAAGAGGAGGGGGAGGAGGGGATTTGAGAGAAGAATCCAGTCATTTAAGCCAGCTCTTGGCGACTTTATACCTTCTTTCACAGATCTCAGAGAATCGAATTTTCAACCAAGATACAAATAATGAACTTTTTCGTGGGTCTGACCTCACCGGATGGGATCTGCCACCAGAACTACTTCCCCGAACCCTCACTTATTCCCAAGGCATCTCACCACAGGTATCATACCTGACGTTTGATTGTTGGATATAGATCACTCTCCCACAAGAAACCATTTTATACTCCCAAAAAAGGCCCTCAACTCGCCCACAAAAGATGCCACTTCCCTACAACCATCACCTACACCCAAGCAAAACCTACCCAAACTCCATCATCCAACCATCAACTCACGATACCTCAGCCTCCCAATATCTCGAGTAACACAAACCCACTACCTATCGACATGCTGAATCCACCATCTAATTCGTCCATGCAGCGTCACCTCCCTCGCAGCATGCATGTTCCAGAACCCCACCTCCGGCGCCGCCGCCGTCGTCGCACAACAGCATGCAATGCACTCAACCCACTCACACACACGCACGCCCGCGCAAACAAATCCCACCGCCGCCGCCTAAGGTATCTTGCAGCGTAATGATGATCTGGCCGGATGTTTTTTTGTGCGTTTGTGTCGATCTGCGTCTGCAGCCGCGAGGAGGACGTGTGATGGGAACCGAATGACGGGCGTTAGTTTGTCACATCAATCTTCTTACTGCGGGTACGGGAACACTCAGCCATATTTCGGGTCTAGAACACCACTGTCAATCCTGCCACGATTGCCCTCGACACGAGCTGCGGTGTGATGCGGCGCCAAGGTAAGCAGGGGCGGAGTCTGCGGGGGTTACAGAGATTGGCGACCAGGACCGGTGGGCTCGGGAAGTTGCCGTTAGGAATGCGCCCGGGGATACAGATAGCTAGCCTTTGCTACTGAGGAAGCTATCGTCGTCCGTCATCGGCGCGGGAAGAGTTTCACTGCGGATGTGTTCCACCACATCTCGTTAGAGTTGTAACGTGGTGATGATCGACCTTATTTATCTCCATTCGGTGTGCTGCCATTGCCACGTCTTGCTGACTCGCATGTCACATGCTCATACGATGCGAATCGTGAGAATGATTCAAACAATTCATTAACAATATCGTGTCATCCGTGAATTATAGACTGCTCCGTGTCTAGTGTCCCCCACAAGCAAAACGCCCTTTTATCTGCTAAATATACACTTTTAGGTCCACCACATAAATACTTTCTCACTCTTACAGCAACAATAAGAAGTGTAGTGTTTATGTGACGGTGTAACCGCCGTCGACACGGAGGTCCGCGCCAGTCACGTACTGGGAGGCATCAGACAGCAAGAAGGTCACAGGGCCCATGAGATCCTTGGGCTGGCCCATCTTGCCCTGGGGAATCAGAGAAGTCCACTTCTGCTTCAGGTCCGGGTTATCGTTGAGAATCTTCTCGGTGCTGCAATCCAGTGTTAGCGTTTGCTCGCATCGGCAGTTGAGCGAGACAAGTCATAGGCACTTACAGAGCCGTGAGCATGTAACCGGGAGAGATGCAGTTGACACGGATGCCGGCATGGGCCCACTCGACCGCCAACGAGGCAGCCAAGTGACGGATACCAGCCTTGGCGGCGTTGTAAGGTCTGTTTGGTCATATGTTAGCTCATGTTATGTCCCGGAAACCAAGACTTTGGGATTCCTCAGAGTGACACGTACGCTTGAGGCTGCGGCACGTTGACAATGGCGCCAGACATGCTGCCGATGAACACCATACTGCCGGGGGACTTGCGGTCCATCAGGTGCTTGGCAACAGAGATGGCGAAGAGGTAGGTGCCATCGACATTGACTCCCCAGAGCTTTCGCATGCGGTCAATGGGGTAGTTGACGGCATCGAAGTTCTCGGTGAAGCCGGCCGAGGTCACGAGGTTGTCGATCTTGCCGTGCGTAGCGATGATTTCCGCAATGCAAGCATCGACTGAGGCAGGGTCCGAAACGTCAGCGTAGTGGGCGGTGACTTTAGGAACTCTGGAATACCATTAGATACGGATCGGGATTTTAATGACTTTCAAATGAGTTGCGGAATCTTACCTTTTGGCTTCAGGGTTCTCTTTCTTGAATGCCTCGACGAGGTTCTTGGCCTGAAGCTCCGCCTCGTCCTCTGCTCACTATTAGTAAATAGATCTCAAAGTTCCTGAAAAGTACACTCACTGTTAAGATCAACAATGGCGAGGTCACTACCGGAGTAAACCATGCCTTGTCCCATGACCAGACCCAAACCGCGGGCACCGCCGGTCACGACACCAACATGGCCCTCGAGAGAGAATGCTGCCAGGGTCGGCTTGCCGATACCACCGCCGGAACCGCGGACTGGCTGACTGGAAGGCAGCTCATGGTCCTCAGGGTACTCAACGGTCACATCAGGATCGGTTCGAGAGTATTGACCGGGGTGAGGCTTCTCCCTGACGTTCGGGCTCCCACTGATGTTTCGTTGCTGTTGGTGGGACTTCGTTGCTGAGAGGCTTGTTGCGGCAGCAGAGGTCTGTGACTTGGCGCGGATTTGGGCCGTTTGGGCAATAGGACGGATCGTCCGCGCAAGGCGGGCGCTGAGAGGGCGGAACATTGTGGCTGTTGTGTCTATAAGTCCTTCGAGGTATGCGTTTGCGTATTATCACCGTCTCACAGGAGGGACGAGAAAGGTTGGCTTAAGGTTCCCAAATTGAGTGGGAGGTCGTGAATTCCGGAGCGTTTAGTCTTCAAAGTGACAGGTGCGAGATGATGTCACTAAAATGGTTTCTGTTGGGCAACCACCTCAGCAGGCTGATGAAGCTGTATGCCGTGTGTGGACGATCAGGAGCACCAAGTCTGAGTAAAGAAACAACTCGAGGAGCTCTGGTGGGGTAGATGACGTGGGACGAGAGGGTTGATTGACCTTGATCGCCTGGAATCGAGCCTGTATCGGGAAATGCGTCGAATTTGGGGTCGGTTGGAGGAAGTTCGTATTGTTTTTTTGGAGGTTGGGGAGCAGGAGGGAGAGGTACGGAAGCTTGGAGAAGGGGGGGGAGTAGCTTCGTTTATGAGGAGCTTGGGGCCCGAGGAAGAGCAACAGACGAGGTCTAGGTAGGTTAGGTAATGGAGGTATGGATCGTGTGATCTGGGCAATTGCAAGGGCAAAGAACAACAAAACTCACGATACTTGGGCAGGTGGACGCGTCCCGTCACTTCCAGGGTGAAATCACGTCTCAAAATCTCAACCAGTGCACCTGCCCACGCACTGCCTCGCGGGGAGCTGCTCCGGAGCTTGGGCTGCCGCTGCCGCTGCCGCCACCAGGTGGTCAAGAACACCTCAAGTCCATGATCTGGAATCACACCCTGAGGCGGGGGTGGGAACTCCCTGGAAAGCGTGGGAAGGCACTTTGGGGGTTCCATCACTGCAACTTGCAGCTACATCCCGGCTTGCCCGGCTGGGAAGACTTCCGAGTGCCTGATTCTGGTCGTGATGCCCAATGGAATTGGCCACTAGCGTTGCAGTGGTCTGAAAGTTCAACCCCAGTTCTGGGAATTGATAGGACAATCCCTGTCTAGATCCTCCAGAGCCCGGTCTCCCCAAGGGACCCTGTGGAGTAACAATAACCCAAACAAGAGACGACCGTGGTCTGGAGGGAGAATCTTGAACGACTTGTGACCCAGCATTATGCATGGAAGCTGCTCCAACTTATTTTGGGTGTTCTTGGGAAACAAAGATTGGGCATCTCTGGCCAATCTTCTTCACCTCTACCCCAATTTTCCAACACGGGACGGAGTTCTAGAATGCCATGAGATTACGGGGGCCAAGGGTCTGGCCTTCTGACCTTCTGACATCCCGCGCTCCTCATGAGAGCTCCGGTTCGGAGGCGGCGGACTGTCCAGAGCCAAGGGAACAAGGCAAGGGACCTTTGCCTGCGTATGTTTTTCCTTTTTTGCTGTTCCCATGTCACGTTGTCACCTTATCACGTTGATTGGGATGCCCATGCTGTTGGCTCGGACATCGTCTTTCTTACCCACGCCATGAATTTTCTGCTGAACACGAGGTTGGAAGGGAGGTCGCTGACTGACCGACATTACTATTTTCTATGCACCGGCATGCCTCCGCACGTCTGTCTATCGTGGACGGGCCACACCCGGCTCACCGGAGACATGGGCACGGCAGCTCGGGTATGCCGCTTTCGGCCATCAGCTTAGGCCTGCCGTGTTCCCTGAGTTTTGGGATTCTTGAAGCGCAACACACAACTCACACGTTCTAGAAATTCGATGCAATGTATGTCCTACGTGCCAGGCTAACACCGGGCATTGCTAGGGGCATGGGATTAATACAACTTCATCGCACAGAGTCGGTTTGCTTTGGGTATTTGGACAACATAAGAGAGCAATCATTACACGAAAAGGTCATGGCCTAAAAGAAGAGGTACAATTATGTATCTAAATGATCTGTCGAAGCAGTTGCTGACAGGTATTACATTCATTGGAGAGCGTCTCAAACCTTGGAACCATTTTGCGCTCGCGATTGGGCAACAGTGAAGATCATGGCGGCAACGGCAATTCGACCATGTAGATACGTTTGATCCCACTCCGCGGCGGAGATATCGCCCCTCATCAACGGCGCCAGTAGTTTTTCAACTGTCGTCGTCTCTTGTTCAGAATCGCATCTGCCACCATGCTGCATCAGAAAATGTGCGAATTTCGCCTGGCCCGAGCTGAAGGGGCCCCAGTTCAGCACCACAAGGAGCTTCTTCAAGTGGCTACTGAGAAGCTCCGCTTGAAGGGGGTTTCTGTCGATTCCACTGGGCGATTTCTGCATGAGTCGCTTGCAAACCCTCACAACGACTTCCGCGTTGAAGTCGTATTTGCCGCAATTCGGATTGAAGTACCAGAACCGAATACGGAGATGGAAAATCATCCAAGAGATCGCCTCGCCGTGGGTGGCCTCAAGCAGCACCTCGGCAACCGCAATATCGCCCAAAAGCAGTGCAAAATCGATTGGACGAAATCCGTTAAGTTCCCTTGCTTCAGTATCAGCTCCGTGATCAACCAACTTTTGAATCATCCAGGGCTCGTTGTATCCTGCTGCCGTGTGTAATGGTGTCTGCTGATTTGGAATAACGGCTACATTCACGTCAGCGCCGTAGCGGAGAAGTGCCTCCAGTGCATCCTTTCCATCTTCCTTGAGGAAAACTGAAGCTTGATGAAGAGGGCGAGATATCACACCATTGATGTCTGTCATTTCGGAGTTCGGATTGAATCCCAGATCAAGCAGGAAAAGTATGTTTTGATGGCGATTACGCATGGCGGCATATGAAAGGGCGTCCGATGTATTGGGATCGGTGTGCATTTCGTTATCCAGAAGCAATTGGAGCAGCTTAGTATCTTTGGATCTGGCGGCATGGCAAAAGAGCATTTCCGCGTCATGGGATGGAAGGCCATGATTTGCGACTGGCGGTCGGCTCTTCGTCTTGGATAGTTGATTAAAAAACAACTCTGCAAGGCTTACATTTCCGCACACGAAGACGTTGCTTAGTGGAGAGCCTTCACTGAAGCTTTGTTTGACGACCGAAGCACCCTTGTCGAGAAGCAGTTTGGCAGTCTGTTCGTCTTGTGCCATAGTCGCATACCACAGAGCCGTAAACCCGTTGGGGCCTGTGTGATCAATATCGTCCCTTCCGGGTTGCATACGCTGAATCAACTCCTCAGTGAGGGAATGAATCTCCAGGTAAATGCATACTTGCAAGAGATGCGGTTGCTTTTCCGTGACGAACATGGGGCCGAACATGGGGCCCACGATCCCGAACAGGGGATGGTAATGCAGGAGGCACCACCACGAATGAAGGAGAGGTGACGGATCTTGGAAAAACAATGGAAAAGAGTTGAGCAAGTTAACAGCCATTTTCCCGCAGCGAGATGCGTGCCAAGGCCAATTCGCGACGGCATAATTGATCCACGCGTGGTCATGAGTAGAGAAAAATTCACTCTCTGCCACTTGGAAAAGTAAGAATTTCCCATGCCTAGTGATGTGGAGGGCGCGAATGCATCCATGGGCGATCTCTAGATGCGCCGCTTCGTAGTTGATCCGGAATGCGTCAGGAGCCTGTTTGGTACCCATAGGTTTGCAAAGATATTCACGAACTGAGGCATGCATCAGAAATACTCTTCGTTCCCCAGAACTCACTTCCACCCTCGCCAGTGACCTAGACATCGCTACAAGGTCTTCCACTCTTTGGAGACTCTCGTCGGCGGGCTTTTCCTCGTCTTCGCTGTACAGGGCTTCCGCCAGTTGTGGTACGGTCAGGGCCTGAAAAGTTACAGCCACCCATCGAAGGAGCCGGGCTACTTCTTCCCGATCGTCGTCGTCGATCCGCAACAATATTCCGTGGTAAATGTCCTCTAGTCCAGCCGGAATGTTCTTGATCACTCGTCGAATCTCTGATTCGGTGCGTTTCTGCCGAATCTCATCAAGCACGAAGGCGGCCCACAGAAACGTGCCGTTGCAACGTTGTTGAATGTTATGGGCGAGCTTGGACCATGCCTTTTGACTGATCTTCTTATATGCCGGATGCTCCTTGATCCTGGCGTCAATAAAACGAATCACATCCGATGTCATGGTTTCGACCTTCAACTCAAGATCCAACTGAGGACAATTGAGCAGATGAACCATCTCGCGACTGAATATGAGGAGCTTGAAGGTATTTGGCGTTACTCTTCTTGGTTTCGAAGAGCTTTCGGCCAAGCTTCGGAAGAACGTGATGAGCGATTGAAGCTCCCTTTCGTCGCCGTCGAATTCATCAAGTCCATCCGACAGGCAAACCACAGGTCCGAGCGTGGGATCACCAAGAACATCATTGAGAATAGCCTGAAGTGTTGCTGGAGATTCTAGCGTGTGTTTCGTTCTGTTCTCCGTTCCCATGCGGCCGATGGCGTATTTGGCGAGGTCTAGTCGTAGGCTGAATATTTGGTAAAGGAACGTTCTCAGGATGGCGGATGTTCTTCCGTACTCCCCATTTTGTCTCCCGTGGAAGTGATACAGCAAGTGACCGGATCTCGCCTGCGCCAAGGTCTCGAGCTTTTGGGAAAGAAAGACAGACAGCACTGTCTTTCCACGTCCTGGGCCGCCCGATATCCACAGAAGCTGCGAGGTGTCGGATTTTTGCCAAGACTGATACATCTCGTCGTTCAGAATCCACTCGCAAGTGCCTTCGGTTCTCTCTTTGAGGTTCAGAAGCTCTTCTCGGTCGATTTCGGGATCACTGATGAAGAGTGTATCTCTACATCGCTCCAATTTCGTCGCTTCGCTCTCACCTGTGTACCATGTTAGTCTTCTCGGAAGGCACCAAGCGATGTAAACGACATACCCAGGTTGACTTGGTTGATGCCTGTGATGACTGTTCCGCCGGCAGCGACATTCGTGTCCCCCACGGTAACTGACTGTGAGATGTTAGGATTTCCGTCCATAGTCGTGGGTAAGGCCTGGCCTCTGATGGCGTCCAGGCTGGCAGGTGATGAAGAGGTTCTTGGGAGCAAGTTTTTCTCATGGGAGAAAGTGCATATATCGCCAAATATAAGGCAAAGCGACGTCGTGACCTGAGGCACAGAATGCCCGAAGAATCGCCTTTTGTCGCTACTGCAGAAGTCAGCATTATCCAAGACAAAGCAACGGAATTCAGTGCGTGATCGTTTGTCGTGGAGCTCACTGAATCATGCTTCCTACTTCTTGCATGCTGATCGCTTCCAGCTCTTTCATTCTGCTGCACTTTCCACAATGATAGCATTAGATGTCTTGCCTTTCAAACATCCTTCTACAGGTTTCCTGCAAGCAATGAGTGCCTTCTTCCTAGATATAATGCTTGGACACTGGGCTGATAATTGGGAATCTTCTCTACCTTCAAGCATCAGCATTTCCCATTTCTTTCCAGCGAGTTCTCAGAAATCTCGCAACTCCACAAATCATAATGGCCGAAGTACTCGCAGTCGCCTCCGGTGCGGTCGGTCTTATTGCCGGTGCCTCACAAGGCATTAGGGCCCTCTCAGAAGAGATCAATCGCATGCGAAACGCTCCTGAGGACCTCTCGAACGTCAGAAGACAGCTCCAGAGCGTCGAGCACATCGTCGAGAGCATCCGGATTTCGGTCCAGGCTGATGGTGCTGAGACAACTCCGGCCACCCAGAACGACACCATCGTGACTGCGCTGAGAGACTGCAGCAACTCGTGCAAGAATTTCCGTTCCGAGTTCCAAACTCTCTTGGTGAACGGAGAGCCCGGCCTCAGGGAAAGATTCAGAGCCGCCTGGTACAAGAACAGAGTCAACGCTCTCTTGGCGGACATCCATAGCTGCAAGTCGACCGTCAGTCTTGCCCTCAGCGGCGCCAACTAGTAAGTACTGCGCATTGACTAAAGTAGACCAAAAGAAGCAGGCACTAACCTCGGTGCAACAGTTTCGCAGCGTGCGAGCAGTACAAGCAGCTCCAGGTGCTTGCTACGAGAGAGTCGAAGCAACACCAACAGCAGCAGGGCCCCTCCGCTAGTGAGCAGAATGCTCGCATCGATCAGCTGACGGCTGAGTTGGAGAGAGCCATGCCGTGGGCGAGACGTTACCAGGAGCAGGTGGCATTTCTTAAAGCGCAGGTCGACCAGCGACAGACCAACCTGGATATGGGCCATGTGGAGATGCTGAACTCAAGGGGCGCAGTCGGCATCACCAACGCGGACGGAACTGAGGGCGACTTGAATGTCAAGATTGGCGATGTGAGAGCTGAAAGTTCCAGAGCGGTGATTGGATACTCCAAGAATGTGGACGTCAATGCGCTCTTCAAGTGAGTTGGATGTTCGGTCTGGTGCACATTTTGTAGGATAGACATTGTCCACGAAGTGCGGGTTAATGTGCGGCTGTCCTGGATTGCCATATTAGCTTCCGAAATCTTGAACGATTGCAATTTCTTTAACCTTCGATGCGGCCTTCTCGTTCCTGCTTCTGTGGTTGTCGCTGATGACCAGCTTCACGAATGCTTCGATAAGATCAATGATGGCAGCTGAAAGGGAGACCGTAGAGGCGGATACCTTACGTGAGGAACGCCCAGAACAACCACCTAAACTATCAAGTTCAGCTTCAAGAGAGACCTTTCTAGCCTGACATTTCATATTGTTTAGGATTTCTTCTTCGAGTCTACATATGCGTCGTTATCATGCGAGATGGGCGTATTCCTTATTGAAAGCCCTTCCAATCACCATTCTCCTGATTTCGGAAGTACCAGCCCCGATTTCATACAGTTTAGCACTATTAAGCATTAGCTCATGTTCCCTGGAGGAGTTCTTTCCAATGACTTACTCTCTCAATAGTCTCGATGCGGGCATCTCCTCTACGTAACCCATACCTCCGAGAAGCTGAATGCTATCCAACGCGCACTCAGTCGCCCGTTCAGCAGCGTATAAAATGGCACCGGCGCAGTCTTGAGTCTTGATCAAACCGTTTTCGTCAACGGCCTTGGCGGTAGCGTAGGTGTATGCCCGAGAAGCTTGCAGCTTCGTGTACATGTCGGCCAGCTTGCCCTGAATGAACTGATTTTGGGCAATAGGAATACCAAATTGCTTCCTCTGGTGGGAGAAGGGGAGGGCCACGTCAAGTGCAGCTTGCATGATACCCAGGGGACCAGCACTGAGAACGAGACGCTCAAGGTCCAGGCCCTCCATCAGGACCCGCACACCCCCGTTGAGCTTTCCGAGGATGTTTTCGGTGGGTACAAAGACGTTGTCGAAGTTGAGCTCGCCGGTGTTGCTTCCCCGCATGCCCATCTTGTCCAGCTTCCTCGCGCAGCTAAAGCCCTTGGTCTTGGTGTCGACCAAAAACGCAGTCATTCCCTTGGAGGCCTTCTCGGGCTCCGTCTTGGCGTAGACGACGATGAGATCCGCATCGGGGCCGTTGGTGATCCACATCTTGGAGCCGTTCAGAACGTAGCCGCCGTCAACAGCCGTCGCCGTTGTCCTCATGCTGACAACATCGCTGCCGGCCCCAGACTCTGACATCGCCAGGGCGCCAATACTCGTGCCCGCAATCAGGCCCGGGAGGTACTTCTGCTTCTGCTCCGGAGATCCGTTCAATTGGAGCTGGTTGACGCAAAGCTGGGAGTGCGCGGCATAGCTGAGACCAATTGAGCCGGATGCTCTCGAGATCTCCTCCATGACGATGCAGTGCGCCTGGTAACCCATGGCCAGACCACCGACGTCCTCGTCAGCCGTCATGCCCAGGAAGCCAGCGTCGCCGAGCTTCTGCCACATCTCGTTGGGGAAGGCATTACTCTTGTCCGTGTTCGCGGCGACCTCCTCCGTGATCTCGCGCCTCGTGAACTCCTGCACGCGCTCGCGCAACTCGGAAAGGTCGGCTTGTGACGGCGCCTCAAACCCCTTGGGATGTTTGGAGGAATGACGTCGAGATTGGAGGGCGGGGACGGCTACCGGCCGGAGCTGGCGAGCCGGTCGCGCCAGAGAACGAAATACTCGAACACTCGACATGATTGCGCTTCAGGAAAACAAGAAAAGGGGTTTGAAGAAGGAGAATCGTGGCACGCAGGAAGGGAAATTTGGCTTATTGTCTTGTTGTTGATCCGAGTTACCTTAGCTCGACGCCGAGCTGAGGTCCAACCGGGACAAGAAGGTGCTCGGCTAAGGGCGGCTTGTGGCGGGCCGAGGCCAACGCCAATGCCTAGTGATGGCCCGGACGTCACTGGAATGGTATCCCGTCAGCAAGCGAGCTCTCCCCTCGCGACACTCTCCCATATTCAAGGGCTTCGCCGGCTAATGTAGTTCCGTCTCCTTCATTCCCTCCCCCGAGCTGCTGCATCGTTGGCAACACCCCTCGCCCACGTCTCGAAAATGTCTCTCTCACGATCAACACGAGATGTTCTGCTGCTGTCGCGTCAATTGACTCGGTCGGGCGGCTTCAGAGCCCCTCGTCTACCGCGAACCTCCCGAATCGTCGCGACATTCACGCCGCCACATCAGGCGAGCGCCATCTCCCGAATCCAGACCAATGTCGACGCTACGTCCGAGGAGTTCAAAGAGAATGAGCGGCAGATGGGCGAGGTCATGAGCAAGATGCAGGACCTCACACGCAAGGTGCATCTGGGTGGTTCGGCTAAGGCGAGGGAGAAGCACATTGCAAGGAAGAAGATGTTGCCGCGTGACCGAGTCACCGCGCTGATTGACCCGGGAACGACGTTCTTGGAGCTGTCACCTCTGGCAGCACACGAATTGTACCCCGAGGCCGACGTTCCCGCGGGAGGCATCATCACGGGTGTTGGTGTCGTTGAGGGCGTAACGTGTGTGATTGTTGCCAACGACAGCACAGTGAAGGGTGGAACCTACTACCCAATTACTGTCAAGAAGCATCTGAGAGCGCAAGCTGTTGCTCAGGAGAACAAGCTTCCGTAAGACGTCTTTGTGGATTTTACTCTAGACTGTACTAACCTGTCCACAGCTGCATCTACATGGTCGACAGTGGCGGTGCCAATCTCCCCCATCAAGCCGAGGTCTTTCCTGACCGCGACCACTTCGGTCGCATCTTCTACAACCAAGCAAGGATGAGCTCGATGGGAATACCCCAGATTTCGGTTGTCATGGGCCCGTGCACAGCCGGCGGGGCCTACGTCCCCGCGATGAGCGACGAGAGCATCATTGTCGAGAACCAGGGTCATATCTTCCTTGCCGGCCCGCCACTGGTAAAGGCTGCCACGGGAGAGGTGATCAGTCACGAGGAGCTGGGAGGTGGCAAGATGCACTCTTCAGTCTCTGGTGTGACTGACTACCTGGCGGTTGACGACGCCCACGCAATCACCCTGGCCCGGCGGAGCATCAGCAACTTGAACTGGCCGAAAAAGTCACCCTCCACAATGGCACCGTTGCAAAGTTATGCTGAACCGTTGTACCCGCCTGAGGAGCTTCTGGGAATTGCTAGCACAAATCTGAGGAAGCCTCTGCCTATCAGAGAAGTTATTGCCCGCATCGTCGACGGCTCTGAGTTTTCTGAGTTCAAGCAAAACTATGGTACGACTTTGGTGACGGGTTTTGCACACATCCATGGATACAAGGTTGGTATTGTTGCCAACGATGGCATCTTGTTTGCGGAGTCTTCCGTGAAGGGCGCGCACTTCATTGAGCTGTGCGCTCAACGCGGCATTCCGCTCGTCTTCCTCCAGAACATTTCCGGCTTCATGGTCGGCTCTGCTGCGGAGCACGGGGGCATTGCCAAGCACGGCGCCAAGCTGGTGACAGCAGTTGCCTGCGCAGATGTGCCCAAGTTCACCGTCGTTGTCGGTGGTAGTTACGGCGCAGGTAACTACGGTATGTGCGGTCGGGCTTACAGCCCACGATTCCTCTGGATGTGGCCGAACGCGCGGATTGGTGTCATGGGTGGCGAACAGCTCGCCGCAGTCATGGAGACCGTTGGCAAGCAGGTCGATCCTGAGTTGAAGGAGAGAATAGAGCGAGAAAGCGACGCCACCTACTCTTCGGCCAGGTTATGGGTAAGCTGCCTTGTCCACGTCATCCAGCATCTGCTAACCAAGTTGAATAGGACGACGGTATTATTCCCCCTCAACACACCCGCAAGTACCTGGGATTGGGTCTCAGAGCCGCCATGTCGGGCCGTAATGAGGTCAAGGCGGGCGATACCAAGTTTGGCGTGTTCAGGATGTAAAATGATTAGATCTACAGTTATGCATGAGGAACCAAATAAGCGAACAGCTCTCTTCCGCAACCTCTAAAGCTCTGTTTGCAAGGGTCGAGGTCGTTCGGTCCGTTTCTTTCAGGGATTAACATACGTTGATGAACAATACTGGATGGAAGAGACGCTGATTGAGTCATCTTCCATGAGGACCACGCAGTTTTCCATTTTAACCGCGCCACGTCCGGGTCAAGCTTTCGTCCGAATTCTCGAAGACGGCTAGATATCTCGGCCGTGCTCCCGCCCGCCGTTGCATGGTGCTGCGATCGGGCGGCCATCTCCAAATCGGGATCTGGACAATAGCGTCGAGACTTTAAATCAGATCGAATATGAACGATTTCCTGTGAAATGGGACAAAACTTGGCTTGCGGGACGGCCTGCCTAAACGAGAAGTCCATGGGCAGGAGTACACGGAGCTAGTTCTGCAGCGGATCGGACATGAGCCAATTCCATTGCGCGGAGGCAGCTCCGAAGACCCCACCGGCCAACACCGTGACCCCTGCCGGATGCCGGCGGTGAGAACCGAACGCCGCCCTGCTTCGTGCCCGGCCCATCTTTCTCGTTTCTTCAACCGTCGTCACCATTTCTGGGGATTGCATACCGAAACGAATCGCAAAAGCTCCTCCCCACGCATTGGCAAGAAAATTGAGCAAGCCAGCAGCGGTTTCAACGTGGCTTGGAAAACGACCATCCACGTACGTGCTCTTCAACAAGGGCCTGGGCAGGTCATACCCACGATGACTCCCATGCCTTGAATCTTCACCGATTCGCAGCCGGTCAAATATCGAAGGATCAGCCGTCCGCCAGTTGTCTGACCGGTCGAGGATGCGTCAGATGAGACACGGCCTTCCCGACCCGATTGTTGAGCCACGGCGGCCAACAGCCAATCTCAGTTGCAAGTCGAATATCTCAACACTCCACGATGGCGATAGTCAATCACGTTTACGATCACCATGCTACCAAAAGCATGGCACAGCAATGCTCAATGTATTTTACTTTCTGTTTTGCTTCACTTGGCCTTCCGAGCAGACCGCGATTTGTGGGAGTTCCTAATGCAGCACACCACCCCGGTCTCACCGATTGGGACCCCTGCTGACCGGTGAACCCTCACCGGATCCAAACATGCACTTCGTCTCTTTCAGTTCTACCATTTCTCTGGGTCTATTGACGGCTGGTTGGGTCTAAGCAGGCTGCGTCGTCGCTTTCGGCAATGCGTCTTGCTCCTTTCATCGACCTCATCCTTGGCTCGATGAAGATGACAGCATGCAAGTGCAGGGAAGGAGACCGGTCTGCAGGCCATGGCATCAGGACGGTTCCAGGAGTCTGGGTAGGAGCGACGATGATGCAGAAACAAAGCTGGGTAGCACAACGAGATCGCCGGCTCGAGCGAGCAGGCTCCTGTGGTGGTTCACCGCTAGAAAGCTGAGTTCGTGTATATGAAGAGGGCTGTCGTAGTCGGTGTGTTGGTTCTGATTCTGTTGACTCGGGCTAAGACACTGTCGAGAGACTCTTATGTTACAGTTTTAGGGAAGCGTGCCAGGTCAAGACATATACCAAGGACCGTGCTGTGTCTTGTGGAGTCATTGACCGCGTCGTTATCTTCTCTGTCGTTGTTTCCACCGTCATCTTTGTCGTTGGTGTATTCTCTTCTCAACTATCGTTCAACAAATACCCAAACCACACAACCTTCCGAAGCATACAATCTGCAGCAGGATGGCGCCCTCCGCCTTGCCCGACGAACCTCAAATGTACGCCTCGACAGTGGCAGAGATGGCCACCGGCCGCCGCTTCTACCCGTCACATAAGTTCATCACCAGCTGCGGGACAGTCACCGTCGACTTACAATCGAGACGCATCCTTCTCATATATAACAAGCGCCACTGTATCCACCAACTACCCAAGGGTCGCAAGAACATTGGGGAGAATCTCCTGGAAGCCGCGCTTCGCGAGACCCGCGAAGAGACGGGCGTTGCCGTAAGGCCCATTCCGTTGCAAATCAGGACGAGGGCGACGCTGGCAGATGCGCCACCCGGAGCGCCGGATATCACCGAGGGGACAGACAGCACGGAGCCCGTTGCGGTGTGTCATTATCCGGACCCGTGCTCTGGCGCGATGAAGATGGTGTTTTACTTCGTTGCCGAGGGGTCCTGCGGATTGTCGTCAGACGGGGCAACCGGGGAGGACAGGGGGAAGTTTGAAGTTGTCTGGGTTGGCGTTGACGAAGCAGCTGACAAGCTGACGTTTAAGGAAGATGGGATGGTCGTTACCAAGGCGCTGGAGGATCTTAGGAGTTCGGGATATGATGTTTGATGATCTGATGACAAGTGTTGTTGAAAAACATCAATTTTGGGATGGTTTCATGGCAGATTGAACGATTGTGAAACTGATATGATAATAAATATTTGGTGTGAGAAACAGATGTCGAGATTCGAAAGTCGCAAATTGACAGGATATAAATGGCAGAGGGCCTCAAGTTGAATTGTTTCAATTTCCGAGCATCAAAGATATTTAATCCATATGATTGGTACCTTGAGATACTAAGGCGAATGACGTTTGATCTTACATCCATAGTCCATCAGCCGAGCCCGATAGGTCTTTTGCCGCCTCGATATCTGAGATGGAATATAGACTTGGACGTGCGCGGGATAAATTGTGTCAAGGGGAAGTTTATCTGACATTTGACGATCTTTCCCTTCGCACGGATCCAGATTGGAGCACCCAGATTGGAGCTCGGATGCAGATGAATTTAAGCTTAAGCAGAGTCATGAATCTGATAACAAGGCACCCTAGAGCAGGAAACCAACATTTCCGACTTGGTTTAGGAATACAAAAGAACTCATGTAAGAACGGAAGATTTCAAATAGACTGCGGTCTACTCTCGCATTCGACAGAAGCTTGAAACCTCCATTGCGTAGAGTCTATGTATCCCCAGAAGGCCTCGTTACAAACACCATGTCAACCTTCATCATCATTGAATAATGTGACGATTCCAGTGAGAAGCCGGCGCTGGGCATCTGCGAATAATATAATTTGGAATACCCCCACGGAAAACATGACAAAGGCAGTACGTCAACAACCATTGTCCATGAGAACTGCCGAAAATCCCGGCCTAGCTCGGGACCGGCGCCGGCAAACTAGCGGGTCCTCCGGGGCGTCCCACCGCCGGCGAGGTTCTCGATCCAGTGCCGATTCAGTTTCGTTGATGATGTGGTGACATCATCCCCACAGCTACCCCTCCTCGAAACAGCTATCCCCCTTCCCATTTTACCCCTCCATCCCAATCGCGTCTTCCAATCGCGAGAACGCCTCGTCCGAACACCAAGTGGAAAGCTTTGCCCCATTGACCAACCCCCCCTTACCTTAGTCGTCGTCAATAAACGTCAGCGAAAACCGGAGTCCCCTCCAGTAACGAGGAAAAAGAGCCCACCCCATCACCAGAAACAATCCAAGCCACCCGCCCATAATAACACTGGATGTCTTCCCACTCCGCGAAAGCTGCCCGCTCCGCTTCCCAAGCTCTTTCTAGATCGCCCCTGCTCCAGAAAGCAACAACTCATTCCTCCTCCATATCTGCCATAGCTTCGCGCTCAACAACGCCAGCTTCTGTCACGACTGCATCCAAAAGCTTCACTTGCTGCAGTTTCTCCAACGCATCGCCTTTCGCCCAAAACCGTCAGTTCTCGACACAAACCGCCAAAATGGCTTCCACCATGCCCGCCCAGCACGGCCACAGCGAAGGCTGCTGCAACATCCCGCCCGTCGTCTCCAAGGGCTACGAGGCCAAGGGTAGCTACGAGGAGATCGGAGGCTTCAAGACCTGTACGTGACTTTTCATCCACCCCTCAATTGAATACATCATTCATCGTCTGGAGCTATGCATCACTAACCACCAGCCTACAGACGTCACCGGCCCCTCGGACGCGAAGAAGGCCATCGTGGTCACATACGACATCTTCGGATTCTTCCCCCAGACCCTGCAGGGCGCCGACATCCTGGCCACCAGCGACGCCCAGAAGTACCGCGTCTTCATCCCCGACTGGTTCGCCGGCGAGCCCGCACCCATCGAGTGGTTCCCTCCCGACAACGAGGAGAAGCAGAAGAAGCTCGGCAACTTCTTCCAAAAGTTCCCCCCTCCCAAGATCGCCGGCCAGGTCCCCGACTACGTCAAGGCTATCCAATCCAAGTACTCAATCATTGAGGCCTTCGGTGCCCTTGGTGTAAGTCTCCCAAGTTTCGGCAAAGCTTTCACGAGGAAAAGGAACTAATTGAATCCAGTATTGCTGGGGAGGCAAGGTCGTTTCCCTCGTCACTTCTTCCAACAACAACCCCTTCAAGATCGGCGCTCAGATTCACCCCGCAATGGTCGACCCCGAGGACGCAAAGGGCATCAAGACCCCGTTGATCTTGCTCGCTTCCAAGGATGAGGGTGAGGAGGACGTCAAGAAGTTCGATGAGAACTTGAACGTGACTAAGCACGTCGAGACCTTCAAGGACCAGATTCACGGCTGGATGGCTGCTCGCTCGGACTTGGAGGACCCTCGTGTCAAGGCGGAGTACACCCGGGGCTACAAGACTGTTCTCCAGTTCTTCAGCAAGAACTTTTGAGTGCGATGTTATCTCTGTAGTGTCTCAAGTATAGAAAGGATGTCCCAGCTGAGGGATTAGCCATTATCGAATGGAAATAATGTGTTACGACCATCATCAAACCCCCTCAGCAAATTAGGCCAGCCTATTGATTGTTCCATTCGTTTCAATGCGAGGGGGCACTGTTATTTTTTCCTTGCAGCCACTCCTCGTTACCTCTATCATTGTACTCGTCGTTGGTTGCTCTAGTATTGCCCTTTGATAGCTCTAGTGCTACGCTTGTTTTCTGTTGTCATTGTTACTACACAAGTATTCGACCAGGAATAACAAACGGAGGGTAGTGTATCCAAAATCCCCAGCCCAGAGGAAAGAGTTATCATTGACCTATCAGTCTATCAAGTGCTTTGTCCATTCCGTCAATGTTCAACAAAATTCCAATCTCAGCACCTATGTTTACCAGACCCTGTAGCATTGACATTCGCCCATATTCCAGCGCAGATACAAGAGGGTTCTGTTCCATTTCTTCATAGTCCAAATCGAGATCAGATTCCGAATCGTACATTTCCTCCAAGTTTGCTTTTTCGTCACCCAAAAGATGATTGAACAGGTTCTCGTCGTCAACATGAATGGCCTGTATCAACATGTACTTGTGCTTTGAAGTTAAAGTATTCGACCATCTTTTCGCACCGTCCAGCGGCGATATTTCCTCGTCAGACGAATAATATGGTGTGTTGGACCTCTTGTATCGGTGTCTTCCTAGCTTTGTGGCAGCCCAGAGTTCTTTGAGACCTTCATCATTTGTTGAATTCAGGTATCCCACAAGCCGATTTCTCTCGCGCGCCATGTCTTCTGCCTCGCGTCCCATAAATTCTTGGGTACGGGAAGTCTTCATGTTTTTTTCAAGACCTGTTAGATCTGAGCCCAACAGTGACTGGACGTAAGCCAAGGCCTTTTCGGTGGTAACTGGAAATCGTTCTTTGTTGCTCAGGTCATTTTCCGTGCCGAAACCAGAAACATGACAGAGAAGCCATTGGATTATCCTTCGGCATACTTCATTTCCCAATAATACAACCGGTATCAATGGGGATATGCCGTCTATGTCCCGGGCTTCGACTTCTGACGTGACGCTTGAAAGTCTCCGTATGGCCTTGAATTTGCCGCTTGAGATAGCCCACCACAACGGCGTTCGGCCTTGATGGTCTCTAGCTGTGGGGTCGGCACCATGTGCGAGCAGCATTGCCCAGGCCCTGTATTCCGGACCTCTACGCCAGGGGTTCGGTCTTTGACAAGCTGCTAGAAGTGCAGTTCGTCCAAATCTGTCGCAGGCCTCTATGCAGGCGCCTCCATTCAAGAGGGTGCTTATGATGTCAGCATCACCACGTGCCGCAGCCCGAATGAGGGGTGTCTCTTCATCGTCGCCCCGAGATTCGATGTCAGCCCCATGATCTATCAGAGTTCTAACACATGACAGATTGTGACTTGCAACCGCATGCCATAACGGCGTCCAACCCTTGTGATCTCGGCTTTCAATGTTGGCGTTGTGCTGTAAGAGCTCTTCCATTGTGTGTGATAGACCATAACTGGCGATGAGTGACAATACGGTGCGTCCTTCCAGATTTCTGTCCTCTATATCGAACCCATACTTCAGACAAGTCGAAAACGTATCAACATCGACAATAGCACACATCAGGGCGTTACGTCCTGCGTGATCTCGAGATGTGATATCAGCTCTGTATCCAAGGAGTGTTTCCACCACCCTTGACGTGTGCCTATGTTCAGCGGCTGCCAACAACGGTGTTCGACCCCGAGAATCTCGATACTCAATATCAGCGCCATGCTTGAGAAGAAACTCTACTGAACGTGTGTTGATTTTTGCAACTGCTAGTGCAAGAGGCGTCTCCTGGTCTGAATTCCATGCCTCAATTTCAGCTCCATGTTCCAGAAGTAATCCCATCAACAATGTGTCATCGTTGGCAGCAGCTACCAAGAGAGGTGTGTTGTTGTCTTTGTCAATGGCTTCGGTATTGGCCCCATGTTTGAGGAGTAAGTCTACTGAATGTGCATGATTTTTTGCAACCGCCAATATGAGAGGCGTTTTCTGGTCTGAATTCCATGCCTCAGTCTCAGCTCCAAATTCCAGGATCAGTTTCAACAAGAATGTGTTACCCTTGGCAGCAGCTACCAAGAGAGGGGTGTTGTCGTCTTTGTCACTAGCTTCGATATTGGCTCCATGTTCCAGGAGAATTCGTGTTGAGGATACGTGGCCATTTACAGCAGCCACCAGGAGAGGAGTGCGGCTTTTTTCGTCTCGGGCCTCAGTTTCAGCTCCATGCTCCAAAAGCTGTCTTAACGAAGACGTATGATCTTGTTCAGCAGCTAGGAATAGAGGAGTGCGCCCATTGATGTCTCGGGGTTCGACGTTGACGTGATATTCTAGAAGGATTTCAACTGCCGCAGTAAGACCGATCGAAGAAGCAATTGCTAGAGGCGTCATCATGAATGCGTCCCTCTTCTCAAGATCTATCCGTCGTTTCGTTGCGTCCAGAACTTCGGTTGATTCGGATGTTGTTCTTTGTTCATGCGCAAGGAGAACGTTCATCACCTCCACATCTGCTCTTCCAATGCAGAGACCAAGCAGCGAGGTGGTATCATTCTCAAGACGAAGTCCTCGATCAACGCCGAACTTGACAAGCACATCGACCATGGCTCTGTGACCCCTGTTAACTGCCTCGCGAAGGGCTTGCTGGAATGAAATTGAGTCTTTTGAGGATCGACCAGGTCCTTTCCCACAGTTTGAGTTTGCTTCCAATAATAAAACATTTTGTCGCTTATCGCTGTAATTGAGAAGGAACTCCACGAAAATCAGGTGGCCTCTGCGAGCTGCCCACGACAATGACGTTTGGCCTTTCCAGTCAACAAAGTCATGGTCGCGCGCTGATGAAATTTGAGTTTCGAAGACCGTAGTCAACCCAAACCACGCTGCCAGGTGTGCTCCCGTGGAAGGCACTTGCTCACCGACCAGTTCCTTCAGAATGCCTATATTTATCTTGAACATTACTTGGTTGGAGAGGAATTCATGAACACCAGCGGGAAGCTCTCCGGCTTCGCGTGCATGGTCCCCCCAATACATTGTGGCGTAATCGTAAAACGGGATGAACGTATTCCGAAACATCTTGCTCGTCGCGAACTTCAAGAACAGAGGGCTCCGCCACGGAGGAATATCCCAGTGGCTATCTCTGCTGAGTTGGTGGATTTGATCAAGACAGAGATAGCGCACACACGTCCTTGCTATTCCCGCGTTGGCACCAGGAAACAAATTTGCTTTCCTTTTGTTGAAGAATTCTTGGGTGGTTTGGTGAACTAGACGTATGGTGCCACCATCGTCGTCGAGGGTGACTAGCCCAGCACAAGCGGAGATAATCATCTCGGCGGGGGATATGTTGTCTTCGTCAACTTCTGGCTCTCCTTCCTCAAAAGCTAAAGCGTGCTGCAATTCAAGGACTTTCAAGGGCCTCCTGGAAAAGACGATCCAGGAGAGCACCTCATTCGCAAGCTCGACGTGTGCAGGCGGCTGAACACGAATTCTTTCCAATGCTTCTTCGTAAAAGTAGGCATAACTGTGATCCTCTGTTGTAACGGCTATCAGCGTCTTTCGGATGGCCTTGACATTTGTCTTGCAAGATAATGATTCGATCAGTAGCTTAGCCATCAGAAACCTAGCTTAATTAGTAAATTGAAAGTGAAACCGCCGACAGCAGGGAAAAAAAACAGAACTTACATCCCATTGATGCTTCCCAAAATGCCTCTTTTGATCTCCTCTTGAAGCTCGCTACGTTTTTGAACAAAGCTCTGCATATCGGGTATGCGACTCGAAATATATCTTGATACATCGGCGTCGAGAGCTGAAACTTGCACAGAGACACTGCCCTTGAAATGGTCAGAATCGATGATTTCGGGTATTTGCCTCGTTGTTGCCAAGATGTTGGTGTTCTGCCGCTGTTGCAATCGGAAAACTTCCGACAAGAGTGCTCGGCGACTCTTCGTTTCACATTCATCGAGGGCATCAATGATGACGAAAAGTCTCCGGTAGGACGATGCGATAGCTTGAAGCAAATCGGAAGTCTCCTGAAGAGACATGGGAGTTCTGCTCATCTGATGGATCTCGTACATTTCTTTCAAGCTTCTCGGCATTGAAGAACGAGATTGCGCAAGTTGTTTCGCTAGGCTGGCGATGAGATCGTGGTGATTTTGTCTCTCTTGGTCCTTGAAGTTGCAGTATATGTAGGCCACGCCGACGTCAGGATCGTCTTGGAACTGGCGCAGGAGCTCGTCCACAACGGTGGATGCCATGACAGTCTTCCCTGCCCCCGGCATTCCCGGGCAGAGCAGGGTCTTGCTCTTTCCTGATATCCAGGACTTAAACTCTTCAGAGTCTAGGAGCCATTCATTGGTGCCGGCATGTCTGCGCGACAGGTGGTCTCGCTGCTGGCTCGCGTAATCCGTCATAGTCAACCAGTCAAGAATCTCTCTCCGCTGCCGGCTGGATTGGTCGTCATGCATAGAAACTACAACTCGTTTCGTGGCATGTATGGCTTCACTTCAGTTGGAGGGTCAGTTTCATTGCACTAGGCTGGAAGAGGTCATGCCCAACATACCTGTCTCTGAAGCCTTTGATGGCACCGAGAAATGCCACATTCAGACTGATCCTCAAGCGAAGCTTTTGGACATCTTCGGGCTTTAGTCTCAGGCGGCTCCAAATTGCTCGAGGCTTCAAAGCGGCCAACTTCGTGGTACTCAACGACCGGTCCAAGCTGGTGTTCTCATTGTGGATTTTCTCCAGCTCACCCAAGAGCTTGACGGACTCTTTGATCGCCGGCGCCAGCTGTTCCTTCTCGGTATCTTCGAGTTGCTCTTCGACGCTGCCAATATACTCGAGGATGGAGGCGAGGGACTCGATCCTGAGGGCAATTGTTAGACACGATAGCTGAGGCCTAATCTGTGAACTTACTCGCGGCTGAGGGAGTCGAAGTGATCGGGCGCATCAGCAAACCGCTCACGATATAGTTTCGCCTTGTCTAAGACGGCGATGAAGTCGCCGACGCCGAATCCGAAGCTCATCTTTCGAGCTAACAGACAAGGGCAGCGATAACTAGAGTCGCTATCCGGCAAGATAAGATGATCTGGGTGCACGTTGGAGTTGTTGCGGGGAGGTTACCCGCGCAGCCTGATCTGAAGAGATCAGTAGGTAGGCGCAGCCGCCCAACTTGGCAGCGGCAGGTTCGACCTGCAGATGGATCCATGGATGACCGTTGATGATTGGCTGCAGATGAAGAGTCGGCGCATACCAAACCACCAAGTATCCCAAAAAGTAAACGATCTCGTCGAATAAGTACCTGGGAGTCGCGACGGCCTGGAATACAAGAAGGAACCGGCACCCGCATGAGAATTCTTTCGAGAAGAGCGCCTGCTTCTGTATCGCCCGCGTAACTCTCCTACGCGGAGTTCTTCAACAACCAAACACGATATGGAAATAAGTTGCAACTGGTGCTCGGCTCTGAATGAGCTTTACGCCGGTTTACCAATGCGTGCTCCACGGTTCTTCAACCCAATGCTAGCACTTCAGCCCGTGACATCTCTCAATGATCCAAACACGATATGGATATAAACTAACGCAAAAGAGAATCTTCGCCTTCATGACACGTTCTATTCTTGACTCATAGCTAGGCCATCCACGACATATTCTACACCATTTTCAACCATCTAAGGCACAAGTCTCTTGGGGGTACGGGGGTAGTAGCTCGCCAGGTGAACGGAGGGCAGGTTGAGGTACCAAGCGACAACGCGGTCAAGACCGATACCACCACCGCCGTGGGGCGGGACACCGGCGCTGCGGAAGATGTCGACGTACTCCTTGATACCCGGGCTGTTGGGGTCGATGCCCTTCTTGCGAATGCGGGCCTCGAGCACGCTGGGGATGTGGATACGCTGTCCACCGCTGAGGATCTCCTGTCCTCTCATCATGAAGTCGTAGCCGTTGGTGACCTTGGGGTTCTCGGGGTCCTCGAGGGTGTAGAAGGGACGAGCGCCCTCGGGGAACTTGTCGAGGACGTAGAAGTCGGTGTTGAACTTCTTGCGGATCAGAGCACCGAGCGCCTTCTCCTGGGGGGTCGACATGTCCTCGTCGTCGGAGACGTTGCGGAACTCCTCGGGGCCCTCCTCGCGGAGAAGCTTCTGTCCCTCGGCGAAGGTGAGGCGGACCTCCTTGCCGGGCTCGGGGAGGAGGAAGTCCTCGGAGGGGTAGACGGCGCGGACGGTCTCGATGGCCTCGGCGCAGCGCTCCTTAAGGCCGCGGAAGATGTACATGAGAACGTTCTCGAGCATGTCCCGGACCTCGTGGTAGTTCTCCTCGATCTCCATCTCCAGATCGAGACCGGTGAACTCGGTCAAGTGTCTGGGTGTGTTGGAGTTCTCTGCTCTGAAAACGGGGAAGCAGCTGAAAACGCGACCCCTACCGCCTGCAATCTCAATCTGCTTGTAGAACTGGGGAGACTGGGCCAGGCAGGCGCTCTTTTCGAAGTATGGGAGCTGGAAGACGTTGGCACCGCCCTCGGAAGCGGCACCGATCAGGCAGGGAGGCTCGAACTGGACGAAGCCCTGGGACTCGAGGTACTCGGCGAAGAGCTTGCGGGTTTGCATGCGGACTAGACCGGTCAGTACGTATCGTGTAAGAAGGGGTGCCCAAACATACCATCAGCAATGGCCTGCTGAACAGGTGCACGCTTATGCATGACCGGGTTGTTGAGATGCGTAGACAAGCTCGCGCTGGGGGTGTTGTCGATGCTGACGCCCTCGACACCAGCCTTGACATCGTCAACGGCCTTCTCAGCCTCAGGAGCGTTGGGGTCTTCGTCGTCGAAGCTGGAGATGGCGCGGTTGGAGACAGCTTTACACCAATTAGTTGTTGGTCTCCCTGTACTGCTGCAGATCTGCGACTTACCAAGCGACATGCCCAAGGCCTCAGGAGCCGCGGAGATGACGTAGAGCTTGGTGATGTGAAGCTCGTAGTTGCTGACCCTGCAGCTCTTGACGGGCTCGAGGGGCTTCTGAACCGTCGCCTCGACGAGGACGTAGGACTCCAGGTTGACGCCGCCAATCCACTTGACCATCTGCTTCGACACGGGCTTGCCCTCGGCGCTGGCAGCAACGACACCCTGGATCGCCCAGTTGCCGCTTCCGCTCTGTCTCAATTCCACGAAGCACATCTTGGCGCCCTGCATGCGCGAGTTCTGGACCCATCCGCGCAACTTGATGCTCTTGCCGATGTGCTCGTCGCCGACGTCGCGCAGGTTGACGCGCTCGGCCTCGACCTTGGTCTTGTGGGTGACGTCGCCGTAGTTGTCCTTGGCCAGGTCCTCGCCTCCAGCGCCGCCGGCAGCCTTCGCGGCGGCCTCGGCGGCCTGGCGCTCGGCAGCCTTGCGGGCCTTCTCGGCCTCCTTCTTCGCCTTGGCCTCGGCCTTCTTTGCTCCCTTCTTGGACTGCTTCTCACCACCCTCCTCGCCGGCGGGGGCAGCGGCGGCGGCGGGGTTCTCGGTGGGCTTTGCGGGGTCGGTCGGCGCGTCAGCCATGTTTGCGGTCGGGATCGGTTTGTTGGAAACAATTGGGAGTCGAAGGAGAGATTTCGGGCCGCTGGTTTGGCGTTAAGAAGCCGGTCAAATTGTGGTCTGAGGTGGGTGACTGTTCGGTGAGTGTCACAAAAAAAGACCTGGAAATTTCCATGGCGGGGTAGGGGCGCGGGGCAAGGGCGGCTAGCGGTGGCGCGCTGGTTATGACTCAAATCACAGCACTCCAAAATTTGGGTATCTCTCCTTGACATGAAATTGATTTTCAGAAATCAATTGGCGTCGAGGCCAGCGGTGGACTACGATTAACTAGCACTTTCAATCCTCCCTATCCCATTGCCACCAAATTGAACGCCAAATTGCCAGGTATGCTGCCGCCCCCAGAACTGAACGCAACCAAGCGGGTAGTAGTTACACATAACAGCGGCATCTTTCTATGCCGCGATCCAAATACAATAGAGAATGCCATTCATCTTCCAATGGATGCGAACTAAGCAACCAAGGGATGCGTTTCGGACTTCTCGCAGGTGAAGAAGTTCACGTGGTGATCGCCTCGGGCCGCACAAGCAAGAACGGGCCGATGGGGATGGAAAGATGTGGCAGCAATCGGAGATCCCCTGCTCTGTTGGAGGAAGCTCGAGTATGGCTCGACGCGAGACAACTCATGTCCGTCGAAGTTGAAAACCTTGACGGCATGCGCGGAAGTACCACTACGTTTGGGTTAGCATCATCATGGCTGGTGATTGAGTGTCAACTTACACAGCAAACACCGGTAGGTGTTCGTGGGTACTGGCTGTCCGAAGTGTGTCCCGCGTAGTCTGATAAACCTGCAGTGGCCGGTCCATGCGGATGTCCCACAGCTTCACCTTGCCGTTCCTGCTCGCGCTGAGCAACTCTCGTTGTCCACCGCGTTGCATGTGAACGCTCTTGATCCATTGCCTGTCGGTCTCGTCCTTCCACTTCTTAACCATTGAGTCCTGTGCTCTAAGACGAGTGTCGAAAACGCGCACGGCACCGTCTCCAAATCCAGCCACGAGCGTGTTGCCCGTCATCTGATCCGAGGTCAAAGAGGTGACACAGGACCCAGATCGAGCAGGAATGTCCATAATGCATGTCTCGTGGGCCGCAGACCATACTCGGATGACCCGCACGTCGCCAGCCACTAGCACACGGCCAGTCGACTGCTGCCAGTCAAAAACCATGCCCGAGTTGACATTGCTGGGCACCATGTGCGTGAGGGCTCGCCAAGCCGAGGCAAGCGTGATGGACTTGTCCGTGTCGTAGTTTCGGTATATGCGTATGACTCCGTCGGATGAACCAGTCATAAGGAAAGCTTCATCGTCTTCGTTGATGAACTTCATGTCGCTGATTCTTGATCCTTCTGGGTTGCCGTTCGAGAATCTGCTAAGGCGAGCATGCTTCTTCCAGTCCCAGACGCAGACGGTATTGCCGTCATCTGCCACGGCAAGATGATCTTCGAATTGGTGAAATTCCATCTTGGCGGGCTGAGAGCCATTGTTGATGATGCCAAGTTGGTTGTTCCACTTATGGCTACCGGCGTATTGCTTGAGCGGCTGTGTCTCAGTCAGGATGTAATCATTTCGAGCTCTCCTCCAAAGCCGCTCGTTGTATTCGGTGCTTCCAGGCTCATCTGACTCGCTAGGTTTCATTTGAGGCTCAGTGAAGTAGCCGATTGACCATTCAAAAAAGGTACTCTGAAGGGGTAGCCGGGCAGGCGTTTCAGCATCCTCGTTCTCGTCGGGCAACTTGATCTCGTCTGCCAAGTTTCGCTCTACGTACCCCCCAGAGACAGGCTCTCTGGCAATATGATAGTTGGCGTGAATGGCTGTCGGATCGCTCTGTTCTGGTGGTGCAGCAGCCAGTTCGGGGGCCTTGTTCTTTTGAGATCCAACCCTCTGCAGCCCTGGCGATGGCGCCGGGGAAGCAAAGTTGGATTTCTCACTGGATTCTGCTTTACCATCGCTGCCGAATATGGGTAATGTGAATAGCAGGCTTGCAGTGCGACGCAGCAAGCTGGGAGAAGCCAGAGGCGGAGTAGCCATGGCGTTCGAAACTCCGATCGCGTTGCTTCGCTGGTTCAGATTCAGGTGATGCTTGGTCGATGCTCGCTTTGCCCTCTTTCGGATGTCATCAATCAGCGTCTGAGCATGCTCACCAATTGCCGAATTCGCGACAGCTTGATGAACATAGTCGACGATGATGGTAGCATCTTTCTGAACCTCAGGATGGGGATCAACGTTCAGCATTAGAGCATGCTTCCAGCACGCCGCAAAAACGGTGTTGTGGGCGAAGCCGTGGACAGTGGGCTTGATAGTTCCGTCGGCGTTCCTATGCTCTTTCCTAGCATAGTGCAGCCCCATTTTGTGGTCATTGCCATCTTGACCTGGGGGAAACAACAGGTATTCCCTCTCTTCGAGAAGCTGCTCATAGGCAGCGACGATGAACTTGCTTTCGAAGCGGACGATGAATCGCGACAAGAACACCAGAAATTCCCGGCGAACCATGGGACTGCCGTCATTGGCCATGTCTAGTAATGTCCAGGCAATAGACTCCTCAATCCGGGCAACCTCGTCAGTTAAGTCCGTGATGCCCAGGAAAGTACTCATGGCATAGAGCATGGCTGCGCGGACCTCGCAGCACGGATCCTTTGTCAAGAATGACAGCTTTGCAGGGGCGTTCTCCCGAATGCCACGCCATTTTGCCTCAGGAAGCTCCTGCCACAGCTGGCTGATGCACAAGCAAGACCAGTGCCTCAACAAGTTGTTACCATGGTTCTGCACGTGTACTAAACAGTAGGACATGATGTCCGTTTGGTTGCACACTCCCTGGCCGGGCCTGTGATCCTTGCATAGCATGGACAGGATAAAGGCGCACATCGCCTTGTGCTCTGCTTCATTGACGACTGGCAAGCCTTCAGATGGCTTCAGAATCTGAGCGAAATAGTTGTAGCCGCTATCCTTGATGAGGTCACCCTGGCATGAGATATCAACAGCCAGTATCCTCGTCCAGATGAAGACCATAACTGGCTTCAACTCTGCTGCGGCTGATTGCAGCAACTTCAGGACGTAGGGGAAGATGCCGATACTCAGGGCGAGCTGAACAGCCCAAGGTCCCAAGTCGAGGAATCTTCCTAGCAGTATCAGAGCTCTCACTCTATGTTGTTGACTCAGAAGAACCTGCAGAACAACCGGCAGCTGTTCAGGGGGTCTTTGGGACATGGCGTCGCCTCTTGTAAGGTAGACGTCAAATGCTGTAAGCTGTTCTGTGAAAAAAGTCGAGTTTTGGTACTCATAATCGATGCCCTCGTTCTCCTTTCTCTCCAGCATAGGCAGCTGCGCCAGCGCCATGTCGACGGCCAAATCCCAGCTGGCCCACAGAGGATGTTGGCGTGTCTCTGGGAGCTCGGGGAATGATTGCGGATGACAGCCATAAACAGACATGATCCTCTGAGCAAGCAGGAAGTTGCGAAACAAGGCAGCAACCATTAGATCCTGTCTGAAAAACTTCCTGAAGAGGTGTCTTGGTAATGTTGTCCAGGCAATGGTATCTGTGATGGCCGTAAAGATCCAGTTGAGCTCACCAAGAGGAGTCCTTCTTTCTTGCAGCCTCCCGGGCAGCTTCTTGGCCCGTTCTGGTGAGATATTGGTCTTGAGGGGGTTCTGGAGGACGAAGAACCACAGAGCCATCTCGATAGGGGTGGTGAGGCAGGCAGTAAACAGATCGGCTGGGAGCAGAGGGTTGGTCGGCAGATTCTCCTTTACTCCACAGGCAGCGAGGTGAATGTAGGGCCGGAAAGCTGTTTTCTCATAGTTCTTGTCCTGCTCCTTAGCCTCGTTCTCTTCTTCCTCATGTTTCTCCACGAAGCGGTGGTAGTTGTTGAGAATGTTCCCCGCCTCAGAGCAATCCCAGACATAAATTGTTGGAGCATGTAGCCATTGCTGAAGATCGTACAGTGACACGGGAATGTACTGCGTATAATTTTTGTTAAAAACCCAGATTTCTCCGCTGGCAGTGGGTTTCGGCACTCCATGACCATTGTAGTGAAGCAGAACTCGTTCGTCTTTTGCGTTCCTACGCAGAGACTGGCAGAACTTCTTGGTCTCCTCAACCGACGGATCCAAGTACTGTTTATACCTGGTTCGAATAGCCAGTGTTTCGTACTGCGCCTGAAGTGCCTTGCCGATGTTTTCGAGGGCTTTTTGAGGAGGAGGCGTCGTGGGGTCCGTCCATGCTTCGAGTTTTGCACCAGGGTTGGTCTTGAGCTGATCAGGAGGCTCGACCGAAATGTTGAGGCAGACAGCCAACGCAGCAGAGACGGTCTTCAGCCTGTCTCTCATGCGCCAGTCCTGTAGCTCGTGCGACCTTCGTTTCGGTTTGCCGGTCGCCTCGTGCCGTTTGTCTGTCCAGTACATGTACCAGTTCTGGAAGTCAAAGTCAGCATGGGTCAGTGTGGGTGAAGGTATCAACAAGTCCCAATTGTCCAATGAGGTGCCGACCTCGCGCTGAAGGTCATCCAGTTCCATGGCTGCTGAAGCAGTCATTGTTATCGTCCCGGCGGGTGAGTCCATCGCCTAGCACATCCAAGACGCATGGAATGTAGACCAGGAGTTGGGCGATTTGGTGCCCCGCGCCGCCTCAGGACTGGAATTCGAACGAGCATGCTGCAGTCATGGCGTACGATGCGGGCAGCAGAGCACGCCTCTCCTATCTTTACGCGGCACGCGCAGATACTGACTGACAGCGGCTAGGCCAGTCCAGCAGACAAGCGGCAAAAAGGCCGCCACACGACCGCCAAGTGGGGAGGCTTAAAGCTTAGGATGGAAAAGAGGAGGATGCGCAGAGGTGTGGTATCAACGAAAAGAAATGCTCAACTTACATTTGCCAGCGCAGCTATGACATCCGGAGACTCGTGATACTCCTCGAAACCATGTCTTGCGCCCCAATGCGGGATGTCGTCGTCGGAATGGTCAACCTCTTCGGGAGCTGGTCGGCCGCCTCCATATTCGCTCTTGGACCGCATGAGCAGCGGCTTCACGGTTGGTCGTTTCGGTCGGTCCGAGTCGGATTGCTCTCCGGCTGGGAAACCGATAGTGGGTATCTGTTTGTTGCCGGGCGCGCTGGATGGGCGCCTGGCGGAGCTATCGTCATGGCTCGTGGATCGTTGGAGGCCTGAGGGAGGATAGGCAGTCGATGGAGAGGGTTGCGCCGTCGCATCGGCAAAGGCAGAGGCGCCGTTCGGGCGCTGGATGGGTGGCATCGTGGGGCTTTCGTGAACACCCAGAAGCGCAGTGCTGTTGGTCCTTCGCGAGAGGCTGGAGTAGTGGCGGGGTTGAGAGGAGGACAGTGAGGGCTTCGAGAAGCTCGACTGTCGGAGATGGTTGGCGGGCGGAGGACGGGGATCGGGTTGGTCTTGCGCGGTGGCAGCAGTCATGTTGTCGGGACGTCGGCGACGGTTGGATATTTAGTACTGGCGTGCGAACCACCTTTTCAGCATTCACCGCGACGGCATTTCGGTGTTGCGGTGGCCGCGTGGATGAGGTGGATGTAGATGGTTACCGGCGATTGCGTCGGTGACGCGAATTTGGAGTTTTTGGAGAGGTGAGTGACAGGTCAGGTCTGCCGGGTTGGCGTTGGCGGCGTGGTGCCAGCGGCTAGCCTGGCCCAACTCAGCGAGGTGAGGTGGTGCTCAGGTGCGGTGCTTGGCCCGCGGGAACAGCCCGGGCACCTAGAAAATTAGGAATGGGACCTTGAGCTGAGGTCAGCTCTGGGCCAACCGACCTATCAGCAGCTGTGTCTGCCCATTCGCCTTATCTGACTGATGTGGTTTCTGCGATTCGAAAGAAGCTTCCGAAAATTTGAAGAGCCTAAAGAAAGCTTTTATCGCGAACGCAATTCCTAAGCAGATCGGGGGATGACAGTTATTCGTCATCAAGTCACTCATAAGATCTGGAAACCAGGGCAGTTCGTCTCATGCTTCGGTGTGCACCCCAGAATGACCCTCACCCAGTGGAGGTGACCTAGATGTATCGGTGCCGGCACAGACCGAGGCCTTCAATGTTGGCGACCCGATGCAACTGCAACTGACCTGTCCCTGACCGCCTTTCAACTCCACCTCTCCGCATCTTCGCTGACGGCCAGCGGCTTGTCGGCGAGTCCAGCGCAGCAGCACCCGATCCGAATCGGGGATGAGGTAATCGAGGCCTCGGCCGGTGTGCACGTTCCACGTCAGAAGGACGCTAGTCTGAACATGGAAGTGCCTGCCTTAATAATCCAACGTCTTCGCGATTCACCTGACCTTCCTCGTGCAACCAATTCGCGGAAACAATTGGCATTCTGCACTCTGTTCTCGCTTCATGCTGCTTCTCTGCGCAATAATGCCTTTTGGCAGCTGCGCACTTGGAATCCGGCAGAACTCACACCTGCGGAAGCAAGCCATCTTCAGATGCCCCTCGACGCGAAGGGAGATGACTCGAGCTGGCAGCCAACACCCAGGAACGCTGCCACGCGACGCTGTTTACCTAAAAAGACACAACTGGCATAATCTCAAGATTGGATCATCGCGACTGGGCATCTCGGCAAATCGGAGAATACGTTCCTTATATTCGTGCGCATCTTCTTGGAATGGTGGGGAATTGGCTTGCGGGAACGCGGGCACTTGAGAAACATTGTCTCGCCCAAAACACCGGCTCAATGGCAATCGCTCGCTCTTTTTTCTCTGATCTGGCCGTGGCCCTCGCCAGTCTGGTTTGCGGGGATACCATTTCCTTTTTATGGTGGATCGTCGCATCTCCTCCTCTGGACTCAGTCACGTCATATCGCCTACTCGCATACCTCCGAATCTGCTGCCATACCTCGTCGCCTTGCACGGTGTGCGAGCTGCGATCCGAACTACACATTCTCATTCAACTTGTTGGTGTTCCGTTTCTGCATCCGTTTGTGCCGCCGACGACGACGGCGGGCGCTGGACACCAGCTCTGTACGATGCTTAGCAGGGCCATCGTTGTTGAGACGGTTTATGCTTGAAGCCCTCCGAGGCGGCTGGTCTCTTCTTGTTACCCATGGCCTTATCAAACGGACTAGTCGGTTCGTGGGCGGCCGATGCGTCCAAGCACCATCAGATGCGATCGCGAGGGTCCATCCTGTTTGTTTTCTCGGCTCGGACCTGGAAGCTCCCTGCTTGAACACGAGCCTCACTTCTCTGCCGCGTCTCCTTCTCGCTGTAGATCGACCTCTTGAACGAACAGAGTTGGATGGTGCCGCGTGGCCCTTTTCACCGTCCCCCGTCTGCTTGAGGCACAGCGCTAGAGAGCCGTTGCTAAAGCTCACCAGAATGTCGCATCTTATTCTCAGACGCGCCATCTCACGGCAGCATTCTTTCGGCCATCTAGCAGCGAGGCTAAGGCATAGGCTAATTTGCCAACATTCCGCACACATTCCATCGAAGCCTCGGTCTTTGCGCCACGGCTGCTCATCCGTCCCAGAATCTCCAAGCCGGCATCCGTACGCAAGCCAAGGCGCGGTACGGTAAGATACCTCAACGTCTGTGGTGTGGAGCACGTCCCTGACCTTAGGACCTGTGTTATCGCCATCTCACCTGCGGACTTTGATCTACCTTACCTACTACGACTCTACACACAGTGTATGGCCGCGGATCCTCTTATCCGCCGCGTCCTTCAGCCCATCTGAAGTATTCCCGTCTCTTCCCTCGTCGCTGTCCAAATTTCGGGGCCGCTACCAGGCTTCAAATACCTACCTCCTCCAAGAGTCCGTGTACTGAATAGCCATCGATCGAATGGCGTTGGAGGTTTGAAAACATGAAACGCACCACCTCATGGCAGATGGGCCTCCTGTAAAGGGAAATTGTACCCAAATGGAACCGCCCTCTTTCGCTGCTACGCCCCTGGGGCCGTTTTGACCATTAACAGAAAAACGTATGGGAAGAATCTTCTCCGAGGAAGTTGCTCCGAGCCTCATCCTCTTTTCCTCTGCTGTTTTTGTAGCCCTGGTCAGGAACATGGGCAGAGCAAATTGTGATTTTCATGAATTCCTGCGTCTCGGGTCGCCCAAGTCGCCTCTGCTCGTCAGACACGTACATACGTCAAAAAGGACGAAGCGGGACCCTGCGTTTCCCGGAGACTGCTGCCGACTGGCGAAGTTTGAAAGAGCCAAGAAAGAGGACGGGTTTGAGCAGCCAGGCTTATCCGTTCTTTTGATACTTTTTGCGCGCCGACATGGTCTTGGTGGCGGAGAGGAATGCCAGATACGCCGTCGTGGACGTCATGTACGTTCATGTCTTGGGCCGCGACTTGATGTTTGTTTAGAAGAGAGAGGCCTCATGTCTCGCGGTCGTCGATTGACTTTGAGCTATGGCTGCGTCGCACAGAATATGACTGTGCGATACGGGGACCACGGACGTCAAGAACGACAGGCCGGCAGTACAAGCCGGACGTCGTCCGACTCAAGGCTCATGATCTGCAACCTTCCGTGGCATCGGACTGGAGACGGTTGTGGGAGCCCTGACGAAGGCGATGTGACGATGATGAGGTGAGCCAACAGCCACGGCGCGTGGCACCCCGATTCGTGAATCGGTGGTGCTGGTGCTGGTGCCGGGACTGGTACGGATACTGGGACTAGGAATGGCCGGCTGGGGCTGACGGGGGTTTTCGTCTCTCGCAAGACGTGTTTGACGGTTGGGCAGCCGGGAGAAACCAAACAAAGACAGCGTTGTTCAGACCCGGGCGATCAGTGTCAGGAAGGCTGAGTTGGCAGTCCCGGATATTCTCTCACGGGAGACGTGCCTGGTTGCCATCCGGATCTGTATACGGATATAGGGACACGATATGGACGTGGAAGGATGATGCCGGATGCTACAGTGGCTGATGAGTGATGATGATGCTGCTGCTGCTGCTGCTATTACGTAGTAAGAAAAACCGGTACGTTAGGCAATAGACAAGCAGACGCGAAAGCAGAGCAATGGTCAACTGAGGGCTATCGACTCAGTCGACGGAACGCATCAGGTCGTGCCAGAGAAGCCCTTAATAGAACCTCGGTCTCCATCAAGATCTTTAAATACCTGGGGGCGTTTGGTGCCAAACCAAAGACAGACAAAGTCAGGTACTTGGGAGTACATGTGCCGGGCGCCAGAAGACGCGATGCCCCGTACTGTCTGTAAGGTACCGACGGTAGTCCACGAGATGATACGGTGCAATTGCCCATTTCGAGTTCCCTCGTTCGCCAACCCCTTTCTCGATAAACGGGTCACTGACCGTGCAGACAGACAGGTACCGGGCAGTGACATACCTGACCCGGCCGTTTTTTGCCCAAGCCACGTGTCTTGGAGTGTACTCCCCATGTCCCGCCTGATGTCTAAGGATCCTTTTCCTTCTTTCCCCCCCACAGGCACCGTAACGAAGGCGTGCAGCCTCCCCGTGCTCCTCTAAAAAGTTTCCCGGTCGCACTTGCTGAGGTGCTTCTTCTGCTTTGCTTGGATGATTTCCCTAGGTACAGGCTGCAAGCCCCCCTACACCCCCCCATCCACAAGCGAGCAGAAACCGAGCTTCACGATATGCCATTGGCCAAGACGTGCTGAAGGACAAGCCCCTTGGTGCAGGTGCAAGGTGCAGCAGCGGGCAAGGCGAACAATTGCCAGGCGGAGGGCGGAGGGCGGAGAACAGGCCAGCGCAGCAACCCGACGGAGACCATCTCAGTCAATCAGTTCAGTGTCAGTGCAGGAATAGCAGCCCCGAAACGGGAGACAGCAGCCCATTGCCATCGGGGGTTCTCCTTACCTAAGTCTCCTGGGCTCCTCGATGGGTGAGGGTGAGGGTGAGGGTGCATGGTGCATTGCGTTGCTTTGCTTTGCTCTGCTTGGCTTGGGTGCCGCTGCCGCTAATGCTGCTGCTTGCTGTAGGCACCGCTCCGCTGGCTGCATCCCGTCCCGTCACTTCCTCGCTCTCCAATCCCCATTGTGGAATTTCCCAAATTCTCCTTTCACCATCCTGCCCAGGAGAGGCAACGAGCCCAATGACTTGACCTTAGTTTGATACACAGAACGCCTTCCCAGCCTGGTCTTCTCGTTGCTTCACAGCTTCCTCCGTCTGGACATCCAACTTGGACACATTCTCTCACCCAACAGCTCCTGCACCAACACACCAACGACAGTCTCAGCGCCTTTATCCACGGACAAGGCCCGCGTGCGGAAATAATATTAAGACCCCCGAAAAGAGAGACGAAGGCAATTCGAAGGGGGGCCGCCCCGGGAAGAGAAAAATAATAATAACCAATCCCCTAAAATCCAACGAGCCAACCCCCGTCAGCGAGCAGCTCTGTACGCGCGGAGTCGACATCGTCCCGTTTCTTCGCTCAACCCAGCCTCCTCCTCTCTCCTTCGTTTCCTCACCCCTCGCTCCCTTACTCGCATCACTGCGCCGGAGAGGAGGACCGCAGAAAAAAAAAGGACGAGGTCGAACATCGCAGGAAAGTCCTCACCTGGCAACGCGCCCTCGCTACTACCCCGGACACTCCACCGATGCGAACCCAGCCATCCGCAAACTCGACTCCCTTTCCCGTTCTTGTGTTCCTGCATCCGCTGCATCTCATCGCGCGCCGCCGCACCAGACCCGACTCCAGCAAACTGGCGATACCACTCGCTCAGCCCCTGCATCGCTATCACGACACCAATCCCGATTTTCCTACCATCGTCATACGAACGATACATCCAAAACGAACGAGACGACCTAATTGATACCCTCGTCCACGCGCGCTGGCGACAGCCCACGAGCGAACCCATCACTTATCACTGCCGCTCCGCGTGCAGGCTGTGACCTGATCCGTCATGGCGTTCCTTTTTAAATCGAAGAAGAGCCAGGATCGAGCTCTGGCAAGTCGCGACGCAAATTCGGGCGGTGGCGGCTCCCAGAGCTCCATTCAGAGTGCCAGCGCCAGAATAGCGAGAGAAGAGAAGAACGCTACCCAACGCTCGACACCCACGGGTAGCGTCAACTCAATCGATCATGATGGAAGCGCTGGAGCTGGGAGCCCCGACGTAGGCTACGCCCGTCAGCGAGGTCCCAGCGTGGACCAGACTTCGTCGCAACCGCCTTCGAGCGACCTGCCTGTAAGAATCCTTCCACATACTTGAGTGCCTCGTCCGTCTTGGTCATTACTGACCGCTTCCCAGCTTCGAAATGGCCCCCCAGTTTCCCAGCAGAATGTTTCTCCCCAGCAACAACAAATGATGAACCCAAATGCGTCGCTCTACCCTTGGTCACAACGACGACTGACCTACACATCATCACACCCGAGTCCCTTCCCCAGATATGGTGCTGCCGTCAACTCAGTTTCGTCCAAGGAGGGCGACATCTACGTGATGGGCGGTTTGATCAACAGCTCGACGGTCAAGGGCGACTTATGGATGATCGAGGCTGGGCAGAACATGGCCTGCTACCCCCTTGCGACTACTGCTGAGGGACCAGGCCCAAGAGTCGGTCACGCAAGTCTGCTTGTCGGCAATGCCTTCATCGTCTACGGCGGTGACACCAAGGTCGACGAGATGGACGTTCTGGATGAGACGCTGTACCTCCTCAACACATGTGAGTTGCACCTTGACGGCGCAACCCGTAATGCTTCTTTGCTGTCGGACAGAGACTGACCTATTCACAGCCACGAGACAATGGTCTAGAGCACTTCCCTCTGGCACAAGACCCTCTGGTCGTTATGGCCACTCCCTCAACATTCTCGGCTCCAAGATTTACATCTTTGGTGGCCAGATTGAGGGCTACTTCATGAACGACCTCTCCGCTTTCGACCTCAACCAGCTGCAGATGCCCAACAACCGATGGGAGATGTTGATCCAGAACACCGACAGTGGAGGGCCGGCTGTGGGCAAGATTCCCGCTGCCAGAACCAACCACTCCGTGGTGACGTTCAATGACAAGATGTACCTGTATGTGTTGCTGAGAATAGCTAAGGTGTGAGATACTGACATGAGACGTAGCTTTGGTGGTACGAACGGATACCAATGGTTCAACGACGTTTGGTGCTACGACCCTGCCACGAACGAATGGTCGCAACTGGACTGCATCGGCTACATCCCAGTTCCTCGCGAAGGCCACGCCGCATCGTTGGTGGACGACGTGATGTACATCTTTGGTGGACGCACAGAGGAAGGAGCCGACCTCGGTGATCTTGCCGCTTTCAGGATTACATCGCGCCGCTGGTACACCTTCCAGAACATGGGGCCATCGCCCTCTCCCCGTTCAGGTCACAGTATGACTACTGTTGGGAAGGCAGTAGTGGTAGTTGGAGGCGAACCGAGCTCATCCCCTGCGAGTGTTGGCGATCTCGGCATCGTCTATATGCTGGACACCACCAAGATTCGTTACCCGAACGATGCCCAGGCCCAGCAACAGACAGCCGGACAAGGGCAACAGCCAGCAAGGGTGCAAGGATCACGGAGACCCAGCGTCGCTGCCGACACGAGGAACATGATACCCCGTGACGGTTCCAACGGGCCACCTGAGCAAAAGAGACTGATGGGGGCAGCTCGCGATCCATCTGCGGTGAACAGCCCTCCCAACGGTCACAGGGGTGGACCCAACGGAACAGAGACAAACAATAACCCAGCCGCCATTAACAACATGTCTAAGTTGCCGAGATCTGCTGCAGCCTCACCTCCCGCTGGACCGCCCCCTCAGGGACCCACGCCTGCGAAACCTTCAGTTCAGACTTCGAATTTGGGTCGTATTCGTGGACAGTCTTCAGAAAGGGACGGTTCTGCTGGCTCTCCCCAGTTGAATCAGTCGCCAGTTATTCGGGAAGTTATCAAAGAGGTCGCATCCAAGGAATCGGAGAGCCCGGTAACGAACGGTCGACGAACGCCACAGCAGCAAGTCAAGAGAACAGGCTCACAGTCTGAGACAGGTCCTACTGAGGCAGCCAAGACCAAGTCGAGGCAAGGGAGCCGCTCTGGAAACTCTGTGGACAGCACGACAGAACCTGGTCTGAAGGCGGTTCAGCCTCAACCCCAGCCCCAAGTTCAACCCCAAGTCCAACCTCAGGTCCAACCCCAGGTTCAACCTGAAATTCAACCTCAGCCGCAGCTTCAGCCGCCGCCATCGCAACCGCAACCGCCCCCGCCCCAACAACAGCAGCAGCAACGGACCCCACCGCAGCAGCCATCACCGCAAATGCAGCAGCAGGTGTTGCAAGCGCAAGCGAATCGGCCCGCATCTCCACCACCCCCCGCTGCTCGTCAACCAAGTAATCCGTTAAACCGAAGATCCTCGGGTCGTAACTCGCAGACTGTGGCTTTGCTGAAGGAATTGGATACGGCCAGGAACCGCAATGCCTGGTATGCCTCAGAGCTTGAGCTTGCGCGAAAGGCGGGTTATGTTCCCAACGCAAGTCTCAGTCCCGTTCTTGACAGCAGGGCCGCGGAGACGTTCGACGATGAAGATAAGCCCCTCATAGAGGCGCTCTTGGCTATGCGCACTGAACTCGCCAATGTTCAGGCATCGGTCGACAAGCAAGCAATCCTCGCCGCGAAGCAGATCGCAGAAGCCGAGAAGCAGCGAGATGCTGCCATACAAGAAGCTGTGTACGCCAAGGCCAAGCTCGTTGCCCAAGTAGGCGGCAGTGTTGCAAGCACTCCCCAGCTTGATGGTGAGCGCGACGTCGATGATCGGTCAACCGAAATCAGTCGCAAATTGGCCACTGCTCTCAACTACCAAAAAGACCTTCAAGCCCAGATGGAAATGCTGAAGTCCGAGCTTGAGGCCGAGAAGCGCGCCCGCCAGCTTGCGGATGACACCACGAACGCTTCCCAAAAGCGTATGAGCGAGCTTGAATCGTACAAAACCATGACCTCGACGGATTTAGAGCAACTGAAGGCTGAGCTGCACATGGTTCAGAAGGAAGCAAGAGAACAGGCAGTTCAGTATACCGAGGCCATGGCGTCTATGCAGCTCTTGAAGGTCGAGAGGGCAGACTTCGAGAAGAAGTACAACGAATCCGTCGGCACCTCTAAAGAGCAAAACGATACTTTCGACTCTCTCCGCCAAGCAATGGCAGCATCTGCGGAAATCAAGGCTCATCTCGAGAGCAAATTGGAGGAGGAGCGCTCACAACGAGAGAACCTAGAGGTCAAGCTTAACAAACTGAAGGCAGAACACGAGACTAGGACGTCCGAACTCGTAGCAGCGACCCAGAGATTGAGAGATGCCGAGGAGCTTGCTGAGAAGCATGCAAATGAGGCCAAAACACATCAACAGGCTGTGCTTGCCGGCTTTGACAAGGTTTCCGCCAGGAACATTGGAGCCGACGGTAATGCTGACTCGGAGAAGCTCAAGGCTTTGCAGGACCAACTCAATGCCGCCAACGCCCTGGTCAAGAAGTACCAGCAAGAGGCAGACTCTGCGGCGGACAAGCTTCGCACTGCTGAGGAGCGCATTGCCGGTTTGGAGGTTTACCAAGAGCAGTCCAGTCGCGAGGGCGTTGCCATTAGAAGACAGCTTCAGGCGGCGCTGCGGGAAACTCAGTCTCTGCAGGCTAAGAACTCAGACCTGAAGCACCAGCTCCAGAACCAGCAGTTGGAGACCAACGCAATGACGGTACAACACAACACCCTGAAGGACATTCTTGTCGAGCGTGGTATCAGTCCCACAAACGTGGCTCGGACACGCAGCATTGGAAGCCCTAGAGTAAACACCCCCGAGCAAGCACGCATTCGCGACCTGGAGGACCAACTCTCTGCCGCCACTACCGCGCACGAAGAGAACGCCCAGCGCGCAGCCGCGCAGCAAGAGGCCACCGAAGCCGCTTACCGCGAAAAGCTCACTCAGCTCGAGAACGACTACCAGTCTGCCGTGCACTACGTCAAGGGTACCGAAAAGATGCTCAAGCAGTTGAAGGAGCAGCTGGCTAGATACAAGGCGGAGAACACTCGACTCAAGTCCGAGATCGAGGAGCTTGAGGAACGCGTGGAGTCCTCGGCGTCAAACGTGGGTGGTGCCGCCCCTGCCAACTGGGAGAGCGAACGTCACATCCTTCAGGAGAAGATTGAGAGCCTCGAGGAAGATCTCCAAGCCTCGACCGAGCAGCTCGAGCAACAGCTGAACATCGTCCGGAAGGAACTGGAGGACAGCAAGAAGCAACGCGAGGGCGCCTTGAAGGACGCCGAAGAGTCTTCTCGCAAGCTGGCCGCCAACCGCCGCGACTTGGAGGAGCTTCAGCAGGAGAACAGCTTGCTGGAACGCCGCGCTCAAGATGCCGAGCAGAAGGTCTCTCTTCTTCTGGACCAGGTCGAGTCATCTGTTGATAGCTACCGCCGACAGAGCAGACAAGCTCCGAGCATGACCTCCGAGGTGACCGCTGGAGGCACCAACGGAAACAGCATCGGCCACCAGCGACAAGACAGCTCAGACGCCGAAAGCACTTACGGCGGTACCTCGAGCGGTGTGGATGGCCGCAATAGCACTGCGTTGGACAACCTGGCTAATGAACTCGAGACCCTGCGCACCCATTGGGAAGCTACCAACAAGAACTATCGTCTCAGCAACACTTTTGACTTCGAGGGCGCCGCCACTCCCACAAGAAAAGACGACGAGGTCGGTTTGGGTCTTAGCGAGAGCCTTGCCGACTGGCGGAAGCGTCTTGACGTCGACGAACAGGCGGATAGTGACCGAGCGAAGACCAAAAGCCGACCCGATCGGCCCTAGTCTGGCGTTTTGCGGCGGATGAACTCTCGCTTCGCTTCATGACGGCCACCAGGCGTTTGCCATTACCTACTGTACATTCTTTGACTGCCTCCGGGCAGCCGTTCCCAGGCGGAAGGAGTTCAGGGAATTTTGGGTCTTGCTTTCGACGCACCACTATTTCTGGTTGACTCCGGTCTTTGTTTCGCGATGATTCCACGTATTCATGACGAATCAACCTTCACTTAATTTGCCCCCTTTTTGTTTTTTGTGGTTTTTCAGTTTGCTTTCTCTTCTGTTCATGGACCTTTCTGATGATACACTGCAACTACGGCCAGCCACGCTTGTTCATGAACACGCATGAGGGCACGTTGAGGCGCGAAAAGGTCTACTTAGTTACTTGAAGATGGGCGGATGAGTTGGCGGAGGGGGCATACGTGCCTCTTCCTTTTACGTTGTGTCTTTTTTTCTACTTCCTCTAAAATAATGTACAATACTTTGTGCGGTTCAATGCTTCCCGCTACCTTATTCTCGTGTTCTTCGAGAGTGCTTGTTTCGAGATGTCGGTCGGACGAAAACCAAAGGGCGAAAAAAGACGGAACGTTTTGATGATTCGAGACGAGCGAGCTGGCTCAGAAACAAAATAAGGAGGGGGGACACGAGAGGGGTCCATTTATCTCCCTCTCGGGGTTTCTTTTTGAGAGTTGTCATGCGGTTTACTTGTTGTTTTCTTTTCCCATTCTTACTTTTGATAACCTCTTGTTTGTTACTCGAGTCGAAAACCCGACGGCTCGAGGGAGCTGGCGGCGGTGGACTTTTTAGGGATTGATCAATGATGAGACGATTGTTACCCTGACTCTTCTCCTGATGTGCTGCGCGAGATGTGTGTGTGATTTGAACCGTGTCGAGTGCGGAAATCGGATCCTCGTCACTCGTGGGTCAAACGTGACACTTGTTTGGAGCTTGGAATGCACTTAACGATCTACTTTCAGGATGTCTGTGTTGTTTGTGTTCTCGAGTTCATGCTAGATCCGAGGTGACGACCTGGGTGCCCAGTCCACACCGCAATTACTTATTCCTACAAGCCCGTCTTGGACGAGTTATCATGATGTACAAATATCACCCCCATCCCATTCGACGCAACAAGTTTACTTTTTTCTATCAAGTTCACTTGCGGTTCGTCCCGGAGACGAGCAGAACGACACTACCCAGCTGCCTCCTCAAGTCAACCTTCTCGACGTCGTGCGTATCCTCGACCTCGCCCCACGACCCCGTCTGCCACGTCACCTCGACGCTCGACGCCGTCGCCGCCTCCTCGACCCCGAACCTCTCCTCGCCCTCGACCCGGTCCGCCCCGTTCGGGCCCTCGGACCACTCGACGACCAGCCGCGCCGCGTTCACCAGGCTCTTCCCCGCCAGCACGCCCCTCTCGAGGCCCGCGATCTCCCACGCGTCGAGGCCCATCACCCAGCCCTGGACGACCTCCCTTACGCCCTCGGCCTGCTTGCGCGGCATGATGGCGTCGCCGTCGAGGACGGGGCCGATCTCGATGCCGGGCCAGACGCGCGAGGTGAGGAACCCGACGACGGACTCGGCGGTGCGCTTCTGCACGTCGCGCAGGCCCTCGCCGGCCTCGTTGCGGCGGTCCGAGGCGGTGGGGGGCGGGGCCCAGCAGAGGAGGGAGTCGGTGTCGAGGTAGCGGAGGACGGTGGTGGTGATGGCCTCGCGGATGGCGCCCGGGTTGGCGCTCGCGGCGTCGTCCTCGGCGATGTCGAGGGCGCGGCAGACGAGGGACGTCAGCGGGATCAGGTGCTGCTTCGTGGCCTGCTGGGCGGAGGTCAGGAGGTCCCACTCGATCGCGAGGGCGGAGGCGAGGTGCTGCTTGGAGGGGGGCAGGCGGATGATTTGTTTTGTGAGGGGGTGGCGGAGGGGACGGGCGTCGAGGTGGATTTGGAGGGCGCCTGTATTGTATATCATCAGTACACGATCTAGAAGGCCTTCGACCAGAGCATTATAACGTACCATCGACCTCCTGCACGCTGACATCGTTCCAGAACCTCCTCTTGAGCCCCGCGGCCCTGGACGCGGCGGTACCGCCACCGGCGGCGGCCTTCTTGGCGTCCGCGGCGCCGCGGATGTTCTTGGCCTGCTTGAGCATCTCGGCCTGCTTCCTCCTCCTCTCGATGCGGGCGCGCAGCTCGGCGGCGCGGTCGTCTTCGGCGGTCGGGGGTGCCGGGGGCGGGCCGGTGCCGACTACGGGGGCGACCTCGGCGGGCTTGAGGGGGGTCGTCGAGATGGTTCGTGCCGCCGCCGCGCCGAGGCATTGGCGGCCGCTGACCAGCGACTGGGTCGCCGGGAACAGGCGGAGGGGGAGGCGTCTTGTGCGCTGCATTTTTGTCGGCGCCTTTGGGGGTTGAAGGCGAGTTGTTGGAAGGCGAACTGTTGGAGCTGCACAACGTGGTACAAGTGAAAGTCAATTATTTTTTTTGGAGCTTCGCGGCGGCGTTTTCCGCCTAAGACAGGGATGTGATTGGCTGCATGCAGGGGTGACATCAGTCGGAAGCTCGGTGAAGGGTCGGTGTACGAGATTTAACAAGGTCGAAAAGTCGATAGATGTTTAGAAGATGCTTCTTAGAAATGCGCATCAAAACTGCGCAAACACTCGGCATCGCGCCTCGCTAAACGTCTAAGCCCAGGTGTAATAATACAATCTTTTCGAAAAACTCGCGACCTCGCCCGTGTCCATTAGTAAGGCGGCTTCGTTACGTTTCCCAGGCTGAGCTCCCCTGCCCGGCTATCAATCCCATTAAGAAGCTCGTGTAGATCCATTCCCCCTCCTGAAACCATTGACATATTTCCATCTCCCCTGGTCGATCCATGGTATAAACTGTCACCTCCCCGGCTACTCAGGTCTCTCTTCGCCGGCTTCACCGCATAGTCCTGAATCGCAATCGACGATGTGAGTCCACCGATGTGTCCAGGCAATGGCGGCACCGGTGGGACCACTTCCGTCTCGTTGTGCTCATACAGAGGGTTCGAGTTCAATGGGCCGCCTTTGCTTGATTGTGAAGCGGACCGGGCGCGACCCAGTGCTGCTCCGCCGCCGTTTTCTGTTTGCGAAGCTGCCGGGTTAAAACTGAGTTCTGATGGTGTGAAGTCGTAGCTGACCATGCTGTCGCTGTCGCTGTCATGGTGTAGTCCGGCGGATGTGCCAATTGGTGTGGCCGGCACTTGGCCTGACAAGACCGCTTTCAGCTGGTCCACAGAGGCAACCACCCCTCTGCTAGAGTCTGAAGGGGTGGCCGAAACACCACTCCGGACGCTGCTCTTGCGCAGCTTGCTCATGGCAGACAAGCCGCCATGTGTCTGAGAGGTGTTCGGACGAAGATTGTGTTGGCTGCCTACTGGCGAAGACGCCGCCGTGTTTCCATGTCCGTTAGCGCCGTTGACGGTCAGGTGGTAGCGGTTGGTTCCCATGGTGCCGGTTTTCGAGCCAGCCAAAGACTCCGACTTGCTTCCCGCTTGAAGAGCCAACATAGCCGAGTCCCTGGACCAGTCCGCTAGCATGTGCTCACGGAATGCTGTCGGCAGCTCATCCCCAGGAGCCACAGGACCCGTGTTGAGTGTTGGGCTGAGTATCGGATGCGAAAAGTTGCGCCCGGGTGACTGTGGAGGACTTGTGGGCGGTGAGACGCTCGTGTCGACGTAACTCGCTGCAATGCTTTCCACGAGTGCTGCTCTGTCATCAAATGGTAAAAGAGCCTCAGACTCAACCTCGTTGGTAGGCATCTTTGTGAGCCCGGTGGGCACGCCTGGAGTGATAATCTCCATTGCCGGCGGGGGGATGGCAACACCTTCGGTCCAGAAATGCTTGCTGCGGCGACGAATAACCTCGTTTGTGATAGCGCGGCCGACGACGGAGTTTTCCATATCGAATCTTTCGGTAACGGCCCAGAAGTATCCGTGGCAGAGACTGCCGAGGCGTACCTTCTGCACTGGCGTCTCAGCGTCGGGAATGTCTTCCTGGAGACGGAAAACCATAGGCAATCCATATTGAACTGCATTGACACCCAGACGGATCACAAGCTTGTTGAGAAGAACGTGAAGCAAGATGACGTCGTAGTCAAAATCCAGATATTGCAGTGCATTATCGTACACAGCAATATGCAGAAGCTGGAGGAAGTGCGAGCGATTTCGTGAAGGCTTGTCTCGATTAGAGGCGGTTGACGCCGCTCGTTGAGTGGAATTCCCGGGTTGGAGTTCACGGCTGTTCTTCAGCGAAGATCGGTGGTTTCTGTTCACGTCTCGTGCTTTGAGGTCTGCCGGGGTGGTTTCGCGATCAAGCCATGTCAAAAGCGCTTCGACGTACGCTTTTCTGACTTCTCCATCCGGATCTCGCAGAAGCCAATGTGTGCTTTCCCATACTTGAATTGGGACCCTGTTTCTTGACAAGTTCAGGTTGCCAGACATTTGGGCTCGAGGGTTCGCCACGAGAAGAATATTTCTGATGGCCTTCAAAGCAGCGGTCTTGCCCACGTTACGGGAGAGGTAGGCCTCCAGCTGAGACTGGCCACCATTAAGGTCGTCTTGAGAAGGTGGCTCCGCGTTCTCGGCTTGGGGCGACGAGTTGGCGCTCGATGACTTCGACGGCTTAAGTCGAAGCAGAATCGTCGAGATCATGTCCGATATCTGGTCTGCGTAGTAAACGTGCGTGGCCAAGTCTCCGATGCAGGACTGGATTCGCTCCAAAAGCTCGCGCCTTTGAGCCAGTACATCTGCAGAGGCTTGAGGAGAGGGTGGTGACCCTCCTTCGGTGTCCGCTTCAGCTCGGCCGAAGGCGCCGGGGAGATGGATGAGCTTCTTCATGTGCTGAATAAGGCCCAGCAGCACGTCCATGGCGCTCAAGCCGATGAGGTTCACGTCTGACCGCAGCAGCGAGCCAATCATGGCTGCCAAAACCAGGTGCAACTTGAGGTTGTCGTCCTTGACCGGCGCCTTCACCAGATGATCCAACGCAGTAACCAAGATGACGTATCGGTCTTGCACCGGAGCCCAACGAGCGATTGTGCCGTAGATGCTGATTGCCCACCCATAGTCCTTGGTGGTTTTCTCGTCCGTTTTGACGACCGAGTCGCCGTTCGCAACGCGTTTCTCGATGAACTGCAGAAGGGAGGCGGTGGCAGAGTGGATCTGCGGCCGGTTGGGAGCGATGAAGATTTGCTTCAGACATTGCAGTGCAAGGACACCGACATCCTCTTCGGCCAACTTGTCCACGTCCATCGCGGTCCCTGTCAATGCGATGGTGTTGGCCTCGCCTGTGTCACCAGTCCCGTTGGAAACGACGCTCGTCCTACGGCGAAGCTTCTCTGTTTGAACCTTTTCCTCCATGTGTATCCTTGACAACAAGGTCTCTAGCAGCTCGTCGTCGTCCCACCACAGGTTGTCCAAGATGACGGGGATAATAACATCAAACTGGCGACCGGTGACGGATGATAGTGCCTCTGAACAAGATAACGTCCTGATTGCCTCCAGGCCGGCATTTCTCCATCGCATCAGGACAGGCTTGCTGGATGCTCCCTTGCCAGGATTTTGACGAGTCGAGGCGAGGGAGGCGTAGCTGCGTACAATGGACTCGTACTGAGCCAGGTAAGCCTGGTCGGCGAAGGAGGAGGAGGTGTCGTGATTCTGGCAGAAGGCTTCGAAAGTAGGAATGGACGATTCGACCATGGTGATATCCTTGGAGCCAAGGATGAGGTCTAGGATTTTGAGAACATTAGGGGCGACGAGCGGCAGGTCCTTCGGGGCCTTCTCGATCAAAGCAGTAAGAATTCGAAGAGTGACTTGGACATTTCTGGGCAGAGAAGAGTCAGCAACACGGCACGATCTGCGCTGTATGGTTTGGGGATGACGAACCCGATGCGCTGTCGCCAGACGTCGCTGGCGGTCTTCTTCTCGAGAAAGGAGCCGATTTTCTGGATCTTGGAACGTCGAGAGGTGGCATAGAACAGCAAATAGCTCAACTCGCTAGAATTGGGCTTCACATCGACGGCGCCCTTGGAGGTCCGCGGATAGCACTTCAGGACCAGAACCTGATGCTTCGGGCGGCATTTTTGCTGGATCGCGTTCATGGCGCCGGGGGGCTCGGGGCCCGAGGAGCAAAGGGAGTCGAGGTCGAGGAGGGACTACCGAGTGGCGGGTAGCATCAGGTCACGGCAAGGAAAAGGCATCGAGGTTGGATATAGCTATTGGAAGGAGTCGCGTCAGAGAGTGGTGAGGAGGAGGAGCGGCAGTCGTCGGCGGCGTTTTGGATCGCGAAAAGCAAGGAAGCAGTGAGGCATTGGAGAAAATGAAGTGGAAGGCGGCGTGGTGAGAAAGCCAGCAGTTGGCGAAGGATGGGTGTGGCAGACAAGACAGGCGACAGAAACAGATTCCAGTCAAGGCCCAGCCAAGCCAAGCCAACACAGGGGACGACCGAGTCGGACCGGGGGCGCGGGCGTGGATGGCCTGTAAGTAGATGAAGAGTTGCTGGGATACTGTTCGCAAGAGATGGACGGCGGGTGGGTTAGAAAAAAAAATAGGGACGGTGGGTGGCTGGCCTCCAAGGCCTGTGAAAATCGCGAGGTAAAGTGCAGGTCCCGGTGCAGGTCGTCAGCGAGAGGTGCCACGGGGCGGGAGCGCTTGTCGGGCGGACTGCGGACTGACGTGCGGACGCTGGAAGTCGACTGATGGGCCGAATGGGAATGGCAGACAGACGAAAGTTGGATGCACCTGGTTTTCTTTTCGTAAGGCACCTACCGCACCACCCATTCTAGCTGCCATCCATTCCTGCTGCGGCCTAGATTGTCGTCATCACTTATTTATCCGACGACTTGACTGATTGGCTAGCCGCACTCTCTTCTCTGCAGTTTCACGGATCAAGTCTTTTCTGGTTTGCGCGAAAGAAAATAATACTGAAAACAAGCTGGAGCTGGAACACGGGCTCAGACAAGTGTACCTATCCAAGTAAGGATCTCAAGCGCAAAGCAAAAGTACCTACTTCGTAAAAGCACATGCTCGAGGCATGTGGAAGGAGAGATTGCGATACGAAAAAGGAGAAGCACCTGTGTGAAAGCGGTAGCATTAATCTCGGGGGAGCAGTTCAAACGCCGGGTTCTCGGTCGCGCGTCCACACAAGGAAGGCTGGGATTCTCACCAGTCGGCCGTCCATTTCGGTTTCAAGAACGGCCTGGCCTGAGCTTCGAATGAATCGAATCTCCCATCCCCTGCAGCCCTGTGCTTTCCAGGTCAAGAGGGGCAAAAGGGGGCTTGGGGAGATTTCCACAGCGCACCCTGCAATTGTGATGGACGGGGCATCAAATTTGGGGTAGCAAGGGGCATTTGCATAGGTTTCCATTTGGAGAGCACTATCGAATCGCTCTTACCGCGGAATGTCAAATTTGCCGTATCAGTATCCGTACGGATATGGTCGTACTATTACGATTTCCATCAGAACAACACGAGAAGAAGAAAAGTTTGGTCAAGAAAAGATGAGTGTCAGCCAAAATTCAAACGCTCCTCGGCATTTCCACGGGGCTGGACTGGCAAGGTGGCCTGAACAGCTGAAGAGAGCTGCAATGCTACCACACCTGAGCTGTCTGACGACAACGGGCATGATGCTGTGTGAAAGGTGAGAGCCACCTCCTCCGTCCCGTCGGTTCAAAGTTGCCGTCCACCTGGTTTCTCCAACGTGAATACCCTCGCAAATTGTCATTGGTTACCCGTTTCATCGCCCCTACATTTAGGCCCCTACGCCCTTCCCTGCCTGCCTACCCGCCCTAGCTTTTTTTCTGAGACCTGCCGCCGTCGAACTCACGATGCAGCAGCCCCCAGCAGCTCGGTGCTAAACATGCTCTGTACAGCGATCTACCCTCTATTTTGGGCGTTCGGGTTCTCGTTGCCAGGTGTTTTGGAGTCGAAAACCGTGTTTGGAACACTCTGCGACAGGTAGATGCCTGGGATGATCCCACCAGTTCGGACTGGTTCTAACAGTCGCTCGGGCGCATCTACACAGGCCCGACTATGCCTTCCAGCCATTCTGCCCTGCGAAAACAACACCTAGTCTACATTGCCTGAATATTGCTTACCTACCTACCCAGGAACATACAGGAAAGCATTGGGAGTACGCATTTCATCACCATCACCTCCCCTAGCTATCTTGTATTCAGCAGGACAGTCCTCTCGCTATCTCTTGCGGTTCTTAGGCCTCGCTTGAGCAGGTACTGCCTGCTTGGCCCGGGTTCCCTTCATCCAATTTTTCAGAGGTCATCACCGCCGTCTCATCCAATGTCGTCAGCACTGCACCCCTTCCAACTGGACGCAGTCCATACCCCCACGCCGCACGCCACACAAGCTTCTCAACTTTTACCTTTGGCACCTTGACCTCGAATTCTTTTCCTCCCAACAATCGTCCGTCCTTCTTCCCGCACCTCGCCTGGCTGAGACTTCGCAGAGACCGTCCCACGCCTATCAATACCTTCAGTCGTTCAGGGCTGCAGCGTTGACACTATGCGCTCCCTTGTTGGCTCCAACCCTTGATTCATCGCTTGCTCCTTGGCATGTGAAGTCTTTTTTGCCCCTCATCACGTCCGGGCTCATCGACCCCTCCGATAATGCCAACTCATCAAATTCCTCCACTTGCATCAGGTCCTAACTTTGCCCCGGAACATCCTCTCGACCGGCCCAAACGCAAGCTTGCCCATTCATTACCATACTACACCACTCGGCCTGCTGCCTTCACACGGTACATCGGATGTCGTTACCTTTCCTTTCCCACCCAACCCACTTCTTACTGTCACTTGCATGTGGGTGGGTGTCAACACCATCTGCTTTGGGACTCAGAAACGTTCTGCAGCGTAAATCCGACCAATCACGTCCTGATCCGATCTGCTATGTGATTCTTCTCCGCATCTCACGCCGCTCCCTCCGGAGTCTTCGCATCTCCGACAATCCCGATGCGGCCCATCACACGGCACCCGGTTATGGGCACAAAATCGCATCGTACGCAGCCAGCTCCCCAGCTGACACGCCGGATTCACCCACAGACATCGGACCACTCCATACCACGCTGTACGCCGTTTCCGTACACTCAACGGCAGCCATCGGTGCTGCTTCTCTAATCCGGACACCTTCGTCGCGGGTCTTCCCGGCCAAATCAACTCCTCGTCAGGTGTCGGAGAACTAATCCTTCATTTCAGGCGTCCTCGAATCGAGACACCGCAAGGCAGGGCTGAGATGCTTCCGTTCCCACGCCGACGTAGCCGTCACCGTAAACCTCGTCTTCACCAAATGATGCTACCGCGGCCACCTCAGGTTCAGCCTCGGACGGCGCCCGACTCGGAGCCCGCCAAGGCGTCAATGACGATTTTGACATTCCCGTGTATCCGCCCGTAAACGCCAGAACAGGATACCAAAAGCGCCTCAATCATAACGCTCAACACAGAAGCGGTACACACGCAAACCTCCGTCGCTAGCATCGCCAGCCACCAGACCCTAGGAAAGCCGCACAGAAGCTTCGCTGGTATACCCAGCATCATGACTAGAGCTTCGGGATTTCGTTTTCAGTATTGTTAGTCTTTAGGCTTCGTCCTCTCTAGTATCCGAGTTTTAGATCACAATCGCCAAGCAAGCGTTTGACGATGCGACATAGTCGTCCGAGGCGAGAGGTGTAGTCGGGTTGACTGGAGCTGATTGGTTCCTCAATCAATGCGACGCACCCCGGACAGCTCAAGCTCGAGTGTGGAGCACCCTTGCCGATCTTGTTGCGTACAGAAGTTTACCTCACCGAGTTCACCGAAGCCAAAATACTTGGGATGACTTGGAGACGAACACCGGCCGATTGGGTGTGCAGACTTCTCGGATCATCTCCGGCACGGGTAACATTCGTGTAACCGCAATTTCATGCCGTGTCAGGCCTGAAATCTTCACCAAACCCCGAATCAACTTCTCCCTTTCATGGGTGTCATGGGTTGAATTATGATCTCGGGACGATGAGGTATTGCAAGTGTAATCCCTTATAACTGCCGGTCGGTGCTTCCTTGAGGCGGTAAATTACGGGAAGTCTTTTGGCCATGAGAATCAAGAACGAAAAAAAAATCAACAAGAATACCTTACTCGGGGACATAAGAGCGGCAGGACAGCGTTGAGACAAGAAGAAACTCAGCGACTGAGCTTCCCAGTGGCAGCACATCACTTCCACGTGTCGGTCGATGCATTCTTCTTCCCGTTCTCTCTGATACTGTTTAATAACTAAGGTCTGGTACAGCCCAAGTGGCCGGTCAACGGCCAGTATCGTGTGCCTAATCTTTGGTATCAATGACGGCTCGAGTCCCAGTATCCAGGTTCAGTCTTCACGATGTCTGATGCCAAGAAGCCTAGCATGCTTTTGGTGGTAAGCCTATTGGCAATGCCACGCGGTGGCCGTTGCTTGCCGGGTCCGGGAGGTTGTCTTACATTCCTAAGGTGGCTTTCTGTTCCTGTCCATCAGACACTTCTTCGAAGCCGAAGGAGACAGTGTGTGGTACTGACCATAGCTGGCATCACTTGGGCTCCAGAAGGCCTGGAAGACACCCATCTGATGTTCTATGTTCACTAGGATTTCGATATGCAGCGATATGCAGACCAGAACGTCACGTGGTGTGGGAGGTCCGGTAGTGGAATTGCATGCAGAAGCCCTCCTCAACAACACGTTTTCCTTTGTAAGTATCCGCTCTGCTGGTGCTGTCCAACAGGGAAATGATTGGCATCTAGATACCCTTGGCCACGCGGCTGCCGAAGTACCGACGGTGATCTGGCCAAGGGACGAAAGGCTTGGGTTCGAGCACAATCGGCCAGGGAAAACCCGCATGCAGTTCATAGAAGGAAGGAGCTCCATTTTATGACAGGCCGTCTCTTTATGGGTCTTTGAGCCTCAATAAACGCCAATATCTGCTAGCGACTGCGCGGCTTAAGCCATGGCTGCCGCCTCAACCTTCTCGCCCGCGAGCCAGCGCGACGGGACCCCACCGCCGATTTACACTACCCTGCCTTAGCAGAACCTCGAGCCTGCCCAATCTGGTTCAAGCTGAGCGCTCTAGAAGCTGGAAATCCGGGGTGGCGCCTACCTTACTTCGTACCTGCCTCGTACCTGCCTCGAATTTCTTATTTACTTCTGCAACCCGCCGCGTGCCCCTGTCCGCTCTTTACAAGCCCCGCCTTGCGTGCCTCAGGGTTCTCACCACCTTCAACCCTCACCTATCTACTCGCAGGGACACTGGACCTTCTACTTCCCTTCTCTTTCCCACAACATCATCTTTGGGTTTCGCCAAAGTCGCCAGAAAAAAATAACTTCGTCATTGCCAACGACTCAAGATGAAGTCAGGACTTCTGGTCGCCCTTGCCGGCGCCACCGCCGCAGTGACTTCCGTTGCTGCCGCGCACGTTCGCCGTGAGACCATCAAAGGTGATGGATATCTGAGCATCCCGGTCGACGAGATCAAGCCCGATCTGAGCCACTTGAGCACTCGCGATGCCATCGATGTTATCATCGTGAACCGCCAGTACTACTACTCCTTGGGAAGTAAGTGCCATCCCGCTCCGACTTTTCTTCGCCTTGGTTCTCGAGACTGACTCTTCCAAAAAAAAAAAGTCGATATCGGCACTCCTTCCCAGAAGATCACTGTCCTTCTTGACACTGGATCTTCGGAGCTCTGGGTCAACCCGGACTGCAGCACCGCTCCTTCCGCCTCTCAGGCTCGTGCTTGCAGCTCCGCCGGCCAGTACATCCCTCGCAACAGCCGCACCCCGCCCATCGGCCCCTTCGACAGCCGCAAGCTCAACTATGGCGATTCTTCTCAGCCTGACACCCTGACCAGCGCCGAGATCGCCTACTACACCGACACTATCTCTTTCAGCGGTTCCGGCAAGATCACCAACCAGACCTTTGGTGTCGTTACCAAGTCCACCGGTATCAGCACCGGCATCCTTGGCCTCGCTCCTGACTTGAAGTCTGGCTACTCGGCCGGCAAGCCCTACAGCCTCGTCATCAACTCTCTGCAGGAGCAGGGCGTGATTAACAGCCGCGTCTTCGCTCTCGATCTCCGCCACGCCGGTTCCGACAGCGGTGCTCTCATCTTCGGCGGCCTCGACAAGGGCAAGTACATTGGCAGGCTCGAGCAAGTTCCCATGTCTACCGGTGCCCGTGGTGAGCCTCGGTAAATTCTCTCTCCCGCTCTGACATCTTTCCCAACTAACACATCAACAGCCTCGCCGTCACGCTGTCCTCCGTCGGCATGATCTCCCCCAAGGGCGATGCCAAGACCTACAACCTTGCCGATGCTGACAAGAATGTCATGCTCGATTCGGGTACGACCCTTAGTCGCTTGCATGCCTCTCTTGCCAACCAAATCCTCGGCGACCTCAAGGCCACGAGTGCCGAAGGCGGCTACTGGGTTGCTGACTGCGCTCTCCGCACTCCCCCCCTCACTAACGGCGGATCTGATGCCTACATCACCTTCCAGTTCGGTCGCAAGACCATTCGTATTCCCCTCAGCGACTTCATCCTTGATATGGGCCCCAAGTCCGGTCAATGCTACGTGGGCCTCGTCATCACCACCGATCAGCAAATCCTTGGTGATAGTGTCCTGCGTGCTGGATACTTCGTCTTCGACTGGGACAACCAAGCCATCCACATCGCCCAGGCCGCTAACTGTGGCCGGGACGCCATCGTGGCTATTGGAAAGGGCAAGGATGCCGTTCCGTCTTCTGCTGTGGGCCTCTGCGATGGTCCCTCGGGCTACAGCGACGACGACCCGACTGTGAGTCAGCTACCTAAAGTCTCTACAACAGAGGTTATGAACCCTGCTACGACGGCGATTCTTCGTGGTCCTGGCGCTGGCAACGGTCAAACCTTCTCCATCTCCTTCACAATGCCATCTTACGGCACTGTCAAGTCTTCTGCTACTGCTTCTTCTGCTGCCGCTACTTCAGCCGCAACCCAAGAGACTACCAAGACATTGACTCCCTCTTCTCAGACGACCTCGCCGCACGACACCTCACAGGACCCCGCCTCGACCTCAACCGCGGGTTCCAATGACTCGCACTCAGGTGCAGTCTCGTGGAGAACCGAGTCGAGAGACCTTTGTCTCGTTCTGGGCAGTGCCATGACGTTGGCGGCTTTGCTCTGGAATGTCTAAGACAGCTGTCTCAACTTTTCTCTTTCTTTCTTTCTGGGTGGCTTTCTGTCTAAGGAACCTTTTTTTGTAAAAGGGAGGGGTTGGGATAAGAAAAAAGCACTGCTTGATTGATTGATGATTGCATTTGAGGAAGGCCAGAAAGGTCTTGCCTCCACATTTGGGAACGGAATGGCAATGGAATTGGCATTGGCATTTGGGAACGGCATCTTGGGAAGGCCTGTATGAGCGCCTACGCTGCATTGGCTAGGCCTTTGGTTTGCTTGTCTTTTTTCTTTTCAAGCTTTACGACCCGTCACGATACCAACGACATGAGATGATGCCTTCTTACAAGGCCTGGAATTGTAAAATAGAAAACTCATTTTCTGAGACTGCTTTTTGATTGCGGTTGTGATGGTCCCAGGTGAAAAGCTTCCCTCCTTCCCTCTTTACTTGCCTACCTCTAGCAAACAAGCAAGCAAGCTGGAGCTCTTCCCTTCTGCCTTGGTGGGAAACGGCCGCATACCCTACATAAACGCCAAGGTCCTCTTCTGGAAATGGGTCTAGAAGGGGACGATTTTCTGAGACAACACCAGACCACAACCGGCCACCCAACACGCTGGATTCAGGGTGCCGCAGAGACAGAGCACCGTTTCCGCCGCCGCCGTCGAATGAGAATTGCCGGCAGTTAGGTAGTTCTGTCCTGACCTGGCACTTGCCCGGGGCGGGTTTCTCTTCTCCCGCCCTTCCCCGCCGGCACCCTGGATTTCCGAGAGGTCGGGCGAACTTGGACCTTCCCGGGACCCAAGATGTTGAGTCCGCCAGAGACATGTTCTGTACGTGTCTCAACGCTCAGCTGCAGTTTGGGCAGCCGCTCTACTGTTTTAGTAAGGCAGTCGCTGAACCCACGTGGATCTAGAACCACCGTCGAAACGCTTGCGTCGACGGTCCAATGCCGGCGGTATTTCATATTACGTAGGGAGGCAACGGGAGAGCCGGTGATGTAGAAAATCAGATTGAATAGGCAAGTGAGCAACTAACTTTTGGGTATCTAGCTATTAAGTGCAACTTGGCGAAAATGCCAGTGGGAAACTGCAGAAAACGGCAGAGCTAAACTATGAATACGAGGAGCGCTTTCACCCGCGCGTATGTTACCGGTATATCGCCGGCCGCTGATGACGATATTCTTTCCTCGAGAAACTGCGAAACTGTGAATACTTCCTCGCGCCAAGCTCGTTTGTAAATCAGAATGCGACCGCAACCGCAGAAACAGGAAAGTCAAAGTACGCCGCATCATCCCATCATCTCCGATATATCCTCTTCAGATCGCGCCTAGGCCTTGGTCTTAGGCTTCTTAGTTTTCTTCGTGTCGTCAACCTCGCCGCTACGGCGCTTCCTTCCAGTCGTAGCCCTCCGTGTGCTCGCTGTCTGACTGGTCGCTCCGGGGAAGTCCCAGAACGCTGGGATCGGTCGAACCAGACTCTTCTTGGCAGCTTCGGCTCTTGCGCTGGCGTCCAGCGTCTCTGGAACGATGTACCGAGACGTCAGGGCGAAGCGACGTCTTCCCTTGGGGTTGACGGCATGCTGTTACACAATGTTAGCATAAGCCTAGAGAAATACAAACTGCAAGTCATACTTCATATGCCTGGTGAATACGAGTGCCATGCATCACCACCATATCTCCGTGGCGCAACGGGAGCTTGAGAACAACGGGGTCCATTCCCGTCGGATTCTGTCCCACGTATCTGCTCTTGCAGCGGAACATCATCTGAGCTGGGCTTCCAAGAGAGAGCGTAGCAACCGTGGGTCCCAGGGTGCTCTCGCCATCGTCATGGTACTGCTCAATGATTAGCTTCGAAAACGCACAACGGGGATCGCTGTATACTTACGCCAATTCTGTCATCCTCCATGTATCCGATGAAGAGAAGCTCGTTGAAGTCAACAAATCTATCGGAGACGGAATCGCGAACCACATCCAAGTTCTCGTCTTCAAGCGCGTTGTTCATGTTCTCGACAGAGACTCTGCCAGCCCATCGCAGTCTCTTGAGAGCTGCGATGATGGATTCAGGCGCCTCGTTGAAGGACTTGGTGGCCACGTCAACCGCGAACTTGTAGGGAGCACCAAAGTTCTGGAGGAAGTTACGAGTGAACTTCTCGCTGGGCACTGACTCAAGTTAGCTCATCGGTCTCGTGGTAAAAGCCGACGACACTTACAACCAGGATGGATGGCAGCGTTTCTCTGAAGCCCAAAATTGTCTTTGGCCGTCTCATCAAGCAGATGATGCCACATACGGTCAGGACCTCCAGGGTGCTGGTTGACCACCGGTGTTGATCGGAAGACGGTGACAGATCCGAGGATTTCTGTAATGTCGAGAGGGTCCGGAAGCAGGTACTGCTCCATAGCATAGCCTTCCGCGGAGTTGCCATTCCGTAGAATGTTGAAGTCCGCCTTTACGTTCGCAAACGAAGCCATTCTGTTATGGTGGTATTCCTCGATGTGGATGGAGGTCACCGGAAGTGGACTTGGCTTGGCATTCAAGACGAAGCCGCACACTGGGTTCTCATAAGCCCAGCGTGTCCAGAACTTTCGTCTCGAGCAGCAGCCACATAGCGGACAAACGATGCCAACTCGCATCTGCTTCTCCGTCCCTAGGAACCCACCCGCGCCAACACGGGGGAGTGGAGGTTGCAGCATATAGCCTACTGGTAGGGTGTGGGCGGTGCGCTCTTGGAGGAACTCCTTCGAGTAGGACAGCTTGGTGACATCGACTCCAGCCGGGAACTTGAAGTAGGCGGTGGCACAGGCCTTGTTGAGACAAGTCCATCCATCCTTGAAGATCGTCTTGCTGCTCTTATGGCACTCCGTGCACCATGCCAGAGGAGAAGCTTCATCGGAAGCAAAGGTCAGCTCCATAGGACTGATGCCACCAGGGAAGATGAAGGTATCCTCGCAGTCATCATTCAGGCAGGTCCAACCCTGAGAGAACATCTGCTTGGATGGAGTAAGACACTTGTTGCAGTGCTGTCTTTCCTCGGGAAACCCGCCGACTGAGGGATCAACTGCATCTCCAGATCCCCACCAGGACTTCTTGGTGCGATCAGTCTTCTCAAGCCGGATCTTCCACACAGAAACACCATCAGTGGTTCTGGTGTCTCTCTCAGACCAGATGTCTGTGAGCGTGAAGAAGTCCAGCACATTGTAGACATGCTCAAGTGGGATGGACAGTGACGGGTACTTGTTACCTGGGAGCGCGTTAGCTGTAAGTCAAGAGCAAGTAGGCTTGTGGATAAAACACATACCAAGAATAACACCAATTGGTGAATGCGCCTCCATTGCAAGGGTTGCAGCTCTGAGTACAATCTTGGATCCATCCCCAGTTCGGAAGTACACTCCCTGGTCGTTCTTCTTTCTTCCGCCACCCCTAGTTCATTGTTAGTGAAGGTGCAAATAGATAAAGGTGACAATGACTTACAGAGTGGTAATGATCACCTCTGAGCCCAGCATATCACGCACAGTGTCATGCTTGTTGATGAGAATGCCCTTGGCAACCTTCAGCGACGTGTAAAGGCTGCCCTCGTGAGACTTGAAGTAGGGCAAAGCATCACAAAGAGCTTGGCGGTTGTCAGCCCAGATGCGGAAGTTCTCGTCATCCATGGGCCGGGGCTTGGAAGCTGCCATGTTGACTTGAGGTAGTGCGGAAAGTTGGCGGTTACGCGATCAAGATTGCAAGTCGATGTTGGTAGAGATCTGCTGTATCTGCGCTTAATGACAGATATATATGGTAGAAGGTCCCGAGCGTTGAAGTCGAAATCTTAGTGAAGCACCCTTCTGGTGGAGGTTGGGAAGATGTAGGATAAATGAGAAGATTGGGGAAGGATGTCGAAAGGTAGCGTGGTAGGTAGGCAAGAGAACAGGAGCAGTTCGTCTGTATGGATCCTGAAAGTTTGTGTTAGTAGAAGACAGGCGAAGTCAGCAGAAGAGAAAGGACGATGTGGTGGGATGATAGCAGGAAGGAACGATTCCGCAATGAAATCAAGTGAACTAGAAGGTGCGATAGAGGTTTGTGGTCCTGGGGGCTCCACAGAACAGCGGAGGAAGCGTGTTCTAGAGGAAGGGGAAAGAAGGCGCGTTGAGACCAGTCATTCCAAATTCAAGAAGGCGAGACACTGAGACAGCGCGCACCTTCGAGCTTTGGAACGACCGCTCCCAAGGAAGTGAGTCGCTCTTGCAGGATTGTTTTTGCAGCTTGCAATGGAACATCTAGAGTGATATGGGACAAAGAAACCAGGTATGGAACAAAAGCCAAGGGTGGTTCATTGACTGAAACATAACAGTTGCTCACCTTGAGGTCAACCTATTGTTGGATGCTCTGGTGTGAGGCGATGTTGTGAAGGTTGTATCCTTGTGAAGGAGGTGAGGAGGGGAAGGTTGTGGAGAGAAGAAGGGAAGACTGGGTCTTTTTATCGTCAGCAGGGAGGGGCTAGGACTTGGGGACTGAGAGCTGACAACCAGTGGAAGGCACGATCTTGAAAAGAGTCCAAGGACTCAGACGCTCCTTCGTGTTATGGAATGGGGAGTCGGCAGGGACGTTCTTGCCAAGTGTAGAAGCAGCGCTCATCCCAATAACAGGAAGGCACGGTTTGTGACTGGAGGGCATGCGCGTTGGAATGGAACAAGAAAGGGGATGTGAAAAATAAGGGAGAATCAGTTGTATGAAGACTTGTGTTGAGTCCCTTCTGGGCTGTGATCTCAGATGCCTTGGCATTCTTAACGTTTGAATTGCGGTTGGCAAGAGCGGAACGGGCAAGGTAGGAGTACGGAAGAGGGAACAAAACTGCAGAGGATAGCAACATACCTTATTGAGAAAGTATCCCAAAAGAAAACATGAGCTAATGCTGCTGGGTTGTTTGAGGGCAGAGGTGGTTGTAGAGGTTGAGGTTAAGCTGAGGGTTAAGAGTTAAGAGTTAAGAGTTAAGAGTTAAGAGTTAAGAGTTAAGAGTTAAGAGTCAAAGATTGAGAGTTAAAGATTAAAAGACTTAGTTCTAATAGCAATAGTAGAAAAGTTAGTAAGAAGTTATAGATATAAGAGAAGGAGCATAGTGTATAGCGAAGTAACTAGGCAGTCTGTATGGAAGAGAGTTAGTGAGTGAAGTGGTCGCAAGTGTGAGTGTGTAACGGCAAAAGATTGAATTGCTGTTTGAAAGAAAAGGCACACGTCAATGGTTGTTTCTTACCTTGCTTCACAGTCTTTAGAACTGTGCAGGTGGTTGTTGTGATGTGTAGTTGTTGTGATGTGTAGTTGTTGTGATGTGTAGTTGTTGTGATGTGTGGTTGGAAGAGAAGAAGATCAAGTTGCCACAAAGATCGTTGGGTGGGTTCTTATAGGCTTTGGAAACGGCACCACTGCGGTATCCAGGCAGGTGTGAAACACAATGGGAAGGTTCGAAATGGAGGAAGGTGCGGCTGATACTGTCGTCTGAAGAGAGACCGCATCTGAGATTCTTGCCCAACCTGACGATAGGTGTGCAAAGAAGATAGATGCTTTAAGTATGTGGGAAGTCAACGGAAGAGGACGGCGCTCAGGAGAACATCAGAACATCAAGTGACCACGGCAAGTCCAGTCAACTTAGCTCTATCTTTTGACAGAGAAAGGAATTGTGTAGATTGATGCCGATAACACGGGTATCTTGCTTGTCTAAAGAGCATCACTCAACATATTCAAGTTGTCGTGATTGGCATTGGCAGCGCCGGAGAAGTCTGTTTTGCTGAGGCTGCAATAGGGAATATGTCCACCCATCGTAGCCATCTCTCGCATTAAGCATGGAAAAGAGTGATGAGAGGAACATCAACGGTAGAGACCGAGGTTGATGGTCTTGTTTTGAAATGAACGCCTTCATTGTAAGTAAGCATCGCTGGATCACAGAAAGAAGGAGTGCAGAGAGAGAGCAGACGAAGCATACTTAAGAGCTTTGAATGAGGTGAACTCGCCCAATTACAGCGGATAGAGTACTTGCGTGTCTGCAACAGAAATGAATGGACGCATTCTGCGGGTCGAATGAATCAAACTGCAGCCGCAAATCTCGCCATCAGAGACTGCTTGCGAGGTCTCAATAGCAAAGCTTGGGAAAACGACAAGGAAGACCCACATCAGAGCAAGGCCTCTGGAGTTGTGACTGATGGCAGTCACTTTGGATAGTAGAGACAACAAGACGAACTTGAATCGACAGCGATCGCGCCGGAGTTGCCAAACCAAAGACGGACCAGCTCGCTCACGAAACACCGTTGAGCGTTGGATTGCATCATAACCAAGGCAAATACTTGCTTGACGCAATGACAATGTAGACTTTAAAGGACCACCTGTTTGGTCTCGAAGTAAGTGCGGTGGACAACCCATCAGCATTCCGCAAAAAAAACAACAGCCAGACGACGGAAGCACTCCGTGTTTTCAATTTGAAGCAGATATAAATATGAAGGAAGCCATCGGATCCCCGCGTCTGGAAAACTGCGGAACCATGTTGAATCTGGTCGAGAAAACCGGCAAAGACTGAAATACGGGTTGCCAAGCAGGTGCGTCAAGGAGACAAACCCCATGGGTCTAGCAAAACTGGCTTCATCTGGGGCCTCCGCATGAAAAACCCCACGATGTTGTCGTCGCCCCGGTTTGGGGGTGCGGAATGGAGAGCGGCAATCTTGCGCGGTCCACCGGGGAAGTTGTCAAGAATCCGGGGCGGGAATCAATTCCGCACCGGAGATCCAACAATGTGAATTGTGAATTAAGTTCCGGGGTGCGATGTGCAATATGGGGCAAAAGTGACGAATGAGATCCCGAGCGGTAGTGCTTTGTCATCGGGACAATCTCGGGCTGTTTACTTGGCAGTTGGGGAAGCGGCCTCGGTCCCAGCTGGCTAACCGGCTATGAAACGGCAAGCTCACCAGGACATAAACACCGATGGCCTCCCGCGCTGAAGCCGACAACCAAGGCCCGACCGGCAGATACCTCTTCCAAGCGCTTTCCCCTAAGATTTCCGTCAACAGGTGCTCTACGTTCCTTGGAGACGACATGGATCATGAGTAGCCAAAGTTTGGAGCAATTTGAGAGCTCACGACGGGTAGACCAATGGAGACCGGGATCGAATGCTGACGCTGCGCCTTCGGCTCCTGACATCGGATCTTCTCTGGGCTCTTGCGCCGTTAACGCCTTAGCATTTCGTCCACTCAAGATCGTCAAAAATGACGGCCGACGGCATAACAAATGACTCGGGAACGTTCCCAACGTTAAACAGGACGGCAAGATGCCGCACTATCACGCCGCCTCTCTGCCGAGGTGCAGCTGGTCACACTTGCGTGGGGAGAAATGCGGAGAAGTGGGGGAAGCTATCCTTCTCCAAGTCTTGGACGCTCTGCATTGGGCTGGTAAAAGCAGGGGGTGCTGTCGCAGTTGTCAGGGCACAGCTGCGCAATGGCGAAAGATGCTCAAGGGATCTGAACTCGGTCCAGCCCCCCGGCAGGTGGAGGAGGAGCAATCTGGGTCTTCGCTGTCATTTTCCGTTAATCAGTCGGCAAGGAGCTTCTTCTTTCACCGAGCTTCGTGCGCACCCGACCGCATTCAAAAGTCCAGAGTCCCCCATTCTCTCGTCCTACGCAGTACATCTCGATATCTCAACGGTCGGACCGCGTCTTCCACTAGGAGCGTACAAATCGTCTATTCAACGCGACCACCTTCCAATCAGCCTTCAAGATGGTCTTCACATCGCCAGCATGGGTCCCTAAGTTGCCCATCGGTAAGCGCGCCTTATCTTACCCCACGTCACACCGCAGCCCAAGCTCATTCTCTCTCTGCAGACCCTCCAGACTCGATCACCATTGGCGAGTTCATGAACAATGAGCAATACGGTCGCTATCCTCTTGCGAAGGCCAGAAACCCGTACACTTGCGGTCTCTCTGGCAGGTCGTACACTGCATCCGAGGTGAAGCAACGAACCGACTTCCTGGCGAGGGCGATCTCGAAGAAGCTCGACTTTGCGCCAAACGAAGGCACGGAGTGGGATAAGGTCGTTGGCCTTTACTCGCTCAACACTGTAAGTCGCTAGGCAGTTGACAATCTCACTTGAACGGTGGGGCCTAACAGTGCACAGATCGATTATATCCCCTTCACACACGCCGTCCACCGCCTGTCAGGCATCGTCACCCCAGCCAGTGCCGCGTACTCAGCTCCCGAACTTGAGCACCAGCTTCGATCGTCAGGCGCCAAGGCTCTGTTTACCTGCATTCCGTTGCTCGCCAATGCGCTCAAGGCAGCCAAGGCAGTCAACATCCCCAATGACCGTATTTTCTTGCTGCCAGTGCCTGGGGCGAACCAGAAAACACCCTACATCACCGTGGAGGACCTCATTCAAGAGGGCAAGTCGCTACCAGAACTGGAGCCTCTCAACTGGGTCAAGGGCCAGGGCGCTCGGCAGGTTGCCTATCTTTGCTACTCCAGTGGTACTTCAGGCTTGCCGGTGAGTGGATCACATTGCCGACACGCGCTGGCGTTCTTACTGACATGTATTTCAGAAAGCCGTCATGATCTCACACCGAAATGTCATCTCCAACGTTATTCAGTTCAGAACATACGAGTCCGTTGCCAGGAAAGAGCTTGGTATCGATACCCAAGTCGGCCTCGGACTTCTGCCCTTCAGCCACATTTACGGTTTGGTAGTCGTAGCACACTGCGGCACCTACCGAGGCGACGGCATCATCGTACTCCCCAAGTTTGAGCTGAAGCAGTTCCTCGACGCCGTCCAACGCTTCAAGATCAACTGCCTACCTGTGGTACGTAGCCGTTTATTGCCATTGGAAAACCAAGTCTGACGAGTTCAGGTGCCTCCGATCATCATCCAGGTCATTCGCAACCAAGAGCTTTGCAAGAAATACGACCTCACTAGTGTGCGATTCGTTTACACCGGCGCAGCACCTCTTGGTGCCGAAACCGTTGAGGACCTCAAGAAACAATACCCGAAGTGGCACGTTGGCCAAGGTTACGGTAAGACTCCTCCCTCGCATTTCTGGTATTAAAAGACTGACAACCATCAGGCATGACGGAGACATGCACGGTCGTCTGCACCACTTCCGAAATCGACATTGACGTCGGCTCCTCCGGTTCTCTCGTTCCCGGCGCCCGCGGAAAGATTGTCGACCCCACAACCGGCGCCGAGATCACGGAGTACAACAAGCCCGGCGAGCTCCTCGTGCAGAGTCCTTCCGTCGTTTTGGGATATTTGCACAATGAGCGCGCCAACGCCGAGACGTTCGTATGGCACGACGATGGTCGCTGGATTCGTACCGGCGACGAGGTCCTCGTTCGCAAGTCAGCGCAGGGCAACGAGCATCTCGTTATTGTCGACCGTATCAAGGAACTTATCAAGGTCAAGGGCCACCAGGTCGCCCCGGCTGAACTCGAGGCGCATCTTCTCACCCACCCGGCCGTGTCGGACTGCGCCGTCATTCAAGTGCCTGATGAACGTGCCGGCGAAGTACCCAAAGCCTACGTCGTCCGCGCCGCCCCTTACGCAAAGAAGCCCGAGGGCGAAGTTGCCGCCGATATTTGCAAGTATGTTGAGGAGCATAAGGCGCGGCACAAGTGGCTGAAGGGCGGTGTTGAGTTTATCGATATCATTCCCAAGAGCCCCAGCGGCAAGATTCTGCGCAGACTTCTCCGCGACCGCGAAAGGGATGCTAGAAAGGCCCAGGGCCCCAAACTTTGAGGGCCACGCGGCGATGGTTTTGTACGACTGAGCGTATTTAGAATGGGTGTCATCTGATGAGAGACTATTAGCTAGAGTCACGGACGATTTGGTCGGTATATATGGTATTTGCAGTTTTTATTTAGCGATTCCGGTCAACCAACTGAGATGTTTCTGCTGAATACAAGTTCAGATAGGCGGTTCCGAAACCGATGGCGTCCGAGCTCTTGCTTCCGGTGAACACCGCCGTCAGCAAGTCACGAAGACAAAAAACAAGGTGTATTGCTGGCTACTTCTGAGCTTATTTCGGCCGACCCGTTTTCCCACCGGAACCTAATGTTGCGAAAACATCCGTCCCCATCAACATTGATCGCCAGTCCTCCTCATACTCGCGATTCCCATTGCCGAACCCCATATGCTCCACGAGCCTCAATGCTTAGTATTCTTAGCATCTCTTAGCCCGCGAAGATCCAAAACACCAAGCCTCAACAAAGTCACAGAAAACCGTAAACCCTTAAATATTAGCAGACCTCCCGCGGAACAATGACGATCATGGAAGCACCACAGAAGAAGCATCGAAATGACAGAAAGACACGACGCCATTCGCAGGAACTGTGCCAGCGTGGAGCACCGGCCCCCCGGACCGGGGTCTGAGGCGACCGCCCGAGCGGTGGCAGACAGGGGTACGCCCGGCGCCCGGGGTAGGTTTCGTCGACAACCTCAAACGTCTGCGACACCTCTTGCAGCGTGGATCCCTCTGCTCCCGAATCGCGCCAAGCGAAACGTCGTCGACCATCACCAGGCACACACTCACAAACTCAGGTACGACGCACGCTAGCCCGCGGCTGGTTCTTCTACCCGACATCCCAGCCCATGCATCGAGGTTGATGAAGAACGACGTGATTCGTTCCTCCAGGGACAAGCAGAAGCCTGCCTTGCTGACTACTCCTCTCGAAGGGCCTCAAACAAACCACTCTCTTCTCTCCACCAACCAGAGGGCGATCAGACTCCAGACTGACTTGTCCCAACTCTCACACACAACCGAGTCCAGGCGAAACAGCGACAACACAAGCTTATCCCCTTCTTTCGTCCCTGGTCTGCCTACTCGCCCGTGGCGATTTGAGATGGTTCGCTTCGTGACGAGCCTGTGTGGCTCGCTTTAGCCTGAAGGCACCATTCGCTTGACCTTAGGTCCAGCAGACCATCCCGGCATCATGACCAGCGCAGGGCAAGGTTATGGTCGTCGTCCGTTCCATTCAGACGGATACTACCCATGACCACGGCGTATGTGCTCCTGCAGCAAACGGTTTGCCGTTTGCCTTTTCTCTTAAAGATAAACCTAGCCTGCCACCCCATCCTCTCCTCCCTCTCTTGACTCTTGATTTCCCCGGGTTTCTGGGAAATTCCGAGCATTCAACAGAGTTCCAAGATTTGATCTTCGTGGGAGAGCGACGCGCCGCGAGCTTGGCAGCCAGCAACCATCCTCCCTTTCTTTAATCATCCTTTAATACCATTCTTTATTTCTTTCTTTTTTCATTCCAAACAGACAGGATGTTGACCATCCGTTCCCCCGCCGCCGCCCTTGCGGTCGTGCTCAGTCTCTTGAGCCTCGTCGACGCCGCGCCGCAAAACAGAGGAAAAGGAAACGGACGTGGAAATGGAAACAGGCAGACGGCGCAGCAGCAAGCCGCACGCGTGCCGCAGGGCATTACTCGGGCCCAGGACGGATCCATGATTCTCGACATGACCGCGAACGTCAAGTAAGCCAGTTCGACGTCTGTTCAAGGGTTCTCGACTAACACGCTCCAGCGGCCTCGACCTTCGCTTCAAGATCTCCGGCCCCGCCGAACAGTTCACCGCGGCAAGCGGCGTTCCCGGCGGAGCCGCCCAGCCCGGCGCCCAGGGCACCCTCGGCCTGAACGTCCTCCTCCACGGCGACGGCGGCCAGTCCTTCTTCGACATGCCGAACCAGGGCGTCCAGCAGAACCTCGCCGGCGTCGCCGTCCTCGCCCCCGACCCGAACCTCTTCTGGGGCGGCGGCCAGGGCCTCCAGCGCACCGACGGCGTCGCCCACTCCCAGGCCGTCAACGACCTGATCCAGAAGACCCTCCCGCAGATGATGGCCTTCAACCAGTCCAACGTCTTCTTCACCGGCGTCTCGGGCGGCTCCCTCATGCTCTCCGGCTTCTTCATGCCCGCCCACATGCAAAACTTCGCCGGCAACGGCGTCCTCCTCAACTGCGGCGGCCTCGAGCCCCAGGTCGCCGTCCAGGACCCGGCCGCCATCGCCAACACCCGCATCCACTTCCAGAGCACCCAGCAGGAGCTCACGCAGCTGCAGCGCAGCATCCCGGCCGCCATCACGGCGTACGAGCAGATCGGCACCCAGGCCGGCCTGAACGCGCAGGCGCTGAACGCGAAGCAGACGGTGAACAACTCGCCCAACGGCGGACACTGCGCTTTCGACGAGCAGGGGTTCGTTTCTGGTATCCAGCTCATCGCCAACAACTACGCCACGATCATGCAGGGCGGAACCGGTGACGTGCAGGGTATCGGAAACGTATTGACCGGTGTTGCTGGCAATGAGAACTTGCAGTTCACCGGCTCGAGCAGGAGGCGTGATGAGATCATTGGTTAAGGAGATGGGAAATGTTTCCTGGGAACGATGTGATACCACTTTTCCTCAGAGTATGCAGTCGAAGAAACGAAGATCAAATTATTAAAACCGCATCAACTAATTGCAAACCATTCACGCTCAGCTCTCTCGCAATATTCCACAACGGCCATCCAAGAGCCTGAGGTGTCGCTCAGGTGCTTGGTCTCTCATTCTTCACTGACATCTCGTAGACAGGGCGACGGCCGGGCACGTACAGCTCGCGCGGAGAGATCTCATCGGCGCTCATCTCTGTAACGGTCTTGGGACTACAACCCTCGAGCTCCATGGCTGGCTGTATCGGAAAGTATGTGCGTATTACCGGGGTTCTATTCCGATGGCTCTCCTCGATCTCAAAGATTGGTTCACTGAGTGTTTGCTTTCTGCGCCGTCGCCTCAGGAACCATAGTCCGGCAAGAAGGAGTATCATGATAAGTACACCGCCGACGATGGGGCCCGCGATCCAGGCCATGTTTGTGCCTAAGAAGCAAGACCGATTGTCTCCGCGTCAGTCTTCACCGTTCGTTTCGGGTATCAGAAAGTCACACTCCACCTTCAGAAGCCCGGGACGCACTGCTGCTCGCCGTCGTGGAAGCATTCTCGTCACCCCTCAACTCGGTGACAGTCACCGTCACAAACCCACTGGATATGCTCAGGGGCGGCGGAATCGACGATAGCTCTCTAGCCGTGCCGGTGGACACTTTGTTGATTGTAACCCCAGGCGCTGTGATGGTTCGAATGGGCTTCTGTTGCGCAGTCGGGCGCGTGATGATGACGACGAGAGCAGTCGCGGCCCGGGAGGTTGGTTGGGCAGGCCACAGATCCGTGTCCGTCACGATCGGGTCTGTCATCGTGCTTTTCTTGACGGTCCAGTTCGAGTATTTCCCAGAAGAGGTATCGACGAGCGAGACTCTGGTCGGTTCGAAATCTTTGCGTCCGCTCATCAGGGAACATGATGTTAACCGAAATAAACGTCGGTCCAAAAACGGCAGGAGAAGACGACCCCGAGAACAAGGACATAAACTCGGAGAATAAATGAAGGACGTGATGGAGATCAGGCTGGGTAGCCCGAAATTGGCCCTCTTGGCATCGACCGCGGCCACGGCCACGGCCGCTTACCGCAGCCGCGTGAAATGGATGATACCGGCCGATGAGAGCTCGAAGCGTGGCTCCCGGAGGTTGTGAATTTCAAGGCTCCTGAGAGTTGGCGGGGCTGGTGGCGCTCGAATCCTCGTCTGACTGGCGACACGGTCAGCAAGCGCCGGGGGGATTCAGCTGAGTGAAGGCTGGCGAACGAACATCCTCCGCGGTGTAAGAGATTTGAAGCTGCAGAGATCAATGATTGGGACTCAACACCGAAGAAGCGTTGTCAATTAGAAAAGGGGGAGAGATGGGCACTGGCATGCCAGCACAGCTGTCGATGAGCTGACACACGTAATGACTGGCACTAATTGAAAGATTTTTGCTGATTTCTTTCTGATATGCAATATCGTGTCTTCTTTTCCGTAATCAGGTGGCGCAGTTGTCCTGTTTCCGATGTCTCCTTCTCGTTGTCGTCCTTCTCGTTGTAATCGTACTTAGCATCACGCCGGCTTCGCGGCCTCGATCTTCTCGGCTTTGACAATGAACTCCAGCAAACCCCAAAAAAGAACCTCCACGTGGTGAATGTGTTTGTTCATAGCACGTAAACTGCACCATCTCTCATCAAGAACGTCTTGCCGGCATCTCCACCGGGGATCTGCTTTCCGCTGCCATCATCTCTCGCGCCGCCACTTCGTTCGCGCTCATCTCCGGCATACGCTCGGGAACGGAGCCCTCCATTTCCAGGGGAGCCTGACGGGGGATGCTATCCGAATGAAGCTGTGCCTTGTCGAATTCCTGTTTGCGATCCACCGCCGGAGTACTAGGTCGATTACTCGTTCGCCTTTTACGCCGCTTTAAAAGCCAGAACCCACCCACCAGGAGGAGCACGACGCATAATCCACCAACAACAGGGCCGGCTATCCAGGCTTTACTGCTCCCTCCAGAAGTATCTTTGCGCCTTTGTTAGCGTGAAAGAAGCATTGCGAGGAGGTCCGGCTGGACGTATACGCACCTGCTGTGGGAGTAGACGACAGCGAAATATCCGCCCTCATGTCCGTGACAGTGACCGTCACGATGAGGCTCTTCGACACGCCTCCACCCAACAGAAGCATATCCAGTACCTGCGTACGCGTCGTAGTCGTCAATTGGGATCCCGGGAGAGAAAACGAGCTCCCAAAGGGCGCGCAGTATTTGAGAATCGGCTCGAAGTAGCCGTCGAGTTGCGTGAGAACCCCCTCCGAGTCTTTGGCGGCATCTGCGACACATTTTCTGCATTGCGCGAGGCTTTTCTGGAACGCCGAGTCCGCGAAACAGGCCGAGGGAATCATCCCCGCCAACTGTGCTTCTCTGTAAGAGCCATCTGGAGATTACCGCGGTCAGCGCGTCTGGGCCTATCGCCCTTGGAAAGCGTGCTCCGCAACCTACCACAAATCTGATAACACGCGGAAGGGATCCCTCCAGGGCTTGTGTCAACCGTTGACGTTGAAGTCCGTGGTACGAGAGCCGAAGACAAAGACGCCCGCCTGGTCGGCGTTATGATAACTGTCGTGGCGACTGCCTCCTGCGTTGTTTCGATAACCGACATGTCAGCAGGGGATGGAAGATTCGGTTACAAGTTCGCTATCGATCACTCTAATGGCGCTTCAGGTTGTCTGAGAGTGAAAATCTGTTTGTTTGCATTGGGAGGCGTGCGTGTGCGGACTGTGGCTCTGGTATAAGAAGAGTCGGTGTTGAGGTAGGGGAGGCGTAAGGACGTCATGCTCCTTAGCGATCTGCATATTCGATAAATTCTGATTCTTGATTGGGGCTGGTATCTTGCGGAGGATTCGAGGAAATCACCCTGCATGAGGTTGGGGACATTGCTAAATCAAGACTTTATCCGCCGGCGAATGCCACCTTGACATGGTCTCATTGTGAGACATGAGAGCAAAGGTCACCCGCATGCCTACAGGCAAGCTACCAGCGTGCAAATCTTCGATATAATATGTGGCACGAAAGGATGACTGGAGGTTGGGAAGTGTTGCTTATTGGAGAAAACGCATGCGATGGGAACTTGTATGCCCTCCGAGGCAAATATCGATTGACGACGTCAACCATGCTGAACAAGATTAGAACTTCCCGGTAATAAATGTCTCCCTGACATCTCCGAAACTACGCGTCTATTCTTCTCTGGCGCATACATCTCCTGAGCAGGGACCTCATTGACGCTCATCTCTGGTACCGGATCCGGGTAGGAGCCTTCCAACTCCATAGGAACAGGCCGTGGGGTGTGCTCTGCATGGAGCTCAGCCTTCGCGTACTTCTCCTTATCGTCGACGTCGTCGGTTGTGGTCGTCGGTATCGCCGCCCTTCTCTTCTTCCGTCGTTGAATGAACCAGAAGCCTGCAAGAAGCAGCAGGACAAGGAATACTGCGCCGATGACGGGGCCAGCGATCCACGCTTTGCTTGCCGGCGGGGTGGGATCTATCGAGAACGTTATTTAACCGCGAACGAGCGCCATATCAAGGCCTTCAACATACCTGGTGTCAGCGATGCCGCGCTGGTCGTGGGACCAGTGACGGAAGCCGAGGTCGTCGAGGTTGTGATCACCGCATCCTTCAACCTGACGACCGTCGTAGCCATCAAGACGCCTGTGATGACTTTGTTGTCGAGGTCGGTGACGGTGACGTCGACAATTTGGCTCTCCACGATGGTCGTGAGAGACTCGGGAGGGACGCCCGTGATGTATGTTACTGTCGGCGACGCTGTCGATGAGGGGCTGCTGACGAGCGGCGTTTTACAGAACTCCAGAATTTCAGCAAACTTCGGTAGGATATATTGGCGTGAGTCGCCTCCGTTGACATCTACACATTTCTCGCATCCGATTAACGCCTGTTGGACAGCCGATGCGGGCTCGCATAGCAATGTTAAATTCCCCGTAGTTTGCATTTCTATGTATGCGTTATCTGCAGACAGATAGAGTCAGCTTTAGAGTCAGAAATGCTCGGGCCTTAGTTTACGGTTCCTCACTGCAATTTTCATGGCATACAGCCGGTAGAGAATCCGACATCTTCGGCGCTAGGATTGATTCTCGTTATCCTGGTTGTCTGTCGCCATCTACGAATGTCACCGCTGGAGAAACACGCACACACGAACGATCGAAATCGATGAAGTCTAGGAACCGAGATCAACCATTCATAAACTGTCTAATGACTATCCCCACACTGCCATCTGTGCATGTCGAGCTAGGTACCGGCACTTCGTGTCCACGAAGCTCTGTCTGCACATATCCTGCTCAAAACCAAAACATCTCAAATCTGTTCCTCATAACCCTACCATCCGATCCGAATAAGCTGACCACTGAGGAGGCAGTGATCATATACCTTCCGAGTCCATTCCGCATCAACCATGACACCCCGTGTCATCTTGGTCGTCATACCCTCGTGCATCAGAATCATCTCGCCGATTCTTGATCTTGTGAGCATAACGCATAGGCGCTTAGGGTCGTTGAGGAACCCAGCAGTCTTTGTGCGAACGGTGTCCACGAAGACAAAGTCTGCCTCATGACCTTGCGCAGAGTCGACAGTCCGTGCTTCCATAGCTTCGTGGCGCATTTCGACATCGAGTCGACCACGAAAGTGAGGTGGCAGTTCTGTCGTGAACTGCTTGTAGCGAGCTAGAGCAGCCTTGTAAGGTGTGATGATGAGTATGCGGCCGGCCTGATCTGGCTTATCGACACGCTTGAAGTTTTCATCGCATAGCAGCTCAAGACAACGCTGTTTGATGAAAGCCTCGTGGACAGGGTTGTAGAAGCTTCTGCGGTCCATGCACTCCTGGGCTCCTTGGTGGTGGATCAGGATTCGAGGAACTGGACTGCTTAGGTCGGGAATGAACTGCCTGAGCCAACGTTGAACATGCTGAACTGCAGGGGAGAACCGTTCGGCTTGGACCATTCCAGAGGTGAGGAGCCCGTCGTAGAAGATATCAGATGCGAGCAAGTGAAGATCTCCATACATGCCTAAGAGATGTTAGCTCAGTCTCAATAAAATCAGTGCCAATCGGTCCTTACGGTGAGTGATCTGAAGTTTGCTTTCCATGGATTGTGCCAGGTCTGCCCTCTCCATGGTGCTGATCCGAAGCTGTTTTGCGTAGGGATTGGGGAGAAGTCCCTTTTCCCGGACCTCTGAAGGCACCATACTGGCCCCCTTCACGAAGGGCCGCGTCTGTCTTGTATCACCGGTAAAAATGTAGGCTCGAGCCGGAGTGAATGCCAGGGGTATCAGAGATGTAAGTTCCCGGGCGTGAGCAGCTTCGTCCACGAACACGAGATCGGGCTTGAAGTCCTCGCTCAGCTGTCCAGACGCACCAACTGGCGTGGTCGCGATGAAGTCCGCCTTCTTGATCACCTCGAAGTAGAGCTTCGCAACTCTGACTCTGAGCTCGCTGGCTGTTCGCCTCGTTTTGGTGGCACGGTCAACCACCAACTTATTGAGGATCTTTTCAAGTCCTTTGTACTGTGACGGGTTCGCCTCAAAAAGCTCCCAGGCTGCCTCGTCCAGAGAAGGCGCTCTGTCGAAGTCACGTCGCGCCCCAGGTATGCATTGGGCTAACTGTGCTTGCTTGAGGAAGCCACGGGAGAAGTCAGGTGTGTTAGCCTTCCCGCCGTCGGTTGTGGGGGCTGGATGAAGTTTCGCGCTTCGACTCATCTCGCGAGCGCAGCCTCGCACACGAACCACCAAAACGTTCAAGCCAGCCTCTTTGCAGGTTGCATGCACCCTGTTTGCAGCATCATCGCAAGGTTCGTTGACGTCGATCAAGTAGAGTACCTTTGGTGTTCTCTTAACGGTCCGTTGGTTGACCACCTCCGTGATGGATTGAGAGAGTGCCATTGTCGCGATGAAAGCGTTCAAAGCCGTCTTTCCAGCGCCAGGGCAACCGAGAATGAGTCGAAGACCGGCTGGGATGCTGCGCAATTGCTCGTAGGCCTTCTTGTGGTCGTGGTTAAGCTGTCTGTAAAAGGACTTCAAGGGTTCCGGTGTCTCGGGATTTCCGAGAGGGTCATCCATATGAGGGAGCTCTTGGAATAGATTGACGCGGAATTTGGGCTCTTTTCTGAAGTCCAGGATGTAGTCGAAGGTGCCCATGGCCCTCTTCTCGAGAGGAGACATCTCTCTCTTGCCGTTCATAAGTCGATCAAGAGCTCTCAGCTCAACTTCATGGGTGAGGAGGCGAGGAGTTACCCGAATAATAACTTTGACAGCATTGGTGTGGTTCAGAATAGCCGGAAAGCCGTCCTGTCTCTGAATGGCGATGGATGCAAAGGGATGATATTGCATCTTCGTCCTGGGGTCCCGCATGTAATCTAGAGTAACCTCAAACGCCGCGCAGGCCGAGTATTGCTCCAAATCGAAAGGGACTGGGACGCGCTGGGACTTAAGCATTCCGGGGTTGTAGTGCTGTCCCCTAACCACGAAGTCGTGTCGGATTCCGACAGAACAATCTTCACCTTCAGCAGGGAAGGCCTCGTCCTCCTCCCCGGGCGACACCAGAACGATCCACTTAGTCTGGAGATCCGAAGACATCAGACTAGTGGATGTCGGCAGTGGGTAGATCACCCATGCGTGTCTCTCAGCGGCTGTGTCATTGAATCGACGGTAACCAGCTTCCTCGTTCTGCATTTCAATCTTTGAACCTTCTCGATGAACTTGCGCAAACTCTTCCTTGCTGAGAAATGAATGCACCATCTGGTGGCCACATCCGCGATCGTCTGTTCCCAGATGACTGAATGTCGCCTGAGGCACCGGAGCGGCAAAGAAGTCTGCGGTGATGTAGTTGGTGGCGAGTGGTGCGTAAGGCAATACCGGCGCCAGGTCGTTTGCTGTAGGCTCCGACTCAGCAATGTGAGCGTTACCCAACGAGAGAAGCCAGGCCGGGCTACCCATTGAAGGTGTGTCCATCTAAGAGTTGATTAGCCTTGAGAACAGTGCAAGATAGTAAGAAAAAAAAAAAAAACAGAAGCGTACCTTGAAGTTTTCGCGATGATGATAGGAGGAAGGAACCAGGGCGAGGTGGTACGTAATGCAGACGGCAAGAGAGATCCAAGGCCGAAAAACGTGCACACTGTCGACAGGATAGGTAATCTCAGAGTTGACTCAAAACAACGAGTAGGATGTGAAGGAGGTAGGAACGGGCGAGGATTTGATGAGAAGAAGCAGACGGGAATAGAGTTGTTGATCAATGTGGTCGGTCGGGTCGGATGCCAGCTACCAAAGATGGGTAGAGAAGGAACCGAAGACAGGGGGAGCTTGAGTGGCTTCCAAGTTGTTTGACACGAGAAAGAAAAGAGGAAGAGAAATAAAGTGGATGAGATAAAATGCCCCAAGGGCCAGTCGACGGGTGCGCGCCGGTCTGCTTTGTTGTGCTGTCAAGGAAGGTGCGGGAGGGTGGGTGGCAGGAAGGAGGCTCTTTGTGCTTTTTGGAAGGTAGAGTAGGTGCCGGTTGAGGGAAATGCGTCTGCTCTTTCTCGTTGAATGAATTGACAAGACGAGTAAACTTGCGAGATGAAGTTTCTCAACTCAACCTAGGTAGGTAAGGTACCTAGGTAGGGGTACAATAGGTGAATCACCGGTCGAGAGTTAGGTGGAGGTTGAGGTTGAGAAGAAAAGGTGGCCTGGGTTTGAACGCGAAAAGGAAGGTTGAAATATCTTACGCGAAGTCTGTGGAAGTTCTTCGAGGATAAATGGTTCATTGGTTGCTTGGAAGGTGCGAAGAAAACATTGGGGGAAGGAGCGACAGACGTTCTTGTCTCCTTCTCTTTCGGGCGAGATCTGGCCAGGCGAATTTTACGTGAGTAGCAAAGAGAGGAGATCTTCAAGGTGCTCTTATGGAGATTTGTAGGGAGAACAGAATAACTTAAAGACGGAAGGTGTGACGAGGAAGGTACTTTGATACACCGAGGTATCGTGTGTTTATTGACGTTTTCGAGGCCATTTCGAAGGAGCCTCAATGTACGCATCCGATACCCACAACATTGCCAAAACATAGCCTTCGTTCTGATACATCCTGCCTACGACGGCAGAAGTTAAGGGCCAAAATCCCTTCCACCTCCCGAGCAATCTGTGAATGACCAGAACTGGAAGCTGCTCATGCATGCCTCATGGGAGTGCGATTCTGTCTGTAGACCGGCAAAGAAGATATTTTCCTCTAACGTCTCCGGTGATTATCATCTCCAACGGCGAGAGTAAAACATACCTCATCTTCAACGGGAACTGCTAGGTGGCTATTTGACACTCTCCAGACTGACTATCGTCACTCTCTCGCTACTGCCGCAGAGCGTAGCTTACGCCTCGAATGAAGTGAGGCCGTGAGGAGAGAAGTACCTGAACATCAACGACAACAGAACTGACAGCGATTGTCTACAGCAACAAGTTGGACGGGTTTCGTTGAGGCTCAGAAGGCGTTGAGAGGGCTTTGAAGCTATCAGCCAAACACGTGGACTACATCATCGAGAAGCGAGAATGCCATCGTTAAATGTCGATTAATAGATCGGGTATCAAATGCCGAGCAGCGTCGAAGACTGACGTTGGATGGCGGGCAACCCTTGCCAGGAGACATGTCGTCGACATTCGTAGCGGAGGCGGAAAGTAACCGCTGAGCCGGATTCTGTACATATCCGCACGGTAATAGTAACTATTTTAGCCCGAGACCTTGTCGCAGAATAAGCACCAATCTGAGGGTGCAGGATCCGCCATGACAGGGGTCTGGACACCGTCAGGAGCAGGTACCTGGGAACTTTCTCCATCGCGCAGCTGGACATGCAAAAGTCCAAGTCAGCTTCGGTTCGTTGGCAAGGGTCATGCTGTCATGTCAGCCGAGAGTTGTGCGCACTCATGTTTCTCATGCCGTTCCCGCGCCCGCCAGATGGTAGAGTTCTGGACAGCGATGAAACTCAAGCACGTAAGACCTGGCCGTCTGCTTTTTGACTCTGCCGGTGCTTCTTCCCGCGACAATGAGCGATTTGTGTGCGGTATGCATCTGGAGCCCGGCATCTCGGTCACGGATTGCGATCATCTCCGCCGAAGTCTCCTGCCCACCTGAAGGCTGGTAACGGTGATGGAGCTTTACCCCACCGGCTAAGGGTTTTCAGTACCTAGGGTGCTGCTCCTCACGGACTCAGAGCGCTCCAGAGTCGTTGGCCGCGGGAACCAGGGCGCGACGGGAGTTGGTGGTTGGAGGTGGTGGCAGTGAACCACGCCAAATAATGGGGTACAACGGTCAGGAGAGCGAACTTGAGAAGGGGATCCAACGAAAGCTTCGATGGAGACGGTCGAAGCAAGGGTCGTGGAGAGGCCGTGTGGCGGGGCAGGGAAAGGGCGTCAGAAGCAATACGATTGGTTCACTCGTGTTAATACGCCGATTTATGGGGGCAAATTTTGATAGCGAGATACCTGCACGTGGTGGTAAATTTCAATTGGTCCCCCGGCAATGTTCCCTCTCGCCCGGGCTGTTTTACGGTTTTACCGCTGTCAGTCCCTCCACCAGCCCGCTTGAGCCACAACTGCCCCGATGTATCTCCTTACTTCTGCACGCGACGTGGAGGCGGGAGGCAACCCAGTCCGACCTTGGTTTCCCTTGTGTCCACTCCAACTCCCCCGTACAACGCCCGCGCTTGGTGAGGCTGAAGACCTGCACTGGCCTAATTAATCCAACTGCCCCCAATTACTGCCCTGATTTCGACTTCACTTCATCCGTTTCCTCTTTCGTGGGCTCATCGCCATCACGGCGACCGCTCATCCACCGCAAACCACCTCTCATCAATACCTACTCTCCAAGAATCACATCGCCAGAGGACGTAGCGTCGATTGCTCATCTCACTTCACCCGTCATCTCTACCGTCGTCATCCGAGTGTCTCAGTTTGGGGGGTCGGTTCATGTGGTGCAGCGAGTGCTGACGCGTGGTGCCCAAAATGGCTCCTCCCGCAGCCTCGTCTGAGGGTGTTTCCGCCCAATCAGACCTTGGCGACACCGACGACACTTCATCATTAGTACGTTCGATTGACATGGATCAACTGGGCTCAAGCCGAGAGATGGTGTCCCTTTCCGCCCGCTCGACGTTGGAACCCCGCCGTGAGGGACTTAGACCAGGAGGAATTGCCGCAGTAGTCATCGGTGTTGTCTTGTTTTTCGTCCTGGCCATCATTTGCGCTTTTCCCTTCGTCATCCGTCGCATTAGGAGAAGTAAGAGCAGGAGGAATGGAGCCAACCGACTCGACACGGCGGAAACCGCCTTCATCCCCCCGCCTCTCCGTCCCTCGGGCCCGGCTCCGGCGACGGGTCCTGGTGCCCCCAGCCGTATGTCCTCCAAAGACACTCTTGGCCATAAGATTGGAGGAAGGGAGAGACAGTCGACCAAGGAGATGACCATCTCATCCCACAACGGCATCGATGCCTCCCACAGCGACGACTTAGGGAGCCATCAGCGCGGCTATACCGGCGATGAGGGCACCCACCCGCCAAGCGTGACGACCAGACGCGGAACCGACCACTCATTCGGCCGCTCGCCAACATGGAAGAGCGAGACCTCGTACCCTTGGACTCCTGTGGGCTTAGAGCTGGTTGCTACCCGGGCTGATGGGATGGACTACTCGGAAGCTACTCACGGACACAGCGCCGCCTATTATAGCCCGATAGTCCCATCAGAGGCCTTTGGCATGATTACTCCCCCTCCTACCGACGAACCAGTTTCCCGAGCTCCGCCGCCGAGACGGTCCAGCTCACTCGCGAGCTCGCTTAAACAGAACCTCATGAGCATGATGGGTGGTCGTTCAAGCACCAAGGATTCTATGAACACCCGGTCCAAGGCCATCTACCAGCCCCAGCCAACATCGGATGTCCTCAGGGAAGGGTTGTCGGATTCGCCTACTGAGCTTACAGGTCCCTCCTTTCCACCTCCATCAACCCGACAGCTTGGCTCGCCCATGCATTTCAAGCCGCCTAGTCCTCCGTCTGAACCCGATCATGCACGAGATATGGAAACGAAGAAAGAGAAGCCGGCATCACCGCCGATTCTACCGCCTACCGTTCCACCGCCCGGTACCGTCAACCCAATGGATATCATGGCACCCTCAAATCCAACAGAGCATAACTGGCACACCAACCAGCAGCTGTACAACATAGCCCACCCGCCACCGAAACCGCCCGTTGAGCCTGAACCGTCACAAGCGCCTACGCCTCAATCCCCGGAACAACCTTTCGAGCATCACCAACAGTACCTACAGCAGCAACAGCAGCAGCAAGAGCAAGAGCAAAAGCAAAGACAGGAGCAACAGAAATACCTGCAGCAGGAAACTCAGCATCAGCAGTGGCCCCAGGCAGAGTTATCTAATGGAGCGCCAAATTCGAACAGTAACGGGCATGCTCAGACAAATGGTTGGGCGACGAAAGGCGAACCGGCCATTGGCCCGGATATTCATATGAACGAGGCTCCTCGGCCAGTCGACCCAAGCCACCTCATGCCCAATCATGCCAATCATCACTACTACGAGACCGAAATGACTGATCCCTCTGAGCACTCGCCTCAACCGGGCGGCCATGCGTCTTCCGGCGCATCCTACCAGACCACACCCAACACTCAGATCGATAGCAGCCCGTCTCCGCGGTCTGATGGTAGCTCGGATATTCGCAACAGCACCTCGCCATATCCTGGGCTGCAACAATCTCCCCGTTCCTTTATGTGCGATGAATGTGGCAGGTTTTTCGATCAGGTGCACAAGTTGAAGTAAGCCCTCCGTCAGCCCTTTCACGAAGTCGAAGTCGCTAACTGTCATAGTCACCACAAGAGGTACCATGAGAGGCCCCATGAGTGTATGCACCCGAATTGCGGCAAGAGGTTTGGAACCAAAACTCACTTGGACCGCCACATCAACGATAAGCATAAGAAAACGAAGAAATTCCACTGCACTGTCAGCACCTGCCCCTATTCTAAGGCTGGGGGCAAGTCTTTCCCACGAAAGGACAACTGGAGGAGACATATGGTGAATATCCACCAAGTCACGCCTATGGGCGATCCGGAACCAGACATGATCGATGAAACTATGGGAGGAACCTGAGCCACGGCATGAGGGGTACGCCTGTCTGACAGGTGTCAAACCAGTTCATCGGAAGAATTGTCATTGCGCTGGTCCTAACTCCCTAAACGATTTGGGGAGCGGAAGCCGAAACGTTCGCATGAAAGAACGGACGATGCTTGGGAAGTTGTCAGTCGAGTATGGCAGACGCGTGACTTGCAAGCAAATTCCCCAAGAGCTCGCCTGTGGCTCAGCTCCGCGGGCTTATTGAATTGGACCAGTAGAGCTGGATCTAAACGCGGCATCCTTTCATGGGAGCCGATGATAACACCCGCGACGCTCACAGGCATCATTCACTGTTTTACTGCCGCAGAGCACATTGTTTATATATATTTGAATTCCCCAACGAAGGGGTTCACAGGTTACATAGGTACACTCGTTTGGGAGGGACTGTCAGATAAGCAGTCAGGCGTTTTGATGTCAAAATGGCTAGGGGAAACATGTAGATTAGGCCAAAAAGCATCACGGCGGCGCGCATGAGTTTAACTCAAATCTTTGATTAAGGACTTGACGAGCTTCTTCTGCTGCTCGACTGACAGACTGCGCTCGTCTGTCTCCTGGATAGCTCGTCCCACCGCAATGATGACTTTGACGCTCTCGCTGTTGACCCAAATCTTTCCATTCCGCCCTACGGCAGTTTCGAACGCCGCACCCGTTGCGCCCAGCTCCTCCAAGACCACCAAATCGGTTGTCTTGGGGTTCAGCAGGCGACGCGCCATGCCCAAGGATATGTTGAAGACAGTGCCGCCGACGAGGGGTCCGAGACCATCGGCCTTACCGGTGGACTGGTAAACACACTCGAGCTCGGGGTCCATGTGCTTGTTCGCTAGGGTGACACGCGCATAGACAAGGGCGCCAGATGCCAGGTTCGGGCGGTTCTTCTTTGATGCCATTTCGAAGGCGAGTTGGGGCAGGATCGCAGGCGTCGAGTAGTCGGCCAAGAGGACGTAGAAGATTTCTGAGGCAGAGCGCTGAACGGTGCCGACGACGAGGTCGCCAACGGCGGGAATGTACTGCGAACGGAGTGTCAGTGATGTTCAGGGAACCAATGGGATACGCGCTTCCTTACCCGTCCACCCGTTTGCTCAACCCATATCGAGTTCTTCTTGCGGTCTGTGACGAGTTTGCCAGCGATTGTAGGCACTATTTGCCGGGGAGGAACATGTCGAAGGCCGGGGCCCAATCTGAGAGGAAGTTTCTGATGCGAGGGGATCAGAGACGCGTCGATCTCGTCACCCGGGAGGACGAAGGGGCCTGCAGTAGCCATGGCGAAAGGCGGTCGACGACGAGAATGTTGAATTGGAATCGTCAGGTTTGGGGGTTTGGGTCCTCTGGCCAAGACCTCTCTCTCTGTCTGTCGCCTTCCGCGGTCGCTTCCTGCTGATCAGCCTTGCAGAGGCTTGAAAGCTTTTGGCGGGGCACTTTCCAGATTCACGTCGAATTTGATTGGGACACGGCCAGGGGGTGGTGCGTGTGGGGGAGAGTGACCCCGATGGATCCCACTGGGCGAACAGCGAACGTGGGAATTTTTTTTTTCCCTTGCCCAAAATTTTGGCCTTGAACCCCCACCATATCAAGACTGAAAACAACCTCTCCAAAGATCTCGACAGGATCCGCGGCCACTTTCGAAATCTACGAAACCCCCACGCCCCGTCCCAGAGACTTTTCGAAGACGCTCCCATAGCACGCCTTTTTCGATTTAATTATTAGCACAAATGGCTGCGAACGGCGACTCGCGGCCCGCGCCGGGTGACCGCACCGTCATTGGTATCACCTTTGGCAACTCCAACTCCTCTATTGCCTACACCGTCGACGACAAGGCTGAGGTTATTGCCAACGAGGACGGAGGTGAGCATAGACTCTCTACGCTAGGACGTGTAGAGACCTAGTACTGACCAATCGCCCGCAGACCGTCAGATCCCCACCATCCTCTCTTACGTCGACGGCGACGAGTACTACGGAGCCCAGGCCAAGGCCTTCCTCGTCCGGAATCCCGACAACACAATCGCATACTTCAAGGAGTTCCTCGGCAAGGAGTATGGCTTCCCACTGGTTTCATGCTGTTCTATAGCCGTTGACTAACATGCCCGCACCAGGTTCAAGTCTATTGACCCTACCCACAACCACGCCTCCGCCCACCCCAAGGATGTCAGCGGCACCATCTCTTTCTCAGTAAAGGACAAGGAGGGTGCCGAGGAGCCCTCAACCGTCTCTGTCTCTGAGGCTGCTACCCGCTACATTCGCCGTCTCGTCGGCTCCGCCTCCGACTACCTCGGAAAGAAGGTCACCTCCGCCGTCATCACCGTCCCTACGAACTTCTCCGAGAAGCAGAAGGAGGCTCTTGTCAAGGCCGCCGCCGACGCTGGCCTCGAGGTTCTGCAGGTCATCTCTGACCCCATTGCCGCCGTTCTCGCCTACGATGCCCGCCCTGAGGCCGAGGTCAAGGACAAGATTGTCGTTGTCGCCGACTTGGGCGGCACCCGCTCCGACGTCGCCGTTGTCGCCTCCCGCGGCGGCATGTACACCATCCTGGCCACCGCCCACGACTACGACTTCTCTGGCTCCCACCTCGACCAGGTCCTGATGGACCACTTCGCCAAGGAGTTCATCAAGAAGCACAACGTCGACCCCCGCGAGAACGCTCGCTCCCTCGCCAAGCTCAAGCTCGAGTCCGAGTCCACCAAGAAGGCCCTCTCCCTCGGCACCAACGCCAGCTTCTCCGTCGAGAGCTTGGCTGACGGCTTCGACTTCACCTCCACCATCAACAGGCTACGCTACGAGATGGCCGCCCGCAAGGTATTTGAGGGCTTCAACCGCCTCGTCGAGGGTGTCATCAAGAAGGCCGAGCTGGACGTTCTCGACATCGACGAGGTCATCCTGTCCGGCGGCACTGCCCACACCCCCCGCATCGCCGCCAACTTCTCCAACCTCTTCCCCGAGTCCACCCAGATCGTCGCCCCCTCCACCCTGCCCGCCGCCATCAACCCCTCCGAGCTCCAGGCCCGTGGTGCCGCTCTCCAGGCTTCCCTGATCCAGGAGTACGAGGCCGAGGACATCGACCAGAGCACGCACGCCGCCGTCACGACCGTCAAGCACATTGCCAACGCCATTGGTGTTGTCGGTGCCGACGAGGAGTTCGTCCCCGTTGTTCCCGCCGAGACCGCCGTCCCTGCCCGCCGCACCGTCCAGGTCGCCGGCCCCAAGGAGGGCGGTGACGTCCTCATCCGCATCGTCGAGGGCGGCGCCCACATCAAGGTCACCAAGCCCGAGCCCAAGGCCAAGCCCGAGACCAACGGCGACGACGAGGACGACTCCGACTTCGACTCGGAGGAGGAGGAGGAGGAGACCCGCGAGAAGATCTGGAAGGTCGGTCCCACCCTCGCCGAGGCCGCTGTTCGCGGCCTTGGCAAGGGATCCAAGGTTGAGGTCACGATCAACGTCGCTGCCGACCTCGGCCTCACGATAACGGCGAGGGAAGTCGGTGGCAAGGGCGGTGTCCGGGGCAACGTCAAGGCTCCTTGAATCAACCCCTCGAATCTAGAACAAATAGAAAGCGAGTAAAAGTGCGTTAGCAAGGCGCAATAGTGGTAAAAAGAAAGGGGAAACGTCAAATTTCTTCCATTTTTTCCCGTTCTGTATAGACACATGGATTTATAGGAGTGGAGGATGGAACGGGGGGAAGGCCAATTGGACCGGAATGAAATCACTGGGAACATAGACGAGAGTGAGCAAGAGGTTAAAAAAGCATGAAGGAAGAGAGACGCATTCGCGCCGACGAAAAGATGTGACGGAACTCGTCTTTCTGGGGCGCGATTGTTGCATGAATCGAAATCCATTACCACTGCATGAAGATATAACTTGGCGAAGAAGGATGTGATGACAACTGAATTGTGCAAATTGAACCAACCAACCAACGATGTTTTGCGCTGTGATGCCTGAAGTGTTTGATGCCGAGAGGGATCGCTGATGCACCCATACGCCCTGCTAACTTGAACTCTTGTGTACTCGCTGTAAGACAAGTAACCGAACCATGCGCCACCTCATGTTACGTGCCGCCGTCTGGATCCTCCACTTCCTGGTCTCCCTCCTGGTCCTCCTAGGAAACGGCGCCCGGGAGTCTCCACGCGACGAGGTCGTCGCGGATGTCAAACTCCTCCAGCTCCCGATTCCTCCTCACCTCGCGCCCGCGCTCGCTGCTTCCCATAGTTGGCGCCAAGCTGGCCATGCTCCCGCTCCGGCTCCTCGAGCGCGTGTACCCACTCCGCCCGCCGCCCCGTCTGTCGTCATCGCGGGACCGGTCTCTGCGACCCTGACGACTCCTAGACCCGCGCGCGGTCGTGCTGCTCGCGCCGTCATTATGGCGGGCAGTGAGGACCGTCGTGAAGCTGCGGTCGCTGGAGCCGCTGTTGCTGCGCGAGTGGTTCCGTTGCTGCCCGCCGCCGTTCTGGTGGAGGTGGAGGCTGAGGTGGTGGTGGTCGTGGTGTTTTGACTGCTGCTGTTGCTGCTGTTGGGACTGGCGGTCTTGTTTTTGCTGCATCTTGCGGACGTCCGAGGGACGCAGCGTGCCTCCCATGCCGCCCTCGTCGGAGCTCAGGGAGCCACCGTTGTCCAGGTCGAATGTTGCAGTTTTGCCGCCGCGGCCGGTCCTACCGGTGCGCCAGCCGTCGCCGCCGGAGAAGATGTCCTCGATGCACTCGTCCGCGGGGAGCTCGCCGGGCTGGCAGGACCAGGAGGCTGCGAGGGCGCGACGGTACATGTCTTGGACCTCAGAGGCGTCGCGAGATTTGGCCATTGTCGGGAGTTCTGTAAGGGTCAGTGAGAAATACGGGAGATGGAGTTCGAGGGTGAGGAAACGTACGTCCTGCGTCGTCTTGTTCAACTTGGTCGCCTGCCATGATACCGGCTATGCCTCCAAAGACCGGAGCCGTCCTCAGCGGCGGGGCAGAGTAGCCCTTGTCACCGTCGAGCTGGATCATGAGGATTCCGATCTTCAGCGTGCTGTTGATTTTGCTCTCCTGCATGAGGTAGCGCCTGACGATGCCATCCTCGGCATCCGGTTCATCCAGGATTGGAGGAGCGGTGGATTTAGGGCTTGTACTGGCAGTGCCGCTGCTGCGCTTGCGCGAGTGGCCGCGGTCGAAGCTGGCACTTTCACGGGCCAGACCGTCGCTCTCCTCTACGTACTCGCTGAGGTTCAGGTTGACCTTTCCGAGCGAGATTTTCTCATCATGGCCGCCGCCGGAGAATTCCTGCGTGACCTCGAACTCAATGGGACATTCGGTCAGGTTGTTATTCCGATCAATGCTGATGCGGATGTGGCTGACGACCTTTGAGTAGTTGTACTCGACCTTGTGGTTGGAGATGGAACATTTCGGAGTGCGGCCGCGGTGTTCCGCGTTGATGGAGTGGGACAGGTGCCATTTTACTATTGATGTTCCGGACACCAGCGGGACGTTATTCAGGTCGTAAATCTGGATCCAGTCAGACGAAGGTTCTTGGCATAACAAGCAGAATGTGAGGGTTCACACACCTTAAGGTGTAGCTCAAACTTTGGCTGCGTCACACAATGTTAGCACACATCGGAATCGCACATCCTCCACTTCCCGGAAGATTGAGTTTCCCATGACATGATGGGTGCGAACTGAGGCGTTACCTTTCTGCTTTTATTGACTGTAGGCAGGAAGCCACCGTTAGCCATGCTCTTGAGGGGACTCATGGTAGGCGACGAGATGTTCTAGGATTGAGGAGTAGGTGACGAGAAAAAAGCAAAACGAGGCGGGAACTTGAAGAAGCCCCGGTGCCCTCAAAAAGGACGTGGTTCAAGGGAGAGACATGAGAATGATGACAATGATAGGCGGATGGGCAGTTGAGAGCGACGGTGAATGAGTGAGGCTGGAGAATGCCGCTAAGGAAGACCACCAAGTGTTTGTCTCAGTGAGATCTCAGCCTCATCAACAGGTGAGAGGCTCGAGCAATGGCCAACCCCACGTGGATGCGAGGAATGTTGACTTAGGATGAGGACGAAGGGTAAGGTGAACAATGGAACTCTACAGCAAGGCCGAGAAGGGGAAAAAATCTCCACTCGACGACATAAGACGAATGACGGGCGGGTGTTTGTAGGTGGTTGAAGGAGGAAGAGGGCTTACTTAAGGAAGCCATGTTTCACGGACGACATGGCAAGCTGGGCTCCGTTGGGGACGAGTCAATGATACCTGCCCCGGAGAGAGGCGGCGCCCCTTCTGAGGGGAACGGGAAGTGAGCACGCGGGCGACGGGAGGGAAAGAGAGGCAGTTGGTGCGGCAGGTGCAGGGACAGGCAAGGCAGTCAGCGACAGCGACGGTAAGACTGTAAGCGGCGTGCGTTCGGTTTCGGTATGGCCGGGGGATAATACGATAGGTAGGTAGGTACGGTAAGGGGGTGGCAGGCAGGATCGTAAAGTGGCTAGTAGATAGCGGGATGCCGCTGCCGACCTCTGCGGGAACTTGATTCTCTCGGTGATGGAGGGGCCTTCGTTGGAAAGGCTCGAGATTGCATGCAAGGTCAGCGACCAATCTGGCTGTGCGCTTCGTCCGGCCGTCGTCCGTCCGCAAAGTCGTATGGAATGCGAGCTCGAGATCCAATGTGACGGGGGCGGGCTGGAAGATTCGGTACTTCCAATCAATGAATGGGGTAAAATTACTCAGCCGATAAGGGCGGAAATGGCAATCAGAACAGATCCGAAAAGACTCGCTGTTTGTATGCTCGCTCGCTGGACGCTGTTTAGGGGATATAAAGGGTTTCGTTCAATGCAGTCCGATGATGAAAGAAGAGAGTTTGACGGGTTTGGCAAATACGTAACTCGTCCGTTGTATTGGGAGATTCTGCTTAGGTTGGAGCTAGCTGGGAGGTATGAGAAGCTTACCAGCCACAAGAAGCCCTCCGCGGTGCCCGACGGGGCCAGCTGGTAGCCTGCGCCACATTGGACACGAAGCCCTTTGTCGTCGTCCGAACACGAAAAAGAGTTTGTGGCACCAATTTGGTGATAATTTGGTGATATTATAGAGCTCAGTGACACTATCACGAATATCAAAAGCTTCGTTTTTGGTATTTAGAACGGGCAAGTTATTCTGGGAATTCCTCTTACTCGGTCGGTTTGAGGTTCGCCTTTCATGCCTGTTCACGTAAGCAGCCCCAGCAAGCCAAGCACTGAAGCGAGACGCTTTTCAGTGGACCAGTCGCTGCGGGACGTTGACCGTCCTGCTGCATCGCTCCATTCCATCGGTATTCATCACCATTTCGAAGCCACAGGCGCAACACGAAATGCATCTTCAAGCCAGTTTTCAACGGCCAAAACTCGACGCAAGCCACATTGTTACCGGACCATACCCCGGGCCCGCCTTGCGAAATGGATTGCGAAGCCATCTCGCAAATGGCGGTCGCGAATCCTAGGATGTATACGGATCCGTCGTTATTCAAGTGCGCCGGCCAGACTCCTCAAGGAACGAAGGAGCAATGTTTGGTCCTGACAGCTCTTGCTCCTGAGAAACGAAGAGATAGCCTACGAGCTTGCGATGGAGTAAATGTTCAAGCCTGCGGGACGGAGGGTTGGACATCGACCAGCATCCGACCTCTCTTACTCAGCGATGGCCTGGAAGCAATGCTTGCCCCATTCAACATCGTCATACCACCTTGACCCTCCAAAGCAAGCAACGAACACTCATCACAATGTCTCAGAGAGCCGCAGACAAGCTTTTCGCATGATGCCTCCTGGACGCACCTAACCGAAGAAACCCGCGATGAGATCTGTATAGACAGGGTCAGGCCTTCCTGACGTCCCGAACTCTGATTCTCAGGCACGCCGTCCGCGAACCAGTGATGATGCTGTTCCTCTCCAAAATCCCCAGGGTGGTGCCCTGCTTCCAAAGGGCCCAACGATTCGGAACACGCCGCAACATGCGTCAAGACGAACACGTTCCCGCCCGTGTTTCTGCGGGGAAGAAAAGAGGCCACGCAGCCCAAAACCATATGAGATCGTATCGGGATGAGGCGTCCCAGACACTCCAACCAGCCATCATGCCGCCGAGACCCGAAGACGAAAAAAGACCCTTCCAGACCCTTCGTGAAATTCAACATCAATCAACTGATCCCGAGTGATGATGGAGCAAGGGTTCTTCTGGGCAGACAGAAATTCGCCAAATCCCGCGCCGGGGCGCGCCATCCGTCACCCGTTGCACCTTCAGTGACGCAGTGCGGGCTCCACACCACACTTAACACCCCAGTCCAGCCCCCCAAAGACCGAGAGCAGAGATGAAATTCCCCGAGCCGCATACGTCATACTCTCCCGCGCAACCACATCAAAGCGATGTCATCCCACCTCTCTCTTGGACAGGAAAACCTGCTTCTGAGGGGAGGGAGAGAAAATCTCAGAGGGGAGAGCGAAAGGAAATTGAGACAACCACCTACCGGCGCCAACGCCACGCCATACAGTAGTCTCGCAGCCACCACGTTTTCCCGAACCTGGGGCAGATTAAGCACCATGACATGCCCGCCCAACCGCCCCCCAACCAACGCTGGTGTTGACTGGGTCCCTCGAATCCAACCGTCGCAAACGAGCAATCAATCGACACTTCGTATGCAGGCTAACGTAAAGGGGGCCACCTAAAACGTCTTTCGCACACCTTAATCCATCACCGTCCGCGCCGGTGCGTTCGCTCCGAACGAATTCGAGGGCGTCGTGTGATGAGATCCTTGACCATCCGTGGGCCCAGAGTCGTAGTCACACTCACATTTTTGTTTCCTCTGGTCCTATTGTGGTGGTCTACCCTCCCTCCCGTGCCCCCGAATTGAGAAAATCTGCAGTACGTACTCGCTCGAAGGGAATTGTGTAAGACCAGTCAAGGGATTGGGAGGAAAAAAAATATGTGTGATGTATCACGGGAGATTAGCACCGCCCTTGACGTCACCATGTCGTTGCACCACAAGTAGATCTCCTGCAAACCGCCGGCGCCAAGGTGCCTACCAACAGCCCAGCCCGACGGGGCCCAGCGCCGATGACTACCCTTTGGACCACAAACCAAATGTCTGATAAGGGTGAAATCGACGATGGTGTTTGGGCGGGGGCTACACTAGAGAAGGGGGATGGTGTCACCGGCTTGTGGTCTGTGATGTAAGGTGTGAGGTAAGAGCCTTGCTCCCTGTCTGCCGTGGAGTGCGGTCCGGTTGGTTCTAGCATTGAGGGTTCGATTGTTATATATAAGACCTCGCTTTCTTTCGACAGGTCAACCCGGCACAACTCATCACAACAACATCAAACAAACAACCAACAAACTTCACAGAGGTTATAATCTCATATCACCTGCTTCACCTACCACCTTAAAAAACCCAACTACCAAACAACACATCCAAACCGTCAAAATGGGCGCTGTCGTCTCCTGCGTAAGTTCATCACCACAGGGAAAAGCAATCTTCTCGCAAATGCTAACCGCGACATTACACAGATCCAATCCGTCTTCCGCACCATCGGTGCCTGCCTGACCTCCATCGTCTCCGGCATCGGTGGCATCTTGATGGCCATCATCAACGGCATCGTCTCCTGCTGCAACATCATCATCAACTTCCTGACCTGCGGCACCTGCGGTCGTCGCGGCGGACGGTCCCACCACACCACGACTAGAAGTCGAGTCTGAGCGGGCCCTCGTCTGTGAAAACACACGACGCGACAGATGAGGGAACGATGGCAACGAATTCGCATGGAGTTTAATGACCACTGAATCAATTTTCTTTTCCGCAACGCGAGGGGAAAGGGGACAGGAATGGCGGAGGAGGATGGTTTTATTTTCCTACGACGCGAGCGAGCGCGAGATCAGCTTTGACAGCATACCCCAGTTTCATTGAAGATACCCACGATACCAGGTAGCTTAGCTTGCAATGGTATTTCACCGTCTACTTTATATATGCTTGCCCTGGTGATTTTCTGCTGCATGTGTGGCCACACTTCATTTTGACATGCTCTAAGCATAGCTTTTGAGTTAGGTATTTTACCGATTGTTCACTATACTAGCGCATCGTTTTCTACTTGTTCCATGGTTCAACATACAACTCAACTTTTTCGGCAATGCAACATTGTCGGCCATTTATCTCTTGTAATATTACACTAATCTTCCAGTACGTTACGGTTGAAAAATCCGTAAATTTGCCGCCCGGCTTCCTTGCCTACCATGGGCTCGAGTTCCTTCTCATTCAGATTCGCAACCTCTCTTACATTCTCCGTCGCTAGCACGAGCCGCATAATGTTCTTGGGATTGACACCCGGCACCGCGGCCAGCATCTCCTGAGGCTCCAGGTTGAAGGACTGGTCCTCCGCCTTCATATCCTTGTCGAGACCCGCACGCACCGCGGCGATGGGATCCGGCTCGTCCTCCTGCGACTTGAGCGACTCGAAGATCTCGGCCGTCTGGTACGGGGACGAGGACCAGATGATGCGCAGCTTCGGGAACGCGAGGGTGAGGAGCACGAGCTTGGACTGCAGGTCCGAAGAAACGTTCGTGGGCGCGATGCTGTTCAGGCTGCCGGATAGGTCTGCGAAGGGTTCGAGCGTGAAGGACTTGTTCTGGTCGAACTCGATGAGGAGCATTGGGTTCTTGTAGTGCTGGAACATGGTCTCGGCCTGCGCGTAGAGGCGGCCGTCCTTGAAGGAGGAGATGAGATCGCTGATGGACTTGCGCTCGACGCAGATGTTGGGCGAGAGCACGTAGTCTCCCACTGTCAACATGCAGGGTACGATGATCATAGATCGTCCGTGAAGTAGGGATGGAAGTGACGAGCGGAACTCTCGAACGTCGACTACTACACGCGGCGGTTGTGCTGTGGCAGCTAGATGACCGCCGCCGGCGATTCTGGTGTTGATGGTGCGGAGGAATGCTTCTTGAGGATCTTCGACACCGTGAGGGTCTACCGTCATGACCAATGACATGGACGCCCGCTCCTTGATGAGTTTCGTGAATGCGTCTTTCTCTCGTCTCACGCTGGAAAGATAGCGTTGCTCCTCGACGGATTCGCCGTAGTATAGGAAGTACACACGGACATTTCTGTCGTTGTGTGACGACCGGTAGACCTCGACTCGACGGATGAAGGCGGCATCGGGCTCGTACATGATGATGTACCGTGGCTTCACCTCCTCCAGAACGTGCTCATCGTGATCTCCGTCGTAAGCATGAATGACGACGAGATCCTGCATATCGTAAAGCTGGTAGTAATCCTCCATGTTCTCCAGTGGGTCAGTGACAATCTCCGGCTTCTGTTCCGCCTCTTCCGCGGTGATCTGGACCTCAGCCATGAGATCCTCAACTTCCGCCGGTCGCTCAAAGAACTGAGCAATGCTGCCATTCTCAGCTCTGGTTGACGCGCCGCCCCCGGCTCCGCCGCCTCTCATACGCCTCCGTTTATTTGACGGCTTGCCCCTGAGCGGCTGGCCATTTCTGTCGGTTGCGCCGTTGAGCGCCTTTTGGTTCTCGGAGAAGAGTGTTGCATTGACCTGAGCGAATTCTTTTTTCCATCGAAGATAGTTTCGTAGCTTTCTCCTCATCATGAAGGAAGCTGATGGCTGATCGGCGTCCTCGTCGTCCTCCTCGGATGGGTTCTTCTCCACTTTCGGCTTGAAGTGCATTGTTTGAAGGTAGTCGCGCAACTGGCGGCACGTGTTGGTGTCACCGCACATGATTAGGATTGTGCCATTAGAGTCGTCGCGGGCTGGAGGGTCGAAGTGCATGCTGTTGTCAATCTCTGTCAGGACATCCGCCAGCCAAGCCCATTTTGGTTGCTCCTCGAGGACTGGTCGCAAGGAGTCGATATTTGCATCTGCAGTTGCAGCTTTCGCGCTAGCAGCGTAGACGCGGCGTCTGGCCGTCTCAAAGATGGTCTGCGCTGCGTCAAGGAACAGCCAGGGTGACTGATTTTGTCTCGTGGAGCCCGGAGGTGGTGAATGTGCTGCGTGGATTGTGTCGAGATGTTGCAAAAAGGATACGGCATCAAGTGCCAAGACGGACGACAGCATCCCACGAAGAACGCTCAAGTCGTTGACAATCTGTCGTGTTTTCCAACTGACCCTGTGCCAGTTTGGGTCAAGTTGTCTTCTGATAATGACATCAAAGTTCTTGTGTAAGGCGCTGTCGAGGTTCCAATCCTCCATTTCCAGGCCCGTGTTCCCCTTCTTTAGCTCGTGAATGCTGACCTCGACACACTCTAAGACGGCGTTTTGGATATCGCGCATGGCATCGCTCATAGTAATGTTCAGCTCAATGACCTCCGCCGTCTTCTTGCCCTCTAGCGACTCTGCTACTGTGACATGGAAGCGCGGCCACAATGATGCTTTTCTTAAGAAAAGATTTCGCATCATCGTGGCCAATGGTGAGAAGCCGGTCGAGAAGGGATCGGGGTTGTCGGCAAATGCCTTGAGAAAGCCGGCTTTGTTCTTCTGTCGATAGATTCTCAGGATGAAGGCTTCCAGAGATGTGGCGACAACGCGATCGGCGTGAAGAACGAGTAGGCCGGTGACTTTCTCGGTGTCGAGCAAGTTGGTCAGAAGATCAACGACGAGAATGCGCGAGGTGATGCTGAAGATGCCGCCGCGAGCATACAACTTTTCTCGAGCGCCAACGCTGGTGAAGTCGGTGTTGACCACGGTGAGCCCCCTGGCGTTGGGGGACATGCTGATGGCGGCATGCTCGGCGAGGGCCTCGCCGATCCAGTTGTTTTCGCGGTCCTCAGCGCCAACGAGGATAATCAAGTTGTTCCCCGCCGCATCATAGGAATGAAGCAGATTGGTGACGAGTCGCATCAGCCCCAGGCCGCGGGCGAGCACAACGAGCTCATCTTCGTTTCTCAGCTCCTGGAACAGACTCTGCTGATATCCCTATTCAGGTGTCAACGTATGCCCGATCATTTTTGAGGCAGAGTACTCACAAGAGGAAGCGAAAGCTTGACCGGCTGAGGAGCGTTGGCTGACATGGTGCATTGTGCTGGCCGGGACCAGACGCGCTGGAAGGAAGTGGTATTGGCTTTGCTGAAGGTCTTTGGCCGGATTGAGATAGGTAGGTAGAAGAAGTGCCCCAGGCGTACCGTGCTACACACTGTCGTGCTGCCGTCCGGGGGCAGGTACTGTCGTCAAGCGAGAATTTTCGCACTGTCCTGGGAACTTCGACTAAGAGACAACCACGACACATCTACGAAGCTTTTAAATCGACTAGATAGACATTTAATGTAGGTAAATCTAAGCTCTTAGTTTCCTCAAAATCTTTAAAGTACGTCTTTAGAGGCCCAAATGAGACCTTGTTGTGTGCTGTCATTCTTCTAACAATTGTTGCTGTAATTTTACGCATTAGATGTTAGCTGATTCACGCTTACATCACCTCAAATGTCGGTCTTCTTCTGAGTGTCATCTCAAGAGGGATGATTTACTGAGTTTGATTTCATCGGTTTTCCCCACTGAATATTGTATCTTAACTGATTATCATTAGTGACAATGCCGCAGGGCTAGATTTGACCAAAACTGATGGGCTTGGCTAGGCTAAGGTCTCATGTTGAATGTTAAACCTCAGTCGTCATCGGCGCCAACACCATCTCATCCCGAGGTGAACCTAGACCGATCACTGGTAGACAAACTCGTGGGGACGATGGGGACTGGCGTGCTGTCACTGTAAGATAGCAACATCTATCAGGTTTTTGGCCCAACTTCTTGCAAGCTAGTGCCCTCGTGATATGCACGTATCTCGCCAGTGACGCGCAGGACTTTGGCACTTTGGCTGGCATCTTCCATTCTGGCCGCATGGGGCGGCTACGAACGGTCGACATAGACAGCCAATGCCATTCGGAGCACGGTTTAGCACGCAGCCATTGCTTGGGAGGCCTTCCAGGTTGGCGGGGATGTGCTGTTTGGAGTTGCCCAGTCACACCTTTGCACTTGCCTTCCCCTCCATAGACGAAACGACGTCATCAGCCGTCGCAACCCTCCACGTACCGCAGCACGCCTCAACTCACATGTAAGCACTGCGACGAGATACTTTATAAACAGCCCATCTTCCTGGCCTTCTTCAACATCTCTTGCTTACACAAAACACATCACAACCAAATCAACTTTTCAACCAAATCAAACAACCCCACTAAGACATTCAAAATGGCCGACAAGGTTAAGGAGCTCGTTAACAACATCACCAAGGGCGACGTAAGCTACACCATGACCTGACCACACCGGCAAGTCATCAAACTGACCACTTGATAGAACTCCGACAAGGAGAAGGAGTTCAGCACCCAGCCCATTGAGCAGAAGGGCCCTGCCGACCCCAAGTTTGCTGCCCACCAGGCACACCCCGGCCCCGCCGTCCCCAAGGACTTCAACGCCCAGGAGGAGGGTACCAAGGAGGAGCGCCGTGCGAAGGCGGAGGAGCTGAACAAATAGAAGTCGTCTATACTAGATGCTTCACGATGTATGATCAGAAATGGCTTTGTAGACTACGGATTACGGGGCAAGCATCGGGACGGGTCCGGAGACCTCGGAATTGGACGGCGGACGTAATGCTTCCTATGAATTCATGAATCAATTTCCACACAACCCGAGACCCCTAGTTTGCCTTGGGTGACCCTGACAATCAAATCGCGCAGTTGCTGAAAGTATTGAAACAATATATGCATGCCATGCTGCCGGAAGTCTTTTTTCGCAATTACCTAAATGGACAGTATCAAAGATTGCCCGTCGAGGAGATGCTTCCCTTCCATCGAGATGACGTTCACTGCATCGGCCAATGCAGCCTGGTTGATTCTTGGGAACCAACAATGCTACGCTGCGGATTGCGCGTCCCACAATGACGACAATCTTCCTCTCGCTTCCACGTGGCGGTGCGGACGCGCAAGTTGTGGCTGGTACCAGTATTCGCCCGCCAAGTAGATCTCACCACCTGCCTCCCAAGGACAGACGTCTGGGGTCTGAGCTGACGCCCGAGCAGCGCCTGAGATGGCGGGAGACAGAGGGAAACATGCCAGGCCCCAGCCCGGCACCGACTGCCACTGAAACGAACGACTCAGCCACCTGCGGTGGCCCAGGGCCAGTCACTTGCTCCGCTGTAGCCTGAGTGTACCGAGTGTACCTGACCTTTCCCTTCCCGTCCTGTTTCTGTGAGCCGTCCCTCCATCCACATCGTCTGCTATTCCTGTCGCTCAATCAGACTCAAGGAAACGTTAACGTTATTCCCATCGCACACACCAGAAACCACCCGGACTTCATCTTCACCCGGCACAACCTTCTGCCCCTTCAGCCTTCTCGCTGCCATTCCATGATATCTTCAGGGTTCCCTCGTTGACTGATGCGAGCCCACATTTCATGAAACGCCCCCGGACCCGGAAGCTCTGGCATCTTTCAGCACAAGCTTATCACTCTTTCTCTCGCACTGGACACAGGACGCTGGACGCTGGACGCGGCTTGCAAAGCGCCAGAGCGGCTGCCTCACACATCGCATCCTTACGCCCACGCAGTACCGACACTGTACCTGGCCCTATTGTCCCGCCAGCAAAGCACCGTACACTTAGCAAAAGACGTTGCCCAATCGCAGTGCCTCACTTCCCCAACACCACAAGCGACGTCGTCTTTCGACTGGCCTCGGGAACCTTGTCAACTTCATTGCTGAAAGCGACCGACCTGACGAACCGCCATCCCGAAAGAGGAGGTGTCTGCCCAGACACCATCGACTAAGCGCCACTTGCCCTTACCTGATATACCTACACACGCGTACGACGCAAACCGCTGCAACAGTTGCTGCTGGTGCTGCTACTGGTGCTGCCATTGCTGCCTTTTGCTGCCGCGGCTCCTGCAAGCACACGACCCTCCCCATCAAACTCCACTCGTCCCAATTCCACCTGGAATCGACTACATACGAACATCGACCTCTCCACCACCCAGCCTTCTCCCGACACCCTCGCTCGTCGCTGATATCTCTCCGCCAATATGCCGTCGGTTTTGAGCGACGAGGATAAGGAGACCGTCAAGCGCTTCGTTCCCAAGCAAACCAACAAGATACAGGCCGTTGCCGTCGCTAGATTATATGTGGCCTATCCCGACCCGACGAGATGGACGTACACAGGCATCCAGGGCGCCATCGTCTTGTCTAATGACCTGGTAGGCAATACCTATTGGCTGAAGATGGTTGATATCTCTGTAAGTGCCTTAATACGTCACGCCTTGGTTTCTTTTGGCTAACCTTCGTGAAGTCCGCAAACCGAGGCGTCATCTGGGATCAGGAGATATTCGACACGTGGAGCTATAACCAAGACCGAACCTACTTCCACAGTTTCGAAATCGAAGAATGCCTTGCCGGTCTCTCCTTTGTCGACGAGAAAGAAGCAAAACAGTTCAAGAAGAAGATGGACGACAGGGAAAAGAATGCAAGCAGAAACACGAGGGCAACACCTTTCGGAGGAGCTGCACAGCACACAGCCCACAAACATGGCCTGCTCGGAGGGCTTTTCGGCAGTCGACATGCCTCAGCTCCCACACCTCCTGAGTCGCCTCGATCCCATCCGCATGGTCGAATGCCATCCATTGGGACTACGAATGGTCACAAGTCCTCCGAGTTTGCTGTCCTTGACGCATTCGACTCCAATTGGCGGGAGAACTTTGGGCAGGATCTGCGAGACAAAGGCTTGAGCGAGGAGTTCATTAAGGAGAACCAAGAATTCATTGTCGACTTCCTCAAAGAGGAACAAGAAAAGCTGATGGCTGGAGCACGAAGCCATGTCCCTCCTCCACCGCCCCCGGCTCCAGCTCCTCAATCAAACGGCATCGAGCCCAGGAACAGAGCTCCTCCTCCACCGCCCCCTCCGGGAGGGAGTCATTCGGATGGGCCACGCTTACCGCCGCCGCCCCCAGCACCGCGGCGCGGCGCTGCGCCGGCCCCTCCGCCAGCCAGGAGATCTGGCAAGACCGAAGCGCCCGCTGTTCACAGAGAACCAACACCTCCAAGCGAGCCCGCGGCGCCCGAACCCTCAAGAAACCGATTCGCCGTACCACCCCCATTGCCTGATGCTGGTAAACTCGCGCACGCTCTTGGGGGTTCAGTGAACGCCATTCGTGGGCCTGCAAACCACGGGCCGCCTCCACCCCCGCGACCGCCGAAGACACCAATGCAGGAAGAGGAGAAACCGGCCGGTAGCAGATTCGGAGTGCCCCCGGCTTTCCCTGGTTCACGGCCGCCGCCGACTCCGAGTCGGGGTCCGGTCCCGCCGCCACCTCCGCCAAGAGCAGATGGCCCACCGCCTGCTCTTCCTCCCAAGGCTCCGGCAAACGAAGCGCCTCCATTGCCGCCTCCCTCTTCTCGACCGGTGCCACCTCCCCCTGCGGCCGGCAACCCTCCACCTTTGCCAGCATCGCATGCTCCCCCTCCACCACCGCTGCCTTCCTCCAGCGCTCCTCCTCCGCCTCCTCTGCCGACGTCACCGCCGCCGTTGCCGACATCCAATGCCCCGCCTCCTCCGCCCTTACCTGCATCAAACGCTCCTCCACCACCTCCGCTGCCGTCAAGCAACGCTCCTCCTGCCCCACCTCCACCACCCCCCGGAGCCGGTGTGCCGCCCCCTCCACCACCCCCACCGCCGGCGGGCTTTGGCGGACCTCCGCCGCCTCCTCCTATGCCGAACAGGGATTCTGGATACTCATCCACCGCACCCGCGCCCGTTCCGGATGTTGGACGTTCTGCTGTGTTAGGCGACATCCAGAAGGCCGGCGGTATCAAGGCACTCAAGAAGGTGGACAGAAGTCAAATCCGAGACAGAAGTGGTGCATCCGTTGGTGGCAGCAGCGACACCGGACCGCATGGCAGTGGCTTGCCTCCGGCTGGCGTTGCACCTGGCGGCGGCGGTGACATGGCTAACGCTCTTGCTGCCGCGCTGCAGAAGAGAAAGGCGAAGGTTAGCAACAGCGGTAAGTACCAGATATCCCTACGCCCAGATTCAAAAGCTAATCTGTCTGCAGATGATGAAAAGAGTGACAATGACGACTGGTGAGTGACGAATACGTATAACTCGAAGAGAAGGAAATACACGGTTGAAGTCCAACTGTATGCGACACCAAGGCGCACAGGTGTGCTCGCCATTCAATTCTCGCTATCCCATGAAGATAGCTGCTTTCTTAGGGATAAGGTGGATTAACACAAGCGGCACCTGGCAGAGCGAGCACCCTCGGGGTGACTCTGAGACAGATGTAGAAAGATGCGCCTGGCGGACATGAGCATCCGAGGCGAGGTAGGGGAACAGCGGCGCTCTCATCGAAGCGCTTCAACTACTTGTAAAAAGATTGGAATCAAACCCATGAAAAATCTTCGCGATAGTGGCAAATCATCTAAGCGATCACGGTGATGAAAGTGACTAACAACATCAAATGTCGTAATCTGCGGAACGTGGCTCGAGGGCCACGGGCCAAAGCAACTCAATTACTCAAGCGTTTAAGGAAAAAGAATCTATCGTCCCCATGATCTGATCTGACGGGCCATGACGTCTCTCCCACCATAGCCGTCCAACGCACCGCCCTTGACACCTTGACTGTCGCGGAATCCAGCAGCCGACGTGACCGCAGCCATTAGATTTGAGAGAGAAGACAGCATTCCCACCCCTCGGTGGTCTTGCAGCAGAAGACCACCGCAGGGAAGGAGGTTTCGGGGGCTCCACTTCGACGCACGGGAAAGAACGTGTCTTTTAAATGTCGTCGATGTCGACATCCTTCTTGCCGCCGGCAGCGGCGTCGTCCTCCTCCTCCTCGGAGTCGCGGTCGTCGTCGAACTCGAAGTTGCAGTCGCCGTCGCCGTCGGCACCGTAGGTGTCGGTCTCGTTGATCTTGGCGGACTCGGGCAGCTCGCCGTAGGCCTTGAGGGAACGGGCCTCGTCGGCAGTGTACTTGAGGATGACGTCGCCCTTGTCGTCCTGGTACTCGCGCAGAGAGAGGAGGATGATGTCGCCCTGGTTGATCCAGACCTTCTTGCGGAGCTTGCCGCGGATGTTGGCGAGACGCTTGACGCCGTCGAAGCACTGGGCCTCGAGGCGGCCGTTGCCGAGCATCTTCACGACCTGGGCGTATTCTGGGGAGGTATCAGCATTGTTTGTTTCAGGTGAGAAGGGGGCGGCGGTGATGTCTAGAGTTGTTGTCTAGGCAGTTGGGAATTTTGCGTTGACTTTTTTTCAAAGTCGACGCCAACAAAGGGGCATGTGCGGCACTGACCTTGGCCATCTTCCTTGAAGGTGAGCTCACGCTTCTCGTGGTCGGACTCGTTCTTGCCACGTCTGCGGTTCTTTCCTCCCTATGTGGTTGTTAGTCCTCATGATCGGGAGGCAGCTTCTCTATCAACACCATCAAGAGGAGCATCATGATGATCGGTGTGCGTCGCCTTCGAATAGCAAGGAGGGGGCGGGGTTGTTGGCGGGTCCAGCCTAAGCAGGGGGAGGGGTGTTTTTTTTTTTCCTCTCCTTCTCCTTGCGCTCTTGCCAGGCGACGCCATCATCGGATAAGTTTGAGGGAAACAACTGACCTTTCCCTTGTTCTTGGGCATTTTGACTCTCTAGAATGATTCTTCTGAGGGTTGATAGGGGGAGGGGGGTGGGAGAGTGGAAGGTGTCGAAGGTCGAAGAAGAGGAAGGGGCAGGAAGTGGGCGGCGATGTTGACGGGTCAAGCCTTTATTATCGCTTGTGCGTGAGTGAGCGACGAAAAAAATGGGCTTTTTGGGCTGGGCTGCTACCCAGTTCTAGTGCTGTGATTCAATGGTAACGGAGAATGGGGAGCGCTTGCCGGTTGGAGGGGCGAATGATGCAGCCCGGTATGAGTCAAGTGGGGCACTGCTTAGCGGCTGCAGTGCTCTGTGTCATCACTAACGGAGACAGCGCACCTCCTGCTTGTGGCGCGGTTACAGAATTGGTGAAGCAGGGTGAGCAGTTGGGTGAATATGTGTGAGCCACACACAGATGCTTTGAGGTTTCAAGTGGTCTGGGCGCTATGAGGCTTATCTAATCTTTGATTTTTGTAGAGAGATCCAAGCTGCCTTCTTATTTTCGAGATGTTGACTCCTAGCTTGGCCCTGAATACCCAAGGAGGAAGATTGATGACTGTGCCCTGGCCATGGGACCAAATCAAGCAAAATACGACAACACCTAGTCACCTAGTCAAAATCCCGCCGCTAGATATGACTAGTCTCGAACCGCCATCCGAACCTTTGCGATGAACACGACACGATCTCAATATGTGATTCGCACCCTCCAGCGGCTGCCGTCGCCGGCGTCGACAACAGTTACCGGCCCCGCGCAGCTAGCCCGGCACTCCAGTACTCTGCGCGAGTCTTCGAATAGATCGACGCGAGATACCTCCAACAGATTTTCCTCTGAATCGCCAAGAAGCACTCGCCGCGAATCCTCGAAAAGGCCACCGCGAGATTCCTTTAACAGACCTTCTGCCGAAGCGCCGAGAGCATTTCCCGATCAAGCTTCAAGCACACCTCGAGTCAACAAACTCACCCAGCAATTCCTCGAGCGACTGGACATCGGCTGGCCTATGACGAAGAATATCTATCAACGGATTCCTATACCCCAGAATATGGCGGCGGCGCAGTACTTTGTGTGCAAGTTCTCGCTGGACCATGTGATGGAACAGTACGACGCGGCAGACTTCGTGATGCAGACCCATGAGGAGAATCCGCCGGCGGTGATGCACGGTTACACGTACGAAAAGAAGAAGAAGAACGAACCGGTGTGGCAGTGGTACACCGGGGTCCACAAGTTCGGAAAGGCAGGCATCGTCATCCGTTCTCAGGCCAGGTTCATCAAGGCGATGAGGACGGCTCTATTCGTCCAGGGCTATGACAAATACGGACGAAAACTCCCGTCTAATCCAGGAGGTCCTGATCTGCGAGGCACCTTTCACTTCCATGTGAACCTGCCGCAGGAGTTCTGCACCCAGGTGACGATGACTGAGGTTCAAGAGGCAGTGAATTATTGTCTCGATTACTTCCTCCACAAGTCACAGTGGACGGGAGGCAAGTTCCAACCGTCAATGGATTTAAAGAAGAGCTTGCAGTCGAGATGGGCGTCGAAAAAGGAGATGAGCAAGCCCGATCCAAGCTTGAGAGGGCTGGTGTACCGACCTTGGCTGAGGAAGAAGGACATGATCGGAGGACCACGGCCCAAAGTGGAGGATGTGCTCCCGCGGCCAGAAGATGTTCCCCCGATGAGTAGCGTCCAGGGAAAGCCATCTCTGGAGCAATCGCCACAACCACCACCGAAAGAGACTCCGGAGAAACTTGAGTCGGCCGAGTCGACAGAGGTACCGAAGAAATGGTCGTTTCCTGAGATCAAGAGAACCAAGACCTTGACATGGAAGCGACCACAAGATGTTCCCCCGGTGAGCAACGTCCAGGAAAAGCCACCTCTGGAGCAACCGCCACAACCACAGAAAGAGACTTCGGAGAAACTTCAGTCAGCCGAGTCGACAGAGGCACCGAAGAAATGGTCGTTTCCCGAGATCAAGAGAACCAAAACCTTGACATGGAAGCGAAAAGACCCAAGTTCCTGATCCCGCTCAGTCATCACTCTTGAGGCGGGACATCTCAGGTGGCCTCTGGAAGAACCTCATTCTTTGAGGGACCAAAGACGAGAATACGCCAAAATGGTCCGACGTGAATTGTCGACGGTCTCAAAACGAGATCCGGGCCTTCGGGCGCCACGCATACAAGGCTGCTTGTCGTCTTGCTCGACTCTGCCGGAGCGGCCGTTAAATACCCGTGTAAGAACAGGAGAACATAATCTCTGGTGTATTATCAAACATTTCGATACCCAAAGATTAAATCTAGACCGGCGGACCAGAAACTCTGGTTGTCGTCAGTGAATAAATGTCAAATTCACATGGGCCTTCTGTGTACGACCCAGATTCATAATTGAGACCAAGCTTTCCTGTAGCAGCGAAATAAGGAAAGCATCTTGAAAACGCCAAACATACTGAACTATCACCATTACTTCAAACAATCAATCACTTAGGGATACTGAAGTTATCAACTCAAGATATACTCCTCCGCGGTTATATCCTCTATCTTATAGCGATTGTTGAATGCTCAGGAGATGCTCCCCGGTGTCGGTGCTATTATCTTTGTTACTATTCTCAGTCACCATCCGAGTAGTCGATCAGGAATAACAACCGTGGAGGTGTAAGGTAGAAGCTGAGGTTGAAGCACAGGGTGAGGTACGTACCGCCGCGCCATCAAGGATGGTTTCCTTGCTTGCCAGGAGGAGCACATCAACGAATCACATCGCTAGCGCAGAGCTGCCAACCGAAACGCTCTGGACTCCCTGGAGCTGCCAACCTGGTTAATTAACTGGAAGGACGTTGCATCTCTGACCCAGCATATGTGTCTCGGCCTCAGCAAACTCGCTACACAGCAAATCCAAACCGTCGCCCTCGCTATTCCGTACACGAGCTCGACCTTGGAATTCGGGATCGAATAGGAGACACGTCGAAAACCGCCCGCTCGGGACCGCGCAATTGATTCCAACTACCCACGCGATACGTATCGTTTCAAGATACTTTGAGGCCAGTCCCCCTCAACCCCGGCAAGCCACCATTCACGATGCTTGTCTCCCTCACCGTCGGCAAGGTCGATGCCGGCGTCACGGTTCTGCTGACGCCCGATAAACGTCTTGTATGTCAATCTCGATAGTTAGCCTGTCTTGTGTCCTTCGAGGGAAGCTGTGACATCTGCACAAGCTCCATATGCCCCTAAGCAAGCTTACCCCTTGACGACTTCATACTAACCCTCGCCCTTCCTAGATCGAATTCCCCTCCATCCTCCTCCCTCCCAATATCTCTTCCGGTTCGATCGTCGACATCACCGTCTCCCGCAACCTTGTCTCCGAAGGCAAAACCGAACACGCCTTCCGCGAGCTCCAGGACCGCATCTACTCAGCCTTCGGTGCCTCCGCGCCCACGACCCCCGTCCTCCGCTGCCGCAATGCCACCCAGACCTCCGTCGTCCTCGAATGGGACCCCATCGAGCTCGCTACCGCAGACCTGATCTCTCTCTCCCTCTACCGCAACGGCCAAAAGGCAGGCAATATCCCCCGGCCCCTGCAGATGCACAGCACGAAGATCTCGGGTCTGGCCGTCGACACCGACTACACTTTCCACCTTGTCCTGCGCACCACCGCCGGCACCTTCTCCTCCGAGAAGGTCGTCGTCCGCACCCACAAGATGACGGACCTCAGCGGAATCACAATCACCACGGGCATCATGCCCGCCGGCACCCGCGAGGCGCTCGCCGCCGCAGTCGACCGCATCGGGGCCAAAATCGTCGACTCTGTCCGCATCGACACAACGCATTTCGTCACCACCGAGGGCCGCGGGCTGGCCTGGGAGAAGGCCGTCGAGACGAACATCCCCGTCGTGCGCCCCGAATGGGTCGAGGCCTGTGAGAAGAACGGCCGTATCTTGGGAGTCACCAAGTTCTACCTCGACGCCGTCAGACCAGGCCCGTCTAGCGACGAACTTCAACAGGCCCCTACCCCGCCGCAGCCGCAGCAACAGACGCCTCAGATGCAAAAGGAGCTCCCCTCGCCCCCTGCTGCCAACTCGCCCGAGAACGGCGACGCCGCGTCCGCCAAGTCTCCGGAGGAAAAGCCCCCTGCCCCCAAGGCCGAGGACGAGCAGCAGTCGCCCGGCGACGACGAGAAGGAGACAGAGCAGAAGACCATTGCCGATCACGAGGGACACAAGGTGCGGTTCGAAGAAAAGGAGGAGCAGAACCTCGCGCACCGGCCGAAGGAGGAGTCCGACTCGGAAAGCGAGAAGGGTAAAGACGACGAGGACAATCCGAACCAAAGCCCGGGCGTGTCCCCCGACGGAGCGTCGTTCGAGAACGTCGCGTTATGAGGGCGATAAGGAGAGAGCTTAAAGGGAGCAAAAGTGATTTGCGGTCCTTTTGACGGCGCGGAGTTTTACCAGAGAAGTCTCAGTTTCATGTACAACTAGCAGCCTTTTCTTCTTCACGACATTTATAGAGTAAGTTGTGGAATATGATGATATTAAACCAAACTCTCCCTCCCAACCCGGGACTCGATCCTCCTCCACAGTGGTATCCCCTCACGGCAAAATCTCCTTCCCGGCCCAATCCCAACACCTCCCCCGTCCCTCGATGCCCACCTCCTTCGTGAGCACGCTGCACATCCGCTCCACCGCATACTCGGGCTCGAACAGCTTCCCCTCCGGCACCGTATCCCAAAACGCCTCGCTCAGCCCCGTCTTCACCGTCCCCGGGTGATACGCCACCGCCATCGCCTTCTCCCCGCTCCGCGTCCCCAGCCAGAGGTCCAGGCTCTTAGCCAGGCTGTTCACCCCGGCCTTGGACGCCCGGTAGCTGTACCACCCGCCCTTGCGGTTGTCCGACGTGCTCCCGACCCTCGCCGACATGGCGGCCCACACGGCCCGCCCCGGCGGCAGACCCTCCTCGTCCTCGCCGCCGCTCCCCAGCGCGGCCGTCTTGCGCGGGAGGAACCCGGAGAAGTGCTTCATCAGCATCATCTGCCCCAGCGTGTTCACGCGGAAGGTCTCGAGCGCGGCGTCGTACTCGACCTGCGACGGCGCCTTCTCCGGGCGCAGGATGCCCGGGATGGCGAGGGCGAGGCGCAGGTGGTGCGTGGACGTCGGGAAGAGGGCGGCGGCCTCCTCGGCGGCGGCGCGGACGCTGGGCTCCGAGGTGACGTCGAGGTTGACGACTTTCAGCCGGGGCGCGAGGTCCTCGGCGCCGGGGAGGCCCGAGAGGATGTGGTCCTTGGCGGCGGTGGTGTCGGCGCGGGCGGTCGCGATGATTGGGGCCCGCGTGGTCTGGAGGAGGTGCCGGGTTAGGTGGCGGCCTATGCCGCGGCTGGAGGGGGAGACGAGGATCCAGGGGCGGGACATTTTGTGTGTGTCTTGTGATCCGTGATGGGATGGTGGTGTGTTCACGGGCTGGCGGCGCTGGGTTGATTCAATTCGGACCACGCACGGCACGGTAATGTCACACCTCGGCAGCTCTTCTGTTGCAGATATTCAAACCCATTCGATTCATTTCTAGGGGGACAAAAGAAAAATTCCACACCATGCCTACGCCTACGCCCTGCTTCGAATTGAGTTTCCGCAGTTGGTCAAAGTCAAAGACATCATGACTTGAGAAAAACATTGGGGCCGTTTGTGGTTGAGGTTTCTGGGGCAACGACGTCATTGCTGTGGCTGATATCCCGACCCCTCTCCCCAGGGACGTTCGCATCAGCGTCGTCCGCAGCTCACACCGAGTAAATTAATCAATGCTTTCTGGCCTCGTTCGTCCGAGAGTTTGGTCTTGTACAGTTTTACGGACGAGACCCACGGAAACCCACGGAAAAGAGACCTACGATCGGATGTGGCGCGTGCCCGGTTCATCGGATCTACGAAGAGCTGTTCCTGGGCTAAGGTAGTTAGGACCTAGGCGCATCACAGACTGGGGAATCACGCTATTTGGGCATGTACGTCACTGATCATCGTCTTCACGGCGGCATTGCACAAATGGTATCTGGTCTTGGATGAAGGATGTTCTTCTTCGTCAATTGCGGGTGCGTCTGCGTAGGCAGCGCTGGGAATAAGGGTACGTTGATCATGAAATAGTGAGAGAGAGACACCAAACAACCCACACTCACACCGTGAGGATGGTCGGTTCTCCTCCCGAAAGTTCGTTACAAAGGAAATAATGTACTTCATCCACTGCTAAACCCGCCGCCCCCTAGTTTGAGACCGCGTTCCTGGCGATCGGCGCTGCAGCTTGCGTAAAGAGATAGCAAGGAGATAGGAAAGTTGAAAAAATATTGGGATAGAGAAAAAGGTATACCCTCCACAGTCCACGGCACATATCATCGTCGATCCGCTTCAAATCATGTTGTAATAGTAATCACCCGGGTCGCCGGGCTGCGGCGTCCGGATCCTCTCCGTCCGGTTCGTCTCCTGGCTCACGCGCGCCGCGAACTGCAGCTCCCGAATCAGGGGGTCGAGGGAGTCCAACCCGCTGCGGCGGGTGGTCAGGGGAGGGAGCACGGGTGGTGCGCCGTGGCGACGTGGCCGCGCCGCCGCTCCCGATCTCCGCGAGGACGAAGGCGTGACGTGCGAGGTGGACGGACGTCGCTGCCTGCGCTGGTCGTGGCGGTCGATGAAGTCGCCGTCAAAGTCCACGAAGTCGTCCTGACTTCCCGTGAGGCGGCGGCGGGAGGGGCGGGACGACTCGGAGTGATGCTGCTGGTGCAGCGAGCCCCCGAGGCGGTTGGGCCTGCGCACGCGGCTAATGCGCTGCTCTTCGTAGACCAGCTCGTTGTCATGGTCCAGGGGCCAGTCCAGTGGGCGAGATGTCGAGAAGGGGGAGCCCGGCAGGCTTCGGAGGTCGGACATGCAGCGTTCTAGGCGCTCGATGAAGAGCATCTGGTTCCGCTCCTGTTGGTGCATGCGCATCTCGAGACGCTCCTGGTTCAGGAGCATCTCGTGGGCGAGGTCGTTGACCCTGGCGCTGCGGAGGGTGGCGTAGTGGGCGCGGAGTTCCCTGGCGGACATGGAGAGGAAGTCGACGCCGTCGTCGTCGCGGAGGCGGCTTTTGGGGCGCACAGTCGCGGTCTCGGAGGCCTCGCCTTCGTCGGCTGCCGGCCGTATTCTGAGCGACATTCTCCGGGTGTCGTAGGCTGCGTTGAGGAGCTCTGGGTTCGTGTTACCCGCCGTGTGTGGGCGGGCGAGTTGCGGAAAGGGCAGTGTTGGTGCTTGAGTATTCGCGGAGGGGATGTGGGTGACGGCAGTCACTGGGGAGTTTAGAGTTGAAGCAGACCATCTCTCGTCGACAGAGCCAGGCACGACTTCGGCAACGGGCATGATGGCGCTCAACCTGGGCGCGGGACCGGGTTTGGGAAAAGCAGCTATGCTGCCAGCGATGAACTGCGCTGTCGTCTCCGTCTCAGACCTGGGGAGATTGCCCTCGCTTTCTACTATGCTTAGGGGAGGCGAAGTGAGGCGGGCCGAATCCGTCTGAGAGAGGGTTGCAGAGTCTGCGCGCGTCATTCGACTTTGGCCTTCGGTTGAATTATCATGGCTAACCAGCTCTCCAACCTTCGCAGCATCGGCCTCGGACAGGACGAAGCTGCCTATCCGATCCAAGAGAGGGACTGAACTCGCCCAACTGGTTCGATTGAGGCTCCCCCAGCGGCGGGGTGGAACAGAGCTGATTGTGCTGTCTCTGGCGAGGCTGCTGTCGAACTTGCTGGCTGCAGAGTCGGCGGCGGCCATGGTCTCGTCCAGGAGCGATGGTTTCGACCAGGGCGGGGTCGGGGTGTCTTCTCGGGCGGTTTCCCAGTCGGGACTCAATTCCTCTTGCGCCGTTTCCCAGCCCGGGGTATCGACACGCTGGGTCGCTTGCCAATCTGATATTTTGAGTGAATTGCCGTTGGAGCTGTGGCTTGGTGATTTCCTTTGAGACTCGGCCATGTTGGCCAAGTTCGTGGCCGAGAGCTTCGTCTGCATGCCACGGATGTCGTCCCTGGACCCGAATGTGCCATCACGGGACGGCAGCCGAAGAGAGCTGATCACCGTCTCGGAGGTTTGTGGCCTTGGTGTCGTTTCGCCATCTTCTTCTCGCGTTTTCTTGAAGGCTCTCTGAGCCTCCATGTCCCGATGCTTGATATTCTTGACGCGATCTCTGCGGCTTTGTCTCGATGTGGCAGTCCTGGTTGACGGGTTGCGGGAGGCGACGGACTCATTCACCAGGGTAGTCTGAGTGGTGTCACTACTTCCGGGCCTGATGGTCAACGACGGCCTTGGCGTAGTTGACTCCGAGTCCTGGAATATGACCGACGCGGTCGAGTAAGCTTTTGCGGACCGGGCCCTTGTGATGATCGGTTCTGATAACTCCGTTGTTGCTATGCTTGGGCTCAGCGAAGGCACTTCGGAGTATCCTGGGCTGAGCGGAGGTCCATCGAACGTCACACTCTGGCGCCTCGCCGAGCCACCAATCATGCCATCGATCGATGCTTGATTTCCGTCTCTCGCGCCTTCTGTTTGTGGGCGCACAATCTTGATGCTGGATCTACGAGGCGGGAGAGTGATGTTCTCCGGCCGTCTTGGGGATTTCGTTTTTGACTTTTGCTGACTAGGAGACTGCGAAAGAATTCCTGCCTCCCAAGGCTTCGTATCGAAGCTTTCATCAGGGCTTTGGGGCATGATGACCGGTGACGCCGGCAGCTCTGCGTACTGTTGCGGCGACCCCGCCAGCCGGCCACGCTTCTTCTTGGAGACGCTCGTAGTCCCGCGCACACTTCCCGGTGGTGTCGCATAAGGCGTTCTCGGCTGGCTCGATGGATTCGGGTTGATCTTGGGCCAAATAGATACCGAGCCCTTTCTACCTTGACGTTGCGATTGCGTGCTCATCGTGTCGACTGTCAACGCGGATCCTTGCTCGCTGACGGTTTTGAGAACGGTAACGGTGCGATCGCTGGCGTAAGGCCTGGTTTGACCATTGACGCTATCCTCGCTGGCTCGAGAAGCAGCCGGAGGAAGGGGCGGCGTGGCGTTGAATATAGCGAGAGCCCAGTCGGAGTCCGGTCCTACGTGGCAATACTCCAACGGGATGGAAATTGCGATATGCGAGGCACCGCTCGCCGTCTTCGAAGCGACAGCAGAGTTGGGCAGCCCGGCGGTTCGTGGCCGGCGAGCGGGCGACTCCGATCTGGCACGAGTGCGCGGGCGGCGCAGCTTCTTGAACAGCCTCCACCTCTCGGGTTCTTCTTCTTCCTCCTGCTCCTGGGTATCTTCGCTATCGTCAAACACGGACTTCTCTGGGAACTGCGGCGGCGGCGAGGTGGTTCTGAGAAAGTTGATGAGGTCCCCCATGCCATGTCTGTCGTTGTTCTCCCGGGCGCGGGCCCGGACGACACCCCACTCGGAATCGGAGTCTGTCGTTTCGATTCTGCTGAGAACCTGCGCGAAGAGGTCGTTGGATGATCTGGCGGTGCGAGGGGAGAAGCCGCGGTCGTCGGCGCTGCCGAAGCTGCTGAATGTTCCCCGGCGACCTTTGTTCATGGTGAGGTCGAGCCGGGGAGGGCCTGAATCCGAGGAGACGACCATGACCTCGCGCTGTCTGTTGACGTTGGTCTCGGGAATGGCCATGTCGTCAGTGAGAGGAGGAGGGCTGGTGTAATTGAGCGTCTTGGGATGACATGCCCAAGGTTACTGCGGTGGACGGGACCTAAAAGTCGAAGTGTTTGACGTCCCGTCGTACACCAGTGATGGATACCAACCGAACAAAGGCCTGCGGAACAATAAGAAAGGTGAACAGCACGGGAAGCGTGGCGACACCCGGCAGTGTAGTAGGATGACGATCACGGGTGATCAGCCGTGATTTGCGTCCAGGGTCCGAAGTTGACGTCTTGTGAAGTGATGGGAGGGCAGCGAGGTGAAGGGTGGATGGGTAGAAACAGTCCGGGTTCGTCGAGCAACAGCTCCAAACCCCTCTCTCCTCGCTTTGGAGCGCAAGGTAGCGGACGGAGGTGACCGATATATGTTGTTGGTCCGGCCGCGTTCCTCTGGCGGACCGTTGGAACTGAGCTCAGCAAAAGGGCGGGAGGGGAGACAGACGGTGGCAGACGGAGGCAGTGGAAGCGTCAAACCATCGCGGGGAGGCGTCCGTGCAAAATGATGGAAACGAGGGCTGGGGGACTCAGGGACTGCGCCATGGTAAGACTCTCAGAGAACCGAGGGGGGGGGGGAGAGACGGGACACACATACACACTTCGACACATACACCACAACATGGATACAGAGTGGGTGAGTTCGGTAATGGAGCACGAAGAGAAGAGGGCCAGCACCAGCCGTAGCAGCAGTAGCAGTAGCAGAGGCAGGGCAGATCAAGGGAGGATGAGGGCGTCGTGACTAAGTGGTTTAGACCGTCATCTAGGGGCTCGGGCGGAGGGTGGTCTCGTGGCGCTGAGACGCGAGTGCAAGTCAAGTGTTGGGATGCCTGGTTCGAATTGACAATGGGTATCCGTAATTTCTTCTTCCCGTGGTGTTCTTTGGCGGCATTCTCGACGGAAGAGCAGACAAGAAGGAAGGAAAAAATAACCGTCCACGAGTTTTCAAAGACATCTGGAACCTTGTCTCTCATTTGCATGTCTTGTCTTGTCTTGGAGGTCTCAAGGTCGGGGCCTCCCCCCCTACTCCGTACTCCGGAAACGACCAAAAGACGAACGAACGAGGGAGGAACCAAGGAAAATGCAGAGCAGAGTGACAAGCGCCACGACGGGGGGGTTCCATGTTTCTTCTTTGCCGGCGCCTTGCAGACTGGGCTCGACCACCGGGTGCCGTGCCAGTGTCGAGTGTCACTCGACAGAAGAGAGACTAGGACGATTTGCAATTGCGGTGGGAGCCAGGCGAGAAAGAAAGGCCGAGGATGCGACGGGAAGGCGGCGTTCGTGGGCGGCGGCGAGGGCGGGATGGAAAAGAGTTGGTGTTGCTTAGGGGTTCCGGCTTCGGGCAGTCTGGTGTCGTTAGTATTTCATTCGTATCTTGAGGTACATAGTAGTCTGGCACAAGAACTGCAAGGGAAATTGCTTCTTCCTGATTTCCACGTCGTTGTCTGTCATCAGCCGAAACCTGGTGAGTGCTGCAGCATGATGGAGCAGAGAAAGACGCGTTGCCGTGCTTTGCGGATGCAGTCAGGAAGTTGGAAGCAGGCGCGGGAAATAAAATAAAAACAAAAATAAAAAAGAAGGGAAGAAACGATGATCAGCCAGTTTGGCGTGCGTCGGACAGGGACAAGCCTGAAGCTGGGTTCCACTGGTCGGTTGGGGGAGTGCCGGGGGTGGGAATGGGGTCGTGTTAGTGGTGGGTTGACGGCCCCAGGGCGGTGGATGACCCCAGTATGTGAAGGGATGTGCGGTAGGGATCAAGCAGCATTGGCATTGGCATTGGCAAGATGCAGCACCAAACGATGCAATGCCATGCGATGCGATGTGATGCGCTCTTGTTGGTGGTGCTGGTGCTGGTGCTGATGAGCAGGGGTTTTGACATGACATTGCCTGTTAGGACGGTACGGTAGGTACGGTAAGGAATACAGCGCCGTCATCCTCCTTCTCGTGTGTCTCTGCTTCAGACTCGTGTGTAACGAGCCGGCAGCAATCTTCGTGTGTCAAGTCTCAGATGAAGGGGTTTTGGTAGGCTGGTGATATGCCGGCGTCCTGTCCTACCGGAAACACCACCAGCAGTCATCTGCTCGCCGCCTGTTTGGTTACTCAAACCAACAGGACGGGCCTTCATCTACGGCTTCTGTTTGCCGTCCCCTTCATCTGAGTTGCTGTCGATCGGCCCGGATCATCCTTGACAAACACGATATGCCGAGATTGGGACGCGCAGAGAATGGCACGAGAATTGGAGATACTGCTATGGTACACTCGGTGAGGCATGATAGGAAGGGGAGCTAGAAGAAGATGGCTTGAAGCTCTCCTCTGCTAACTTGGTTCCGCGTTTGGCCGCGAGAGTGGCAGGACGGTGTGGCTTGTTTTGGGCTCTTGTCATTTCTGCCACGAGCAACACAAGATGATGCACTTTATCAGTCGAGACTCGAGGTACAGAGATAGTCGGGTAAACCTTCTTGGGTAACAGGATAGATTAACATGGACATGACGAGAAATCAAGAACACAGCATGAAGGCGACGTCGGTTATTCTTCCGCGCCCTCCAAGTCGTACCTCTCAACACCGTGCATCACGTCAAGCACCTTGCGCAAAGTGCCGTAATCTTGCGGAAATCAAGCTCTTCTAGATTGCAAAGTTCGTTCGAGATGCTACCTTGGAAACCACACACGACACCAACGTAACGTATTATACGCAACTCTTACTCCGGTATTTGAGTGTCTGAGAGTCTCTCGCTAACAGCTACTGCAACACAATCAAGACCGTCCGTCCCAACGCCGTCGACGGGCTCAAGCGCTAGCTTCCCCTTCCTTAGCCCTGCTGCACCCTTCAGGTCCAGGTCACACTAGAGAGGGAGCTGGAGGTGTTAGAGCTCGCTCAAGCTTACCATAGTAGTTATCCAATTTGCAAGTATGCAGCGCTTTCATCAATGCTGATTACTTGATTATGAAATACGGACCATGTCCCAATATCAGAACGAGATTGAGCTCATTAGAGAGGCACGCGACGCTCATGACTACATTCCGGAGAACGGACGAAGGAGGCTATTCACATGCATTCGGATCGGGGATTTGACACATGAAAAAGATCAGTCAGATCTAGGGAAATCTGGCATCCATCCATCCATCTGGCATCTGGCATCTGACCCAAGCTCCCTCCGATTCCTCCAAGCACCCAAAAAAAGATACCAATGCTACCTCAGAACCGCCCAATCTTGCTTGCACAGCACCACAGACGATCCATGCATACAGATGCACACACACACACACACACACGCTGCAGTGCACATCCCGCCCTCGCTAAGAACACCCGAGTTCAAGATCCAGCGTCCCGTCCGTCGTCACCGCCCCACCCCCGGACGGATCCCCGGCGGCCTTCTCCCTGTCCAGCGCACCCTCTCCAGACTGCAGCAAAACACCCCGGTTCCCTCCTCAACCACACACGGCCTCTCGATTCTCCCCCTCCATCACGAAAACCTCCCTCCCACGCGCGCTTCTTCTCCCTCTCCTCCCTTCCAATCCGTCACTCCTGATGACATTCCATCTCATATGACAAAGGAAAAAAAAAGGATTGCTAGATCGTGATCGCAATACAACGGTGATATGTAAGGTGTTCGAAACCGGTATCCGTATCAGCACCGCCTCCTCCTCTTATCCGACGGCCTCCAGCCGACCAGAGCTAAAGCTCCCATTCATCCCTTGACCCTCGTCACCATCCAACACAGCCCTCCCTCCCTTCTCTCCTCCTCCTCACGTTCGCCGGCCCGCTCGAACCTCCCGTCCGCCATCCGTATCCCACCAACAACCCCCGAAACCGCACCTCCCCTCCTCAAGCTCTCTCAGCTCCAGCCCCGCGTCCACCGTGCCGAACAAGCCCTGTCCGACACCAAAGAAACCCTCCAACCGCAAGGAAACAAATCCTTCCTCGAAAGCAACACCCAAGACATACATAGCTGAGGGCACGTCGGACTCAGCCTTCCGGAAGCCTAGCTCATCCGTCACTATCACCCAGTGAACAGGGGGCACAAGAATTACCCATACCTCTCCAACCCTCCTCCCTACCCATCCATTCCATCAAGCCTGGCCCGGAGTAACTCCCGTAAAAAAAAAAAAAAAAACCTTCGGACGACTACGTTTGACAGATGTCTACGCAATCCTCCTCCTCCATCCCGGCTCCTCCGTTCCTCCAGCATTGGCGTGACACAGGCAATGTCTCTCTCACGGCTCGTAAACTGAATCAAAACGTCAGAAACATCCTGTTGTTAAAAATGAATTCCCAGATCCGCCCCCAAATAAAGCAATCTACAGTGTAGCTCGGCTAGTAACAACTTCAGGCGGACAGTCCACACTGGCTCTCCTCCCCCAATTCTGCGTCCATTTTTCCTTTTCAAACGGCCAATATTGAGACAACGCACAACCACCACCAAAACAGAGAGAGCCATGTGGCCCTCCCGATCCCGCGATAACCTTCTTTCTCTCAACGCCATATGTTTCTTCTTGTCTTGGGGGGGGGGGGGGGGGGGGGGGGGGGGGGGGGGGGGGGGGGGGGGGGGGGGGGGGGGCGGGGGGGGG